AAGAGAAAAGTTTGCTTAATTGTCATGAATTATGCAGGTTTAAATAGATGTGATGCAGTTCACCCTCACTGGAAAACGCAGGAACTAAAAAGTAGCGTGAACTTCATAAAATGTGCGAAGATCTGAATCCTTTCAGAGCTGATCTTAATGCCGAACTCCATCGTCTTTAGAGACCCAAACCCGTCTCACTGCAGCCGGGCAGAAAACACACGCAGGTTAAGTGAAAAGGTGTGTGTGGCTGCAGGCTTCTCAGAGTCACAACACACACACAGACAAATGTAAATAAAGCATCATCACATTAAAAAGAAGAGATACGACGCTCTCAATTTTAAGATTAACCGACTCGTCTAACTGCTTCTCTGCTTCTGATTAAAATCTGGAGGCGTCTGCAACCAAAAGGATTAAGACTTTAAACATGGCTGAAGAACGAGCCACGGCCTTGGCAGCGGGCGCCTCTGCCTTTCGCGAGATCTCAGCAAAGCACAACTAAAGTGTGGGTGACACCACAGGAAGGTAGTTCATCTGGAGCAGCAGGGTTTATATGAAACCGGGCCAGTGTGTGTGTGTGTGTGTGTGTGTGTGTGTTCTTTGTTGTATAACATCGCTGTTTTTAAACAGACTCGGAGGCAACAGTGACTGAGAAAGCCATAAACCCTGTTTATCAACACTTGTTGCCGTGGAAACCATTGATGTAACTTCAGACTCTAAAGGGGTTTGAGTCCCATCGCTGTCCGGCTTTGAAGTCAGGCAGACTGAGTCATCGGTCCGTCTTCACCAGGGTGTGTTGGGTCTGTTGGTATGATGCTGCTTAACTCCAGACGGACACATCCACTTTGGACTCGTCAGTCCACAGAATGTTTTCCCACAAGTCGGGGGGGGGGGGGGGGGGGGGGGGTGAAGACGTTATTAGGTAAATGTGAGATGGGCCTTTACTGTTATGAAATGACCTCTGACCTTTACCAAGTGAGGCCTGCAGTACCGTTTGATCTGAACGCGGCAGGATGTGTTGCTGTTTGAGATCTTCTAGTCTCCATGTGGTCTAATCAGATCTTCTAGTCTCCATGTGGTCTAATCAGATCTTCTAGTCTCCATGTGGTCCAATCAGGTCTTCTAGTCTCCATGTGGTCTAATCAGATCTTCTAGTCTCCATGTGGTCTAATCAGATCTTCTAGTCTCCATGTGGTCTAATCAGATCTTCTAGTCTCCATGTGGTCTAATCAGATCTTCTAGTCTCCATGTGGTCTAATCAGGTCTTCTAGTCTCCATGTGGTCTAATCAGGTCTTCTAGTCTCCATGTGGTCTAATCAGATCTTCTAGTCTCCATGTGGTCTAATCAGATCTTCTAGTCTCCATGTGGTCTAATCAGATCTTCTAGTCTCCATGTGGTCTAATCAGATCTTCTAGTCTCCATGTGGTCTAATCAGATCTTCTAGTCTCCATGTGGTCTAATCAGGTCTTCTAGTCTCCATGTGGTCTAATCAGATCTTCTAGTCTCCATGTGGTCTAATCAGGTCTTCTAGTCTCCATGTGGTCTAATCAGATCTTCTAGTCTCCATGTGGTCTAATCAGATCTTCTAGTCTCCATGTGGTCTAATCAGATCTTCTAGTCTCCATGTGGTCTAATCAGGTCTTCTAGTCTCCATGTGGTCTAATCAGATCTTCTAGTCTCCATGTGGTCTAATCAGATCTTCTAGTCTCCATGTGGTCCAATCAGATCTTCTAGTCTCCATGTGGTCCAATCAGATCTTCTAGTCTCCATGTGGTCCAATCAGATCTTCTAGTCTCCATGTGGTCCAATCAGATCTTCTAGTCTCCATGTGGTCTAATCAGATCTTCTAGTCTCCATGTGGTCTAATCAGATCTTCTAGTCTCCATGTGGTCTAATCAGATCTTCTAGTCTCCATGTGGTCTAATCAGGTCTTCTAGTCTCCATGTGGTCTAATCAGGTCTTCTAGTCTCCATGTGGTCTAATCAGATCTTCTAGTCTCCATGTGGTCTAATCAGATCTTCTAGTCTCCATGTGGTCTAATCAGGTCTTCTAGTCTCCATGTGGTCTAATCAGATCTTCTAGTCTCCATGTGGTCTAATCAGATCTTCTAGTCTCCATGTGGTCTAATCAGATCTTCTAGTCTCCATGTGGTCTAATCAGATCTTCTAGTCTCCATGTGGTCTAATCAGGTCTTCTAGTCTCCATGTGGTCTAATCAGATCTTCTAGTCTCCATGTGGTCTAATCAGATCTTCTAGTCTCCATGTGGTCCAATCAGATCTTCTAGTCTCCATGTGGTCTAATCAGATCTTCTAGTCTCCATGTGGTCTAATCAGATCTTCTAGTCTCCATGTGGTCTAATCAGATCTTCTAGTCTCCATGTGGTCTAATCAGATCTTCTAGTCTCCATGTGGTCTAATCAGATCTTCTAGTCTCCATGTGGTCTAATCAGATCTTCTAGTCTCCATGTGGTCTAATCAGATCTTCTAGTCTCCATGTGGTCTAATCAGATCTTCTAGTCTCCATGTGGTCTAATCAGATCTTCTAGTCTCCATGTGGTCTAATCAGATCTTCTAGTCTCCATGTGGTCCAATCAGATCTTCTAGTCTCCATGTGGTCCAATCAGATCTTCTAGTCTCCATGTGGTCCAATCAGACTAGTGACATTCAACTCGGCTTTCCAAATAGTGTGATTAGAGGTTTGTTGGGTCACCACAGGGACGGTTTTATCTCCTCTTTTATTGACACTGCATACAGCTGTCTATAGGCACGGGTCACCGTCTTGTCACCTGCAGAAGTTCTCCGATGACACTGCCCTACTGGGCCTGATCTCCCGGGGTGACGACCTGGCTTACAGGGAGGAAGTTAACTCCTTTGTTGGATGGTGTGATGCAAATTTTCTACAACTCAATGTTGGCAAAACACAGGAGCTAGTTATGGATTTTAGAAAGAAAATCAAACTTTCTCTCCAGCAGTCATCAAAGGCCAACCTGTAGAAGCTGGAGACATAAATATCTGGGGGTGTACCTCGACGACTGGAAAAGGAACAGCGACGCCGCTGTTAAAAAGGCCCAGTCCAGATTGTTTTTTCTTAGGAAGCTGAGGTCCTTTCATACAAGTAGGAGGCTCTTCAGGTGTTTTATCAGGGGATTATGGCCAGTGTGTTTTATGCTGTTGTGTTGGGGCAGGAGCCTCTGCTGAGGACAAAAACAGGATCGAGAGATCTGGCTCAGTGGTTGGACAAAGCTTGGACTCCTTTGACATGATCATCGACAAAAGGATGAGGAGTAAACTTAAGACCGGATCACCCCTTCATCAGGTTTTTAAGGATCTCAGGAGCTTCTTTAGTGGGCGAATGTTAACGCCCCGTTGTCCCGCTGAACGTTTTAGGAACTCTTTTATCCCTGCTGCCGTGCGTTTTCACAACGAGCGTTTCGTATGATCGTATATTTGATATTTCTATCATGGTGGTGGCTTACAGCAGTGTCCAGCGGGTGTGTGCATGTTGTTTTACTTGTCCAAGGCAATTCAATGTCCCCCTTGGGGATTAATAAAGACAACCTTGAACCTGACAGGTTTTAGCTTGCCATCTGCATTATCCATAAAGAAGAAAATGGAGATGAAGAAGAAGCCGGTGAACGGAGGACATGTCGGCCTGAGCCGTGGAGTCTCGGCTGTTTAGACAGATTTAATTCAGCATGTTGTTTCCCCTCAAGTTCACAGACTTCTCCTGCGTTTCAGCCGTGTTTCGGTCACAGCCCGCAACATTCACACAATTTAACAACTGCATGAAATGGAAAAGAGAAACCGTCTCGTGTTGAATGACCATTTTTACACAAACTACGTCTGACGTGAAACGTCTATTTTCACATTACAGCAGGCTGTTTTACTAAATCAGACCCTGAGAATAAGATAGAACAGCTGCACTGGAACCAAATAAACAGGTTTAATTTAAGCATTTTCAGCTTCTCTTTATTGATTCTCTTCTTAAACACACATTTATCGTTTTAAAACATTCTGGACAGCTCGGCAACAGCCTCGGGTTTCAGATGACTTCTTTTGAAGTACAATAAGTCCTTTTATAAACACTTAGCATCCTATCACAGTATGCTGACGCGCGCGCATGTGCACACACACACACACATATTAGTTTATTAGTTTTTGAAATAAGTCCTGTAACAATTCAAAGAGCCACCAATGAGTCGTGACTTTTGCATCCAAACAAGATGAAGTTACATTTTGAACATTAACAGGTGATCAAACTGATAAAAATTATAATTCACAAAAGGTAATAAACGGTTTCTCTCTTTAAAACAGACGTCTGCACATAATAGTTCACATTTTTTACTTGCTGGTTACCCAAGAGGGTTGTGGTTAAACACGTTTAAACCCAGGAGCTACTGGTTCGCACTAATTCTAGCTTTTATGCTCACAAAGCCGGATTAAAATCCTGTTAGATATCAAGTTAGTAATCTGTCACCCGACACGAGTCTCTCAGGTGAAGATCAAGTTTTTTTTAAAGGAGTCAGTGGAGACCAACAGCTAACTGGAGGATTTAAAATGAAATGAAAAATAACATATATAAAAAACTAAATTCACGACCCACTCAGGTTTACAGTTCAGTGTGTGTGTTTATTTAAAACTAAACAACTTTCACAAACTTTTCAATGAATTTCTCATTTTTTGACGGTCACATACGCTGTAGCGTTCATAACAAGCTGCGGGTGCCTGGGAAGAAATTTACCAAGCTGAACTGGAACCTTGAAATGTAGAAAAAAAAATACTACGAGGTAAAAAATATTAGTAAAAAACATGCACATGGATAAGAAAACAAAAAATCTTCTAAACGATGAGTCGTGTGGACCGGCAGTCTTTCTAGCATTCACTCAGTTGAACAAGGAAATCACAACGTGATGGAAAAACAACACAAGCACGACTTAGCAGCCCTTAAAAGTCCTCCCTGAGCTCCTCCAGCTCCCCGTTACCCCGTGGTTTCCCATAAAACCCGTCTGAGGAGTTTAACGACGTCCGCAGATCGCTTCAACGATCAAAGTGCACAAATGAAAATTGGTTACTGGTTTGGGGCGGTTCCTGCCACCAGTTACGTTTTTAACGCTTCTGAAGGACCTCCGCAACTCTCACCAGGTAGAGAACGCAGCTGGGCGTTTCAACTCCGCTTCAGTCAGAAAATCTTTTGTTTTAGAATTTTCTGTAAAAGCAAGATGAAGTTTGCTCTTTCTGACGTATTTTTACTGCTTCAGTTACTTTTACAGGATATTTTGTTTGTTTTGGGTTCATTTTTATCTCACTAAGGGAGGCGGGCTGACTTATTTGTTACCTGCGGAGCTCGCCGTCACGTAAACACGACGAGGCGCACCGTTTCCTCCTGTCTGGGTTCACAGGGTTGCATTTCAGAGAAGGATGTTCTCAGGGGGTTCGACGGGAAATTGCATCCAGCTTAAGACTTTTCCGTCAATCTGATCAACACCACCTCAGTAAAACAAGCGTATTTACAGTCTTTGTATACAAAGCGCAGCGTGTTATATTTGACCACCAACAGCTGAAAATTATTCTGTTCTCATCCCCTTCACCATTCCTTCAGTCTTCTCCCATCAGGCAGGAGATGCAGAAGGCCAATAAGAAATCCTCCATCCCAACAGCAATCGCAGCCCTCAACAGAAAGGGAATTTCAAAAACCCACAAATGATTTTTTTTGTGTGTTTTAAGCAAATAATTGTGTTTTTGGTCTTTGTTTCTATTATGGCATTTATAGTTTTTATGCAAGTGTGAATGATGCGATGGATGAGGATGATGATGATGAGTCCTGTTGCAAAACAAATGTCTGTACCCTCTTGGTGTCAGACAAGACAGAGGTAGTTTGTGCCGCACGCTTTCGTGGGTTTGAGTTAAGCTAACCCCCACAGACAACAGGAAGCCAGGTTAACAGCTGGGACGAAGGCCCCAACGGGAAACTTTCCCCGCCAAACGCAGCACAGTTAGCGCCGCTTAAGGAGGGAGATAAACGCACAGAAGAGCTAAACACGATGCAGCTTCCACTGCAGAAATCTGTGTGAAAGTGCGGGCGGAGAATTAGCATGGAGTTAGAAAACCCATCAACTCAAACGTCAAACAGAATCTGGTGTTAAATTAGTTTAGGAGTAAATGACAGCTTGGTCAAGCTCAGCTCCACGCAGTGTTTTACTTTTGCACTTGAAGCCTTTGTTGGGTGCAGAACACGCGTCGACTTGCTAGGAGCTGCTGGATCAGCTGCTGCTGCTCCTCTGCGGACCAGGTGAGGGTGAGGGATGGAGGACCTGGAGGATGAGCAGCAGTCTGAAATAAAGCAGAAATGTTTAACAACCAGTGCATTTAAACCCATAAGATGCTGATAGATGTCTGGGTTCACGAGTTTGTTCTACAAACTTCTGCGGGATGAAAACGGTCCCCGTGCGATACGCAGCGGTCTGTGAGGCCGAATGTTTGGCCGCTGTGGTATAATTGTGTCACTGGAGGTTTTCGGGGACGCCACTTGAGGATGTCACATTTTATAACCTCTACCGTCTCGAATCCCCATCTAGCCGAATCGCAGTGTGGAAACATTACTCTTGGCACGCTCGTTTTTGCATCGGTCTCAGTCAACTCCACTCCATCCATCCCTCCATCTCCCCTCAATTAGTGCGTGATGCTGACACAGCTGCAAGCGTAGCCTGCAGGGACCAAATATGTTCAGAATGTGCAGGAGCGATTGGTAAATCGGGGAAAATCTGTGCGGTGCAGACATGCATCAATATGTTATCTTAGCAGGACCAGACAAGATGTCTGATGAGATTCGGTTTCTAGTTTTATTTGAGCTACGAAACTAAATGTTTGCATCACATCTTAGGTGTGTTCTTGATGTGTCGTATCTCTAATTCCATGTTGTAGTTGTTTTGTTTACCTGTTTTCCCGCTACGTTTCGTTTGCGGCTGCAAACTTCCTCAGGCTCAGCTCAGCGTCAGCCTGAGGAAGTTTGCAGCCGCAAACGAAACTTAGCGGGAAAACAGGTAAACGAAACTGCTGTGTGTTTTAAAAAGAACTCCAGCAAGGAGTTTGCATCACATTCTTTGCTTGGGAGCAGCAAATCTCTCAGGATCCTCCCCACCCACACTGCCGCTCCCGCTGCCTGGCTGCTTCGCATTTAAGTCCAAAAGAATAAAAGACAGCACAGTTTATTTACTCACGGGGGTATCACGTGTGTCAAGTAAAAAAAAAAACGTGTAGAAAAATCCAGTTGGTCTATCAAGCCCAAACGAACACGACCCCCGCGTCAACCTTAGGTTGGTGTTCTAGTCCTTCTCATTCGCAGACTTTACCTTTTTCAAATGTGCTTGCTCACAGGAAGGTGAGCTCCGGTGTGCAGCGACTCGACGTAGGCCAAGGCGCTCTGCAAGGACGTGAGGCAGTAGCCTTCCTCTCCTATCAGGTAGCTGAAACAGAGAATTTAGAGTAAGTTCGTCACAAAACGCAGAAGTTTCCAAGTGGTTAGAAAAAGAGCAAATAAGATCTCTGCCGTGCTTTTAAGACCTTCTGTACACAAACAGCATGGGTGGGGAAACGGACGACCTGAGGACTGATGCATGAACAGAGAAAACGATGAGTCAGAGATTTTTCCAGAGACGAGTGGGAGAGGAGGAAAGCAAGTCAACTCAGGCCGACCTCGGAGTAATGAGACAGGCTGCAGCCAAGATGCCGCGGTGCGTGGGTAAACACAAGGAAACCAGGGGATTCACTCAGCTGTGAGCGGAAAGCTGACCGAAATATCGCTAATGCAGCATTTAGATTTGTGACAACAGAGATCATTACCCACAAAAAAACATCAAAGGGGGATTGGAACGAGGCGTTTTTGATGCATCGCCTACAAACATACTTCCTAAAGTTTTACATCCCTGCTGGCGGGTGCTGAGAGCCGTCTCAGTGATTTAGCAACCCGCAAGAGTTGAACGACAGCTTCCTCCTCATAGCTTTGTGGTTCCCTCCCTTTCACTGAAACACCCCCAGCCCACTAAACTGAACTTTATTTGCATGTTTTACAGGGAAGAAAAACCAAATCTCAAACATCCGGACATTCTTTGGCAACGTCTAATCTAACCAGCTGCCTTTTAAAGCCTGAGGTTTTTAACGGCTGCGGCGGAATCTCGCACGCAATGACACGGAGGCGGCCGCCAACGAAACGCCGTTCTCACCGGTTAGAGATGGTGACTTTATATTAGTCGGTGCCACCTTGCTCACTCAAGCCTACGCTCTAATGTAAGACTTTGGCTCTTTGTTATGACTTTCCTGGGAGTTGATGGGTTCCCCCAAATGACACCCTAATCTTTTATTGGGCCACCTTTAGCTTTGACTGCAAAATGACATTTATTTTCATTCAGAGCTGCATCAGTGTCTTGTACAGATGATGGGAGGACGGGGTTTTGGGCACATTTCTGTAACTGTTGCCATTCAGTTACATGAGAAATGTGTTCATCACAATCTGACCGGGTGTAGCGCCGGCTTTAGTGAAATCTGAGTTTATTAGAAACTTATTTCCTGCGTCTGTAACTGACTCAACCCTCCGAAAACGATCAGTTTCCATGACAACGACTCACCCCTCATGAATGAACTCCTCCAAAGCGCAACACTCGGACACCAACTGTGGTCGCTGACACCGCAGAGCCACGAAGGAGAGGATGGGCAGCAGGTCGTCTGCACCACTAAAGGAGGCGGGGGAATCAGACCAAGCAGAAGTAAACAAACAAAGGCCAGAGCAGAAAACACCAGTGACTTTTACAGAGTTCTTCAGCAAGTGTTCCCATGAGGACTGAATGAAAACAAACGCCTAATGGCGGGTGGGTGCGTGCTGAAGCCTGGAAATGATGAAGCTATTTTCTCTCCCAGAGATCTGCTGGGAGGACAAACCGGAGTCTGGGAGATGACCGTCTGATAGCGCTTTCTTTGTGTGTAGACAGTGACCGTTTGTTTATCAGGACTCACACGCAGGGCTAACCGCTGACTTGCTAGGTTGCGTGAGAAGGCCGGTTGAAGGCCTTCCACTGACCCGGCTGCATGCAACTGGATACTCTTTTCCTCCCGTAGCTTCTGGAAGGTGTGGACAATCTCATGTAACCACTAAGAGCTGGAGCACACAGTTGCACAATCAGAACCCTGAATTATTTTCTGTAGAGTTTGCTTTTTTAAACAAACATTCATCCCTTCACACGACAGCCGTGCGTCTCTGCACTCCAAGGACACAGCGCACGCACAAACGCTGATTTCAGATGAGTTTTGGTTCTGAGCTTTAACAGGAAAACGTGGAGAGTACTTAGACTTTTAAAAAGACAACATGTTGGGCGATACAACAGAAAAGTGGGAAGAACAAAGATTTTATGTTTTTTGAAAAACTAAGAGTAAAATCCAGCTGAGTTTAGTGAGTTTAAGCACAAAAAACTAAATACTGGAAGAGAGGAAAATAAACAGACGAGTAATTAATTTCCATGCATAAACGTTACTGTAGATGTCGTTTCTGTCAGCAGAACACGTTAAAGGAGTGGTTCACTCATTTGCAGTGGTCTCTAGTAGGACTCTAGTAAGTCGTTCTCGGGGGAATGTATACCGGTGCACCACTTCCAGGAACTAGTAGTGAGCCACATCACAGCTGAACGTCAGGTTTATGCTTATGTCCTGATATTTGGACATCTCTCCTCTGATTGGGTAACAGCAACACGACTCTACCACTGACTCCATTTACGTTGATGTTTCATCTACACCAGTAACACAAGCCTGGAGGAGTTCTGCTGTGTGGTGAAGTTGCTAATGCTAACAGTTAGCTTCTACTAGCGGGGACGTTCTCTGCCGTTTCCTGGACGCTAAACCAACAGCTTCCCCTTTGTGAGTCAAGATGGGTGAGTCCATGAATATTAACTCATTCGCTGCCAGCGTTTCTCACCGTTTTTACTGTTTTTTTTAAGAGTCACAGAACGTTGCGCGCTAGGATGATGTCGACGCCAAAACAACCAAAACAAAGCGGAGGCTCACCTCTTACATCAGGAAGAATCCGCGCGTTTCAAGCGTTATCCGTTCTTTCGTAATCTGTTGTTGAATTGTGATCGGCAGAAGCTTTTCCGGTTCATGCCTCACTTTTTTTACAGCAGCGGCCCAAAACGATCTCCTAACACATGGATGTTCTGCTTCCTGATCACGTGACGTGTGCGGATGAAGATCGGCTTTAGAGCGGAGATGTTTGTTCTCTCGGCGCGGGGGCTCGTCCGACGTGCAAATGACGACTTTTGTCATCATTGGCAGTGAACGAGTTAAGTGACAGCGTGATGTAGATCTGTCAGGATTTTCTAATCCTAGAGTTTCACTACTGCAGGAGATAGGTGTAGGAGACTATTTTCATGTTCCGATAGCATGAAACATTCAGAGTTATCCATTATAATAAGAAATGATCATTAAAAATGAGTTTTCAGTGTGCCACACCTTTAGGTAAATCCAGTTCCAGATCCCAAGTCTGGCCCCTCATTAAAAAAAGACTCGTGAGTCACGGCGACGGAGAAAGGAATCCTGCATTCAAACAGACTCAGGAAAACAGCCACATGTGCCTGAACTGACCTGGAACAGAAACTAACCAATAAAAGGCAAAAAGGTCTGATTTATTCTCATCATTGACCTCAGAATAAAATACAATCTAGTTTATTATTTAAGGAAACTTGTCATGTATTTCAATGAAAGCTTGCAACCGATTTCATTTTCTTGTAAAATAAAATATTTGGCTTATGAAACATTTTCCGCCAAACAAACGAATGGTTTAGATTTTTGTGCTTTGCTGACGTCCGACTTTGTCAACACGAAACAAAACACTTTTCCCAGATAGAAGCGCTGCGCCCAAGTTCCCGGCCAAGTCCTCTAGTCTGCCGTCTCTGATCACTTCACACAGACGCCAACGCAAAGAGACAGATATGGAGCAGCAGACATCGCCTCGGTCACCGTTTTAAACACACAAAAACACCGGCTCAACAACAAAAGTGATAGATTTTAAATGCATTCTAAAGAAAAGGCTTTTTGTTTTTGGCTGGATCAGAACCGATCAGAACCTCACACAAGAGGTTAGAAAAAGGTTCATGCAACTGCTAAACCAGGCTCGGGGTTTCTATTCTGATCATTTTGTTTTAAAAGAGTGATGCTAATTATTTCATCCTTTGCTCATAGAGCAGCAGCAACAACGGCTTACGCAGAATCAGGGTAGAGATCCGAGTGATTCGTCTGATTCAGCGTTTCAAATAAAACCACGTCGAGACCCGAGGATCAAAAAAGCACAAACAACCCACTGCAGCGTTTTCTGAGCCGGGGTGTCGTGGTAAATTCAACAAACACCCATTTGTTATTTTCCTCGTGGAAACTGTTTGTTTGTTCCGAGCTCAGACAGGACGACCCACTTTAAGGCCCGACCAGTACAGAGCTCTGCGGGGGTGGGTGGGGGCAACAGACCTTCGGCATCCCCTGCTGTGCCAAGCCCGAGTGAGGCCTGATGAGACCTGACAGAGCAGCTACCAGGCAAAGGGAGCTTAAACGATGTTTTGTAACTTCAGCGGACTTTGAGACGGTCGTTCCCTCCTAATGAAATGCGCGAGTTAGGCGAGGAAATGGATAATTATGATGTTTAAAGAGGTCTAATGTTGGGGGACTAAAGGAATAAAAAACCAATAAACATCCCAAATCTTTAACTGTTCTAGATGTTTTCCTTCACTCAGTAACGGCCTTCACATATTTCTGTGAGGTCTTAATGATTTGTCACTTAATGCAGCTGAATATTCACTCACATGGCCGCCGTTTTAGGTGAAGAATCGACCTCTTGAAGACACCTGTAGTCCTCGGCGCAGGCGCAGATCAGACGCAACGTTCGAACTGAAATAAACAAAACAAAAAAGCAGAAATGAGAGCTTGAGTCTGTGTGAACAGCAAGATTTAGGTGCAGTCAATAATTTTAAAGATGCAGACTAATGTTAAAAACAGCATTAATAATAATAAGGATTTGGTTTCTACAAAAGGAAGACTCAACTCTGTACCGGGTACTGAAACGAGCACACCTGGAATCCGTAATCCATGCTTTTATCATCTCGACTGGATTATGCAAATTCCATTTTAATTGGTTTACCTGCCTCCGCTCTTAACAGACTTCAAGTCGTACAGAACGCGGCAGCCAGGTTTTTAACAAACACTCCTAGGAGAGAGCATATCACACCTGTACTGGCGCGGCTCCACTGGCTACCCGTAAACTTTAGGGTCAAGTTTAAAATCCTGACTTTTGTTTTTAAGGCCCTGAACGGTCTGGCACCGGATTACCTGTCGGATCTTGTCACTAGGTATGTGCCAAACCGGGCGTTGAGGTCTGCCGATTGCCTGCTGCTTCGTGTTCCATTAATGAAATACAAAACGCGGGGGCAGCGTGCTTTTGTCTACGCTGCTCCGACACTATGGAATGCACTTCCTCTTTCGGTGAGGCTGGCACCATCCCTCCTCCGGTTCAAATCGCTGCTGAAGGCTCACTTTTACGACCAGGCATTTTTAAATCCCTGACTTTTATTATTTTATTATGTGTCTTTTTATTGACTGTAATTATCTGCCTTGTTGTGCATTTTATTGTTGACTGTGTATTGTTTTATATTGTGTTTTTACTTTTTATTCTGTACAGCACTTTGGCCGGCTGCCATGCCGTTTTTAAATGTGCTTTATAAATAAAGATGGTATGGTATGGGTACTCGGGTAGCTCTGCAGCTGCAGAGAATCAAGCAGAAATTAAACTATTTTCTTTATAGAGACACTCCAGAAACAGCTCTAGCATGAGCTATGAGTGTAGGGAGCAGACACTTTCACAACTAAAGATTGATATTTGAGCACAAAGTTTATTTGAATAAGGCTGAATGATCGTTTTCTTATTAAAAGTGCAATTTCAGACAACGCAGTCATGTGATCGCCTAAGGTGGGTTTCATTGCAGCGTTCCTGACTGACCCAGGATCTGTTGTCAACTATTTCACACATCTAGGTGAAATCCCCAGGATTTATTTATTTATTTGAATGGCCTGATATGATGTCATCTTTCTGTCATGGTGGTAAATGTTACTGTACATTGTGAACATTGTGCTGAAGCTCGATTTGAATTAAATCATGAATCAAATTGAAATAACAACAAACCAGAAAAATAACAATCCAAAGTTTATTTCAACCGTTCAGCTCTAACGTGGAATTTGGTAAACGCGTCGGTGTAGCTGAAGAGTCAGAAGCACTCTACCAGCAGGTTTCTACAGGTCCTTCTCAAATAATTAGCATATTGTGATAAAGTTCATTATTGTCTGTAATGTACTGATAAACATTAGACGTTCATATATATTAGATTCATTACACACAACTGAAGTAGTTCAAGCCTTTTATTGTTTCTAATATTGATGATTGTGGCGTACAGCTCATGAAAACCCAAAATTCCTATCTCAATAAATTAGCATATTTCATCCGACCAATAAAAGAAAAGTGTTTTAATACAATAAATAAAGTCAACCTTCAGATAATTATGTTCAGTTGTGCACTCAATACTTGGTCGGGAATCCTTTTGCAGAAATGACTGCTTCAGTGCGGCGTGGCATGGAGACAATCAGCCTGTGGCACTGCTGAGGTGTTATGGAGGCCCAGGATGCTTCGATAGCGGCCTTAAGCTCATCCAGAGTGTTGGGTCTGGCATCTCTCAACTTTCTCTTCACAATATCCCCCAGATTCTCTACGGGTTCAGGTCAGGAGAGTTGGCAGGCCAGTTGAGTACAGTAATACCATGGTCAGTAAACCATTTACCAGTGGTTGTGGCACGGTGAGCAGGTGCCAGGTCATGCTGAAAACTGAAATCTTCATCTCCATAAAGCTTTTCAGCAGATGGAAGCATGAAGTGCTCCAGAATCTCCTGATAGCTAGCTGCATTGACCCTGCCCTTGATAAAACACAGTGGACCAACACCAGCAGCTGACATGGCGCCCCAGACCATCACTGACTGTGGGTACTTGACACTGGACTTCAGGCATGTTGGCATTTCCCTCTGCCCAGTCTTCCTCCAGACTCTGGCACCTTGATTTCCGAATGACGTGCAAAATTTGCTTTCATCTGAAAAAAGTACTTTGGACCACTGAGCAACAGCCCAGTGCTGCTTCTCTGTAGCCCAGGTCAGGCGCTTCTGCCGCTGTTTCTGGTTCAAAAGTGGCTTGACCTGGGGAATGCGGCACCTGAAGCCCATTTCCTGCACACGGTGGCTCTGGATGTTTCTACTCCAGACTCAGTCCACTGCTTCCGCAGGTCCCCCAAGGTCTGGAATCGGTCCTTCTCCACAATCTTCCTCAGGGTCCGGTCACCTCTTCTGGTTGTGCAGCGTTGTCTGCCACACTTTTTCCTTCCCACAGACTTCCCACTGAGGTGCCTTGATACAGCACTCTGGGAACAGCCTGTTCGTTCAGGAATGTCTTTCTGTGTCTTACCCTCTTGCTTGAGGGTGTCAGTGATGGCCTTCTGGACAGCAGTCAGGTCGGCAGTCGTACCCATGATTGCGGTTTTGAGTAATGAACCAGGCTGGGAGTTTTTAAAAGCCTCAGGAATCTTTTGCAGGTGTTTAGAGTTAATTAGTTGATTCAGATGATTAGGTTAATAGCTCGTTTAGAGAACCTTTTCATGATATGCTAATTTTTTGAGATAGGAGTTTTGGGTTTTCATGAGCTGTACGCCAAAATCATCAATATTAGAAACAATAAAAGGCTTGAACTACTTCAGTTGTGTGTAATGAATCTAATATATATAAAAGTCTGATGTTTATCAGTACATTACAGACATTAATGAACTTTATAATATGCTATCTTTTTGAGAAGGACCTGTATTCTGCCTCAAGAGACTAAGTTTTTGTATGACAGGAGAAAACGTCCGAGGCTTTTCCACTAACCTATACATTCCAGCTTCCTCTGTGGACAGCAGTCTTTAAACAGAAGCCCAAGTTCCTGAACAGCAGACTCATAAGGGTAGGAACCCTGGAGCGCACCGGGATCTTGTGGAAACAGTTTCAGGGGAACACCGACATCTCCTGGAGAAGCGTCGCAAAGCAACTTCATGTTTCTCTCAAACGCCTGCTCCCTCTCCGTGTTCACCCTCCTGCCAAAGAAAACCACGACTGAGAATCACCAGGAAAAAAAAGTTGTGCTTAACTTGGTGACGAGAGCTGCTGTAAGAGAACCCTAACCGGTGTAACACGATTATGCTCAAATATACATTTCCTCGTCTGATTAAATAAAATTAAGAGGACATAGTGCAGCTTTATTAATATAACACATTTCACACACAGAAGCAATTCAACATGTGTGTGTTTAGTCCAGTCAAAAGCTACGGGTGCATTACCTAAAAAGAGCCACCAGGGCGCTCCACAAGGGTGTGAAGAAGGCCTCTTCTATGCTTGCTAGACACAAGTCTTTAAACCTGGCCGTGTTCAGACACTCGAAGGACAGCAAACAAAGCGAGAGGAGTTGATCTGAAACATAAAAACACTACGAATTAACAACACTGAGCGAGCACAAACTGGTGCAAGCAACAACTCATTCTGGAAATCACTCTGCTCACCAATCGCTATATGAATGTCCTTGACAATAGCTTTCAAATGTTGTTTAAGTGCCCTCATCTCCAGCTCCTCTATGTGGCTCTCATCCAGCTCCACGGATGGATCACAGGCCATCTCCAAGTCCAAGGCTGTATCATCCGTGCTGCTGCAGGACGGAGTCCAGTCCAACTGGGACAGGAACTGCTCCAAGTCTTCAAAAGAGTTCTCTCGGTCCAGCGTCTCCTGCGTGAGAGGCTCGTCTGTTTCCACATCCTCATCATCAAAGTTGGTGTTGAGATCATGAGAGTGTAAAGGTGAGAGCGAGGAGTCCGTGCTGAAGCTCTGTCCACCGAGACCACTGCTGGTAATCCTGATCGACTTCCTGTTGCTCTCTGAACCAAAGCACGTTCACACAAACAGACTCTATTATTCGTCTCAGCATTCCAGAACCACAGAACCAAGCTAAGCTTTTCACACAAACGGGACAAAATATACTTATGATTAAATATGTTCTGGTTTCTCCCCTCCAGCCCAACCTCACAAAGATCTGGCTCTGGTTTATACCTGGATGAAGAAGGCTGTGAATGCTGCGAAAGTGTCCCGGGGGAAAGGCGGGACTCTGAGGGAGGCCTTTACTAACGATGGGATACAGCTTGTTGTAAATGGTGTACTGCTGTTTCTTCAGCAGCTTCATCACAGGGTGGTCAGACTGGCTGAGGACACAGAAAATATTACTTTTAACTTAATATCCTGCATCTAGTTAAAATGCAAATGTTCAAATCTGACGCACATAAAAAAATACTTGACTGTTTAGTTAGGTGAGATAGTGTTCTCCTTACAAAAATCTACTTTTCTATTAAATTCATTTCAAAGATACTTTATTAATCCCAGAGGGAAATTAGAGTTTCAGTACACACAATTCAGAGATCAGACATACATGGGCAAGACACATGACAAGAATTGGTGACTGTGGTCATTCGCAACCCGAGTCGCGCTACCTTAATAAAGATAAGAGGGTTACATGAGGATTGGTTCAGGTGGAGGGAAAAAAAGGTACTTCAGAGTTACCCTCCAGTGGGAGGGCAGCTTTGCCCTGCAAAAATAAACACCTCAACAGAAATGCAACAGACTTCAGACAACATAAGTGTCCACTAGGTGGGGTGGTGGGTTGGGACAATCCCCACTTCAGTTCCTGCAGCCACGAAGCAGCGCATGTCACCTCAGTGTGGATAGGGGGAGGAGCATTTAGGGTTGGAGGGTTGCAGTGACCCTGGAACGCTTCGGCGGCCTTCCCGCAGTCCCGCCCAGGCTGGGAAAGGAGACAGAGTTGAGTTGCCATAGCAACGGCACATTCCACATATCTTCTGAGGGGGGAGTTTTCGTTGGAGCTTTGCAGGCTCAAGGGCGCCAGATTCAGATTAGAAATTGTTTTGGGGCCAGACAGAGATAATTTCCTCTCCGTCTTACAGTTTGTTGGTCCTCAACCTCTCAAAATCCCAATAATGGACATTAGTCTATCCCAATCCGTGCTGATTCGTCCACTCTCTCCTTGATGGCATCCATCTTTTGTGCCAAAGAATGAATCTCGGCCAAAGTCCCAAGCTTACGATTCATCTCAACAATTATGCGAGTGTGAATTCACAGCGCGGTGCAAACCATCTCTGAGCTCCGGGAGTGCACCAATATTCCTCGACAGCTTGTTAATTTTCCGGTAAGCCAGGTAGCCTCCATGGCCAATGAGCAGAAAACCTGACACCAGCACCACGAATATCCACACGTCTTCGGAGTCCGCCACAGACAGCTGAGATTAAATCCAAGTTCCACTGTTTCCAGGAGTCCATGACATGTCCAACTGGGTCTGTCCCGGTGGGGCATCCGGGAGCCTCTTCTCCCGTTCTCATCGTTGAAAATTTTTTATCAACCGCGTTGAGTGACCAACTGACGAGATCCATTTTAGTTCAGCTCTTCTGTGCTTTTATTCCTTACTGTAATCGCATAAAAGCCTAAAAACATCCGACTATCATCGGAACCACTTATTTCTCAGTAGGGTCACAGGGAGGTGGAGTCTATTGGGCCATTAACATCTGTACCGGGTCAGCCCAGGCCGGGTAGCGTAGGTTGTTACATATCTGGGTGGCCTGGTATTTTTCCGGGCCAACCAAGGCTCATTCTCAGCCCTCTTCTCGAGGGGGTCTGCTTCAGGCCGACCAGGGCCAACACACCCACTGCTGACAGCAAATTCACACCTTCCATTAGAGCAAGCCTCTGATTGGTGGGTAGAATCAGCCCACATGGGCTTAAGGCAAGGATGTGTGGAATCAACCGGGGCAGGCTGGGGCCGACTGGGGCTACCCGGCCCGGGCCGACCCGGTACAGATGGGAATGGCCCATATGTCCAACGATCACCGGGAGACAGGCTGGGACAGGGGTAGGTAACCCTGGTCCTAGAGGGCCGCAGTCCTGCTTGCTTTCCAACCATCTTTGTTGTTGTGCTGTTGTTACCTGGATCAGGTGTGTTCAGCCGATTAGAAGCTGCAAATCCATGCATGGCTGGAAAACATGCAGGACTGCAGCTCTCTAGTACCAGGGTTGCCTGCCCCTGGGCTGGGGACACACCAACATTCACACACTCACACCTTTGGACAATTTAGAGTCTCCAATCAACCCGACAGGTTTTAGGGCTGCAGGAGGAAATCAGAGTACCCAGAGAAAGCAGTTTGTGAACGTGCGAGTGCATGAATAATGGAAAAACTCTGAGTTTCTAGAAAAGCGCTATACAAATCTAGTGTGCTGCTATTATTATTAGTAAACCCAAGCATGCATAAGAAAAACATGCCAACTATGCAGAAAGGCTGCAGGCAGGATTCAAACCTGCAACGGTCTCAATGTGAGGCAACAGAGCAACCATCTGCACCATCATGCAGCTTAGATCAATAAATCATTAAATTAAATAAAAGTGGTTGTAAAAAATTCAATAATTTGTCCTAATTTAGTCACAACATTTTTATTTGGCTAAACTTGACAAAACTATAGAAAAATGAAATGCAATAAGATTTAAAGTTAGAGCTCAACGGTTTGTTATAGAAGATGCTACTCAGAAACTTTTGTTCTGCTGGCCTGTTAGTCGTGTAACAGCAGTGGGGCTAAAGGGAACGTTTTGGTAGTTTTAAAGAGCTCTTCTGTGCTAAAGTTGTAAATAATTCCCATCTCCCTCGTCGTCGTTAGCTTCCTGAAAGGCTGGCTGTTTAGGATGCGGCAGCGCTCCTATTAGCAGTTAGCTCATTGGTTCACTGAGGTCCAAACAGTTTCTCCAAACCAACGCTGCTCAGGAAACCACCCACAACGGGCGCGATAGCAAATCTTTATAACTTTCACTCAAAAGCACACTTCATGTTGGCCTGAATATGCCTGTAAGTTAAGAAGAGTTTGTGGAACGGCAGAGCAGAGTACACAGAATCTGCTGAACACAAAGTTAGACCTTTTCCAAAGCAAACACCGACATGCTGCTCAAAGAAAAATCAAGATTATTGTGCTTGAACGCACAACACAAAGTCCAACACCCTGACTTTTTCTATTCCAATCCCAAACTTAAACACACACAACGAACCCTAAAGACTGACTCGACTATTTCCATTTTCTCCTCCTCACGGAGTTTTAACCAGTTTGGATCAAGCACATAAACGTTAGACTAAACCTTCATGTTGCAGTCGATTACCTGAGCAGGTAGGAGACCAAATCGGATACTAAAGTGATGTCAGGATTCTTCTTCATGTTGGCTTTCCACTGTTTGGGCCAATCCTAAAAGAAAAGCATACAAATGACAACCTGTACAAACACAGTTAGAGAAATCAGATGAATCAGTGATTCAACCACACACACATGAATGAATGAATTCCACATTTGATTTGTTTTAACTGGGACATAATAAAATGGGTTTAGCAACACTCAATGCTTACATGATCCTGCTCATATTCCAACACGTTAGCGTAAAGACGTCGCTGCTCTCGTTCTTCTGCAGTCATTGCTCCAGATGCGGCAAATCTCCTAATAATAATAATAACAAACACACAAGGTTATGAAGCGATTCCGCTCCATTCCACACTCAAACTAAATCATTTATTAATAAAACTGTAAAAAAATAAAAGGAAAAATATAACAAGATTTAGTTATTCACATTTTCAGAACCATCACTATCAATCGGATTACATTTCGGTTATTTCTATAGAATTCCGATCATGTGAAAAAGCTTTCACAGATCATGCTATGACGGACCTTTGGCTTTCTTTCTGGGTGAAATGGCAAGCCTAACAGCACAGAGTGGTTTACAAAACCAAAAAATTCCTCTGGAGTGCTCAGAGACTTCAGATAACAACCCAGACTGATGAGTTTTTTCTTTTCTTTTTGCATGATAACGATAGTGCTGCAAGGTCCAGGAGACAATGAAATTAAGGCACAGCAACTGATAACTGATGTTCAATCAGATCATTCAGCATAAAAAAAACCCAGAAAAGCTTTATCACTACCTCATCAGACACAAAAAGGACCAACAATCCCAACCGGTCAGTAGAAGATTCAAAACTTAAGTATACACTGTAAAAAAAAAACCAACATAAATCATGTATACCTGTTGGCTTCCTCCTGTAGCCGTAGCCTTCTCTCCTCCATCTTCCTTTGCAGCTGGTGTCAACATTAAGGAAAAATTCAAACATCACAAACAGACGACCCCAACAAATATTGGCTATATATGAAAATGCAATATTAACACTTTTGATTGAAATAGGCAGCATATGTACTGTCTGGCCCAAAAAATAAGTCACCACCTGGATTTAACCAAGCAAATAGGTAGGAGCCCCCATTGGATAATTACTGCATGAATGAATGTCTTTCAGCTGCTGCAACAAGTTATTTAACCCCAACTGGTGCAGCGGGTTAGTCCATCTTCCCTGATGACACGAACATATTCCAAGATGACAATGCCAGGATTCATCGAGATCAAATAGTGAGAGAGTGGTTCAGGGAGCATGAGACATCATTTTCACACCAGAGTCCAGACCTTAACCCCACCGAGAGCCTCTGGGATGTGCTGGAGAAGGCTTTGTGCAGCGGTCAGACTCCACCATCATCAACGCTAGAGCTCAGTGAGACATTAATGCAACACTGGATGGAGATAAATCTGGCGAAGCTTATCGAAACAACGCCGCAGTGAGTGTGTGTCGTAATCAAAGTTAAAGGCGGTCCAATGATTTAGTAGAAGGTGACTTTTTTTTTTCCCCCTTTGGTTTTTCTTAGTTCTGCTTCTGGTGGGAAGTGAGTGAGCTACGCTGGATTTAGTCCCCGGGTATCAGACACATCTGACAGAGAAATACATTTACACATATTAAGGTTTTAATACCTGCATTCCACAAACTCCACTACCGGCAGGAATAAAACATAAGACATTATAAAAGCAGCAAGCCATAATGAACTTTAACACCGATAAAGAGAAGCAAGAACCAAAACAGCTGAATTGACAAACCCTGCTCAATCAAACATTCTGGTAGTTAAACCTGCCATTATCACCCAACCTCCATATCCCATTAAAAGTGGTGAAACTAGCAAACGCGTTGTTTAGGAATGGCTCAGAGACCGTGACAATAAATCTGAGGCGGTTCCTCTTAACATCAGACATGATGCTACGAATGACCAACATCTCCTTTAACTACAGTTAAAGTCATTTTCCCTCCCTGATAAATATTTCTTATTAAACCTGTTTTGCAAGCAACTTGTCCTTTACTGTGAGACTATCTGAACATCACATGATGCGCGTTGAATGCTTCTAATAAAATACAGGCGTTTTCATCTTAATTGTTCCTGGTAAATGCATCCATTTCCAAACACGTTTCTCCACAAAGGCTGAATAAATGTGTAATTAAACGCGTCAGACAAAAACGTCCAAAATGACATTTATATGTATGAATTTCCTATTAGGAAGGATCGAGACCTTAAACAACAACAAGAACTGCTAAAGGATACAGCATCCTGCCTGGCTTTGGCTATGATGAGATTCTCCATCATCTGCCGCTGGAGAGAGAGCGTCTGCATCGAACAATAAAAGGACATAAATAAATAAAAAGACACTTTAAACATATGCAGTCAAGGAAATTACAAATGATCATAAATTCTTTAAAAAGGACAACATCCAAGATTTCAGATTTTTTTTAATTTAAATTTAAAGATGGATAAAACAAGGCTAGAAAATTTAAAAACGCTTTGCTGAAAAATTCTAAAACACACACGCCTCACAAAACACGGAGAAAATTACAGAGAAAAACAAAGTTCTGAAAACGCTTCCATCAACATTTATGAGTCGAAAAGAAATCCAAAAAGGGAGAGCCCGTCGTCGTCCGTGCCGGCTTTCAAAACGTGGAATTAATGTCGCCTTTGCATTTTCAGCGCCAGTTTACAGAACAAATGCATGAAACCCGATGTGCGGACAAACACCTTTCTTAGAGTAGGCCAAGTGTAGTTGTTAGTGGTTTTTTAGCTTCTGTGTGAGCTCAGAAGTGTCTCGCTAACAATTTTATTGTGTCTATTAAAACATCTTGTTCAAAACATACTGGATGGAGGGAATTAGGGATGCAACGATACCACTTTTTTTCCAAACCGATACGATACCGATACTTGGATCTGAATACTCGCCGATACCGATTACCGATACAGATACTTCTACCACACAAAAAATGCAATGATTTGGAATACAGATTTTATTTTCTTCTCTGCTTTCAACAGGAAAAGACTGAGGTAGAAAAAAAGCAAAATATATGAATAAAAATCATCACAAAACTAAAATATTAGGTGAACAGAAATGACAAGTTACAGTGAAGCCATTTTCAAGAAGCTGCATTGGTATCGGTTGACTTTTACCGATACTGGTATCGTATCGGTATCTGCACCGATACCGGTATCGGCATCGGTGCATCCCTAGAGGGAATCACAATACTTCAAGTCATGTTTTCGAGGCAGATGAGGGGAAGACACATAATGAGGATAAATGATACATAAAACTTGTAAAAGTGTGAAACTACAGGAAGTCCAGCACATTTCTATCCTAAAGGTGAGAGGCAAACTAGCGCTAATTATTACAACAAACAACTAGACAGTGCACTAGCAGCTCGCACAGCATCATCAAAAGCTGTTTCCAGACATCATGACCACCTGTTTATTTATAAAAGCACTTCCCACGAGTTAGATTTTTTTTTATTTCCAGTCATTTGGATACAAAAAGTGTGTACGCCATTTCTAGTCAAAGTTGAAATAAACGCAAAACCCAATTCTGTGAAATTATCGTTCATCAAGTAGCTCTTCTTCTCCAAAGGTGCATCAATAAACACTGAACATAGACATGCAGAACATAGATCTTTCCTTAAATGATGCGTTTTAAATGATCATTTATATAGCACCTGTCAAGATAAAAATCATGAGGCGCTTCACAAGAAAACGTTTTAAATAATATAAAAAACATTAATGATTTTAAAATATCGTAAAAGTGGGAAAAGTAAAAATTGTGATGAAAAGTGTTTATCTGGGATCAGTATTTTTAAAATGATGCAATATGAGAAAATATTTTTCAATACAATTATTTAGTCATGGAAGTCATTTAAGCGTCGCTTCTTCGTGTCGAACCGGTGTAGACTAGTCGGCTCCGGCTCACGCGCGCGCTCTGGTGCAGCAGAACTGCTGGTAATTAGCTAGCACGGCTTTACCTTTACAAACGTCTTTAGCTTTCTCCAACAAGGACGGAGCTCCACCTGCGTCCGAAGAAGTTTCCGTATCTAAAGTTGAAACCCCGTTTTTAGAAAATGGTTCTTTGAGCACAAATGTCGCGTTGAGGACAAAAGTAAACTTTTAACTCACCATTTTTATTGTTTTAACGAAGGATAAATTTTCTTCCAAGAAATGAACGATGAAGACAAAAACGCCGAAACCTCGACTCGAGCTAGCGTTAAATAAAGCAACCCTCTCCGGTACACGCCCACCTCCACCTGGTCACTGACGGAGCTCGCGCCAAACCGGAAAACACAAAGGATTTCAAAATAAATGCACCGGAAGTCGATTATCTCCTTCAACCCGTTTCACATTATTTTATTTAAAGCTTTTATGCATTTTACTCTGTTTGATAAATATTAGAGAACTACAGTTATATGCTTAAATTGATTAGATTTATTTTTAAACATACTAGTGTCATTATACCAATCAGAGTTTGCATGTGCACACTGTAAGGCTATGGGTACTCTGGTAGTGAACTGTGATTAAAAACTTTACTTCCATCCATCCATTATCCGGGGTTGGGTCGCAGGGACAGCAGTCTAAGCAGAAAGCCCCAGACTTCCCTCTCCCCAGCCACTTAAGCCAGCTCCTCCAGGGGAATCCCAAGGTGTTCCCTGGCCAGTCGAGAAACATAGTCCCTTCCTGTGTGTCCTGGGTCTTCCTTTAGGTCTCCTCCCCGTTGGATGTGTCTGAAAAACCTCACCAGGGCGGCGTCAAGGAGGCATCCTAACCAAATGCCCAAGTCAACTGGCTTCTCTGGATGTGGAGGAGCAGCGGATCTACTCCAGGCCCCTTCCGGATGACTGAGCTTCTAACCCTGTCTCTAAGGGAATGCCCAGACACCCTGCAGACAAAATAACTCGTTTTGGCTGCTTGTTTCTGTAATCTTCAGTCCTTACTCAAAGCTTGCGACCATAGATGAGGGTTGGAACGTAGGTTGAACGGTAAATCGAGAGCTTTGCTTCCAGCTCAGCTCTCTCTTCACCACTTTTCCTTAAACCAAAATGTTTAAAAGAAGTAACCTAAAAGATTTAATTATCCCAATGTGTGATAAATGCCTTGGATAAATGTCTCAGGGCTCAGTGAAGTCAAGGCTACCTAAAAGACTAGACAACAAAAGGCTCGCAATTTACACAGCAAAGTTTTAGAAGGCATCTGTGACATAAAGGTTTACTGACACAGTTTCGTCCCAGTCTGATTGTGATGAACAACACTTTATGATCATTGCTTTCATCAAAGTTCAAGAGTTTCCATCCCTTTGTTGCTGCTGCTGGGTCTATGATGCAGTGAGTGACCTTGGAGTTTGGAGGATTTAAACTTCTCACTCTGAAAGGCATTTACGCCGGGGACACACCGGCCGCGGAAGCGCCGCGAAAATGGGACCGCCTTCATTCGGCGCCCTTGTTAAGCTATTCTATAGGCCACATGGGCCGCCGAAGCGCCGCGAATCGCCTTGCGCCGGCGCTCCAGCTCGCGCCGTGCAGCGATCATTTCGGCGTCGGCTCTATTTTTTTCGCGAGCCGCGGGTGAATCGCGTCAATTCTGGCAGGAAGTCAAACCTAGACATAAGAGGCAGGCCGGTAACGTTAACAAAATAAAGCATTTCAAAATAAAATTACGCAATCAAATGTGTTCGTAATCAGACACTGCAGAAAAACCACACGAACACACACACATACACACAGCGAACTTGTGTGCGTGTGTGACCGCGTGAAGGGGGGTGTGGTTTTGGGTGTCTTTTCACGGAGCAAACAGGACAGAGAGGCTGAAAGTCTGAGGCAAGCAGTTAGGATGGATGACTTTAAATTAATTATGGAAGTTGAGAAACACAAGGAGCTGTACGACCCCCGAAAAACATGATTATTCACGTACCCATTTAGGAAGAAACTGCTAGGATGCAGCTGCAGAATTGGAGCGGGTTCCAAGAGATTCAACTGGCAGAAACATAGATTCTCTCTCTCTCACACACACACACACACACACACACACACACACACACACACACACACACACACACACACACACACACACACACACAAAGGTGTTTCCACGTTCAAGGAAAATATTTATTTATAATATTATTTCACACACACGTACGCGCGCGCGCGCACAAACACTCAAACGTAGAGGAAAAGAGCAGAGGAAAGGCAGAGAGGAAACGGAGGACACCAAGTGTTTAAAAGAAAAACTACAGCTGAGCCGAGGCGCGCCTCGACTGGGGCGCGTCTGATCTGAACTGAGGAGCGGCGATCAGCGGCCGAATTTCGTGAGCGATTCGCTTCTCGGCGCTTCGCGGCGCTTCGCGGCGCTTCCGCGGCCGGTGTGTCCCCAGCGTTAATGTGCAGGTCATGCAGCAGCCACATGCAGAGTCGAGCTCTCTGTAACTGTGCATGTTGAAAACACACGAAGGCTGCACTAAAGATGAACCAAACTATCTGCTCAAGAAACACAAAACTGTATCAAACACAGAGCGAGAAATCACCTAGCCTTGTTGTTTTAGGTTTATAATTTCACACAGCAGTCCAACAGGTGAAACTATAACCCGAGTGAGAAGAGTTCGTCAGAGGGCCGTCCGACTAATTATTTATCACATCGTGTTGTTACCACAATAAAACTATTTCCTTCACAAGCACTTACTAAAGACGTCTTCTGGTAGGCCTGACCAGGTGCGAGTCTTGCAACTCGAGCTTCATAATTAGCCTTTAACTTCTGGTTCATACGTGATGCTTCCTCTAGCGGGGTCAGCCCCCTGCAACAAACACACCAAAGCACGACATGAAGGGCGCATCAAAGCCACATAAACCAAGTCTTTTTCTACATATTTCACACGCGTGTTTTCATAATGCAACTCTACATTCTACGTTTGGTAAAGAGGAGCAGATGCTCCCGCTGGACGCCTGAACTTCTCAAACCATCTCTAAGATTCTCATTTCATCTGCTTGTCCTGCAAATATAAGAGTTCACATTTTTATCTGACTGCTGGAGAAAGGGACTCTGAACAAGATTACGCAAGCACAGAGAATGAAAGGACTGATAGACGTATCTGTTTGGTGGTTCGGCCCAGAGTGTTGCTCCCTAATGGAAACAGCACGATTACAGGTGTCAGTATATCTGTGCTTATCTGTACTTTGAAAGTCACATGAGGCAACATCAATCATGTATCAGCTCTCGCTAACAAATACCACCTCTCACTTTTTGCATTCGTCCTGTGAAGCCACTGTCTGAAACCTCTGGAAGACTTCGGGAGGCAGAAAAGGGGAGAGTTCTCCATCGGCCTCTGGCAAAACCTGGTGATGGGCGCCTTTTGGCAAACTGTCTGCTTTGTTTTGTGCATCAATACAAGGAGAGTCTGTGACAGCTGAAGTGAGATTCAAAAACAACATCACAGGGTGAATTCGTCCAGAAGCCAGGTTAAAGCTAGCAGTGACTGTACTCACTGGTGTTTGCTGTAGGGACGCCAGCAGTGTGACAGTTCTGGGATAGACCAGCTGAACAAGAAGGAGTGGAGGCGGGGGGGTCAGGAGGGTCAGAACGCTTTTCTATGGAAGACTTGGCTCGTTCCAGACACTGCTCAGCCAGTCTCAGCATCCTCTCTACTTCCACCACTACCAGCTCCATCTCCTCTAAGGCAGGACAAAAAGAAAATGAAAAGATTTTTATTTTTAAAAACAAGCACCTTGGCTGATTCCTTTAATTCAGGTTTACTATATAATGGCCATTGTATGGTATCTTGAGCGTTTTCTTATTCCATCCATCCATTTTCAGCGACCTATCCAGGGTCGGGTCACAGGGGCAGCAGCCTAAGCCGAGAGACCCAGACTTCCTCTCCTCAGCTACTTGGGCCAGCTCTTCCGGGGGAATCCCAAGGCGTTCCCTGGCCAGCCGAGAGACATAGTCCCTCCCGCGTGTCCTGGGTCTACCCTTGGGTCTCCTCCCAGTTGGACATGCCTGGAAAACCTCACCAGGGAGGCCTCCAGAAGGCATCCTGACCAGATGCTCGAGCCACCTCAACTGGCTCCTCTTGGCGTGGAGTGGGTCTACTCCGAGCCCCTCCCGGATGACCGAGCTTCTCGCCCTATCTCTAAGGGAGAGCCCAGACACCCTGTGGAGAAAACTCATTTCAGCCGCTTGTATCCGCGATCTCGTTCTTTCGGTCACTACCCAAAGCTCGTGACCATAGGTGAGGGTAGGAACGTAGATCGACCCGTAAATCGAGAGCTTTGCCTTCTGACTCAGCTCTCTCTTCACCACGACAGACCGGTACAACGCCTGCATCGCTGCAGATGCAGCACCAATCCGCCTATCGATCTCATCCCAGCTGCTTCACACTCGGCCGCGAACCGCTCCAGCGAAAGCTAGAGATCCCGTTCTGATGAAGCCAACAGGACCACATCATCTGCAAAAAGCAGAGACCTGATCCTCGGGCCACGAAAATGAATCCTTGAATACTTAGTTATGTGTTTTATTATCTGCTATGGACCATTTTGTGTATTTAATAAATTGATTGATTGATCCCCTCAACACTTTGGCTGTGCCTGGAAATCCCGTCCATAAAAGTTAAGAACAGAATTGGTGATAAAGGGCGGCCTGTCCAACTCTGACCAGAAATGAGCTCGACTTACTGCCGGCAACGAGGGCCAAGCTCTGACACCGGTCACACAGAAACCTGACAGCCCGTATCAGAGGGCCTGGTACTCCATACTCCCGTGCTTGAGCTTTTTCTTAATCAATCATGTCTAACTTAATGTTCATGCATTACATTCAATATGCAACAAAACACACATCTTACTTTGGTGCGCTTCTTCCTCCAGAAGTGCTTGTGAAATGTAGTTGATGGTCCGCAGGTATTCAAAGTAAGCTTCCTGCAGAGAGATCATCATCAGGTAAATAACTAGGGTCAACAATATTAATTATTACTGAAGCTGGATTATGGTGACGTGATTTACAGACATGCATCTTCTTCTCACTCTGAATACAGTCTAAAATGGTGTTTTGAGATTTATTACATATTTTAAATTGCTTTCACATCATTGTCTGCAATTTGATCCAGCTGACTCTTCTGGCTTGTCTTGTAAAATAAAATAAAGCACTGGTATATTTACATTTATGAAGCTATGTGAGCCAAAAAATATGTGAATCCACCTTATTTTCTACATTTTTAGTCATTTTAGTTCTCCGTGCAAACTAGTTAGATGATTTCAGACGCTATTAGATGACCTGCAGCAGTTTAACTGCCTCATTATTATAATTATTGTTGTTGTTGTCCACACTGGAAGAAGTTTCATGTTGTCTGAAAATCTCAGTAAAAGCTCACCAGTGATAGATCACGACAGATAGCTAGTAAGATTTTTAAAAAAGCCAATAAGTCTAAAATGAATAATTGAAGCTAATTAACACTTATGTGCTAACAGATGTTCGATTTTTCTTTCAAACATAAATAATTCAAATAAAATAGAGCTGAGATATCCCGCAGGTATAGACAATACTACTGGTGTTAACAATAATATCGTTATAAAAGTGTTTTACTGCACTAACTAGTGAAGTCCAATCAGTATTTGTTGTTTATAGAAATGTATACCAGTATTAAAACTTAATTAACCAAACCAGTCTCGTTGATTCAGAATACATATAAAATAATTTAAAAAAAAACGTAAGCAGATGGAATAATTATGAGCAGCAGGCTCCAAGCAGGTTTACTGGGTTTACGGAAATTTCAGCTCAATTTTAGCCTCCGTCCCTTTGGTCTGTTTACATTTCTACTCTTTTCTGTCCGGTGGAAACAAAAAGCTCAACATCACGTTCCTGCTGATCTACCTTATGTTTGTTGTCTCCGTCCAGTTGAATGGCTGTTTTTGCCATTTTCATGGCATTTTGAAGAGGTTTCACGCCGCTGTCAGTTGTAGCCATGGTGGTGTTTGGGATGCTTTTTTTTGCCTTCTTCTTCTTCAAAAAATTGTCTTCTTCGTTGTTTGCACTCAAGAACAAATAAACACCGCCCCCTGCTGTTCATTGTCTTCACATGACACTCTTCCCCTAACTTTGGCTAATCAAGAGCAAATATTTGAAATTCACATGACTTGTTATTCATAATGAGAGGACTAAACAACCCCCCCAAAAATATAGAGATTACATCCTTTAACATAACTTTTAAAAATGGTAAATAAACGTGTTGGAGAAGAGTGCTTTGTTTGTGAACACACGAGACGAGTTAGAAAAAACACATGAGTCATATGTTCACCATAATCTAATAGAATACAATTAGCCACAAATCACTCTTTTGCGACTCATCTATTTTGAGTCACAGGATTGTGACGCTCCTTGTCCGGTAGGGGGCGCAGTGTCATATTTCCTTTGTTTTATTTCGGTAGCACTTCCGGGTTCTAATGTTTACATCTGGTCGCAGCTTGTTAGCCACGGAGTTTTCTTTATTGTAAAAAGGAACTCTGTTGTTATCGCAAAAGAAAATGTGTTCCGAGTGTTAGGATCTGTGCACACTCACGGTATGCTCTGCCTAAAGGCGACATTAACTTTATTATAAATGCTCGTGACTAACTGAAACTGCGCATACTGACTCAAGCTAACCAGCTAACGTCAGGTTTTGTGATACAACGCTAGAAAAATTTGTTGTAAAGTTAAATGTACCAAACGTCTTTGTGTGTGTTTTTAAATGTCCATGAAGCTCATTATTTCTATTATAGAACGTTTTTCATAACAAGACTAACGCGAATGCGACTTAAAAATGATCAACTTTACAAAATACCGATATTAAATTGTCTTTCTATTTATCTGCCTGTAGAAAAAATGTGTAGTTTCTCCTCTCTGTTCTTACACTGCAAATTAGAAACGTGTAAAAATAATACACATTTTAAGGATTTTAAAAAATATAGATAATGCACCATTTTAGAATAATCAATCACATTTAACTGATTTTATGAAAGTTTTGGTCAATATTAGTTTCCTCCAGTCAAGAGATTTTTTGCAAAACACTTCTCAGAATTTTATTCATTCATTCATTCTTTGGTTTGTTGCTTTCTTTGAGATCAGATTGTGCTGACGTACACACAGAAGGCCAGTGGAACAAATAGAAGTTTGTTTTCGTATGTTTTTCCACAGTGGCACAGGCAGCAGAGCACACCTCACAGGATCAGCTGCTGACACACAATAAACGATGAGGAAGAAAATCAGGCGTCTAAAAACATCAGAGATTTCACGTCTGGCCAGTCGGATCCAAACAGCAGCAGATGTGAGTGAGGACAAAAAGCTGTCTGGCAACAGAGGAAAACCCTGTAAGGCCATTTCTTCAACCACCTACAGCTTTTGTGTTGACGGTATAGAAACGGACAAGGCCGCTGCCTCAGACCTCAACATGAAAAGTGCAAACGATATGCAGAAAGAGCAAGAGAGCAAGACCAGACCTTCAGGTGAGTATACTACTTTTAAGTAGTTCATAGCTGGAAATGCAAGAAGGCCGTAGCATCAGTGCCTTGGTCAAGGGTCAAAGGCTAACACCTATAAAAACCTCATTGCTGTGTTTCCGAGTGTTACCTTGTGTCTATGGTCTGAGTGCAGGTGCTAAAACTCATTGATGGGGTTGTTTGAACTTGAACGATTCCAATTCCTTGTTTCAATTCTAGTTCCTAGTGATTCTCGATTCTTTCAAGCGGCTAATAACTTTACATGTTTTAAATGAGCCAGTTAACTGTAGGTCTTACTTGATGAAATGGCCCTGAACATCTCCATTACCTTTAGTTTTATTAACTTTCTAAAGTGAAGCCACACTTTAGAACATGGTAACGCAAACACTCCTGGTGGAGTCCTCGTTGTTGGCATTCAATCCAATCCAATTTTATTTATAAAGCGCATTCACATGGCATTACAACCAAACAAGGCGCTGTACACTAAAAATGTTAGTTAATTAAACCGGCGTTATACAAACATGTCGAACACAGATAAAGATAAAAAGGAAATACAACAAAATTCCCAAAAATAACAGCTAAAAATCAATAAGACACAGGGTGAATAAAAAATTAGAAAAACATTTTAAAAAGAACCTCAATAGTACGGAAGTCGATAATTGTGGAGTCCATTTTTAAACAGTGCAGATGTAAGTGATGGTCATAATTATGTTATATAAGCTAGGTTGAAGTAGTGAGTTTTCAGGCGTGATTTAAAAATGCTAGCTGTTGGTGCTTGCCTCACTAGCAGTGGTAATGCGTTCCACAGCTTGGGTGCACAGACAGAGAAAGCCCTTTCTCCACGGCTTTTTAAACGTGCCTTCGGAACAGCTAGGAGGAGCTTATCTTCAGACCTGAGAGCACGCGGCGGGTTGTAGTAATGGACAAGTTCACACAGATATGGAGGAGCTTGATGGTTCAAAGATTTGTAAGTCAGAAGCATAATTTTGAAGTTTATCCTGAACTGCACGGGCAACCAGTGGAGAGATTTCAGAATTAGAGAAATGTGTTGTCTTCTGTCAGCTCCAGTCAGCAACCTAGCTGCTGAATTCTGGACCAGCTGAAGTCTAGAAAGAGCTGCTTTACTGATGCCGTATAAGCAGTATATTCAGTGACTTCTTGCTGTTGGCGGACTGAAAAACGAAACTACATATCAGAATAGAAAATTTGAACAATTCCAGGAAAAACTGAAAATTGGTCCTGATTACAATCAATGCTCGATGCCCTACCCTACTTGTTGAACAGCGGATGTGATTAATCGTTGGAGATGTTATCCCAGCCCCTCCTGCTGTGCTTCTATTAGCATACCTGCCCACAACTGGTTCAGCAAGTTCAGCTCTCTCTGTGGGAGGGTACACGAGGTAACAGGGTACAAGGCAATCTCAGTGAAAGCTTCATAAAACATCTCCATCTTCGGCTTGTTAATTAGAAAATGAGATGACTTGTTGTGAATTAGCGCTATATTAATGAACTGAATAGTTACCTTTAATACTTTAATCACTTTTGTGAATCGCCTGCACCAACGGCTTAATTACTTATTCACAAGGATGCAGTCATGTATTTAATTATTGAGATATGTGATTGTTTGTTTTGCACTATCCTGCATGGTACTACTGTAGATCATTTTTTAATGTATATTGTATATCATATTTCTATTTCACCTGTTCCTTTGTCACTCCGACTGCTTTGAGCGTGTACATGACACAAGAATTTCCCTCGGGATAAATAAAGTTGTTCTTATCTTATCTTATCTTAATAGTGCAGCCTTTGGTGGCCTCTCTTACACATTTTGGCATCGTAGTTTAAAATGCAGCCTGGAGTCGATCCCTGTAAATACCTTTAGGAGTCTGCCAGTTCCTTAACTTCTCCTTTTCTGCCTTGTGTATTTGTTTGTATCCTGTAGTACTTTGTACTTTTTCTTAAGTTCATTTTTTATGCTCACAACTGGAGTATTTAGTCTCAGGTTTTTCGTAATTAATGAAATTATTTGTATTGTGATTGGTACTCGGAGGAACCAGGATGTACTTTTGCCTCTTCACAGGCAGACTGTCCACTGCTGTCTGCCGGCTTTGCCACGGAAAGTTCTCCCCACGCAGCCTTCGGCACGCCTTCAACAGATGGCCTCAGGATTCTCTGGAAATGGTTGACGAGTCAGACGCCACGTCCCAGCCTCCTCTTTTGTTTCATACAGATTTCCAGAGGTTGGTTGGGGTCCAACTGGACCGTGACCCCCGACTTTCAGAGTTTATCTGTAAAAAATGCTTTGCAAAGTTCTACAAGTGCCACAATATCCTGATCAGGTTCCTGCAGAGGGTCAACCTCCCTCCTGTTGGAAAGGAGAACCTGCAAAGTCGGTGAGTTGTGGGGGGAAATGCAGCTGAGGGCTTATTTAAAAGTCAGAGTTTATTTAAATGTAAAACCAAGTAATTTCTTTTACTTTTTAGGAAGAATTCAAAGTGTCAAGAGTCTTCATTAATTCACAGCTCCGGATGTAAATAAGATCAGAATTTTCAAAAACATCTTTTTGTCTTTTTCGGCACAAAAATTTCTCTTTCTTAATGTATTTTTGTTTGACTTTTTTTTTAGCACCATCGTCCATTACATCTGATCCTAAGTGCCTCCACAGTCTGGTATCCTGGGCTCACCATCACGGAGAAGCATGCCGTTCCTGCCCTGACCTGAAGGAGGTGCTAAGGGGGCAGTGTTGGGGTTCTGTGAAAACGGTGTGGGGATGCATCGACGGTCACAGATACATTATGGACACCACTGCATCCTACCCGACCCACACAGTGAACTCTAGCAGGGGAGTGTTTAAAGTGGATAACAGTGACGGAGGGATTTCAGGGGAGGAGGAGCCAGGACAACGGGATGAGGAAGAAGAACCTTGTGGGATTGAAAGGACATCAGCAGGAGATTTAGACTCTCTAGTTGAGCAAAATCTACTTTCAGGCACAGCGGAGACGCAGAACACAGCACAGGATGAGTGGACCGGCAGCAGTGAAGGTAAAACCCTTTAGAGCAGGATCACTTACAGAAAACCCGTTTCTCAGAATTACAGACCAATGCTAAATGATGCTGAAAGCCCAAAATGTTTTTCTCTATAGATGCTGAGTAAAATGTAGACACAATGAGTCCTTTGGAGTTACCTTTGGTGTGTTGTTTTCAATTCCTCCAGGCCGTAAGGAGGCGAGGAGTCTGACTGCTGCACCGCTGCAGGACAGGGCTGCTGATAGCGATCTGTCTGACAGGTTAGCCTCTTTGTGCAAATTGCTGGTGGAAACAGCAGGAAAGCAAAACAAAACTGTAATTTTTACCCCATTAAAGTAAAGGGTATGTATTCAGGATTAGGAGTACGTGTTTAATTCCTAAAATGAATTAATAATTTTTTATACATCTGTTTTTTACCATATATATTATTTTAAAGTAATATATCATAAAAGTAAATGAAATAATTAAAGACTAATGAAAAAACCGTTTAACTGAATAATTATTTCAGATTTAATTCAATTCAGTTTATTTATACAGCACCAATTCACGAGTAATTTCAAGTCACGTTACAAAGTAAACATTCTGTTTGAATCTACTTATCAGAGTTCAGTTTGTTATGCCAAGTAGTTTAAAGAGCAAGTCACCCCCTACCAGAGTATTACTCCACTCCCACTTCCTGTTTAAAAAATGCAACAAATGCTGTTGCCTAGCAGACCGAGAGGGCGGAGCTGCTAACACACACACACACACAGGCTCACAACGACATTGTGACATCATATGTGTAAGAATTTAATATGCATATTATTTAATGAGACATGAGATTCCATAGTAAATATATATTAAATCAGTCTTATGGATCTGTGGGTTATTTTAACCAGAAGGTTGGAACTTTGTATTGCAGGGATTAGATAACAGCTTCGTATTCATTCAGAGATAACAGAAGAGAGAGTCAAGTTTTAAAAGTTTAAAGATTTATTACTAAACAAATTAAAACTAGACTAACTTTAACACTAAATGTATGGTGTAACTAAGGTGAATGAGACGGAGAATGGTGTGATGTGGAATGTTGATCAGAACCAGCAAATCCGAAGAAACGATTAGTTCTGATTGGAGTGAAGGTGATGTCTTCGCGCTAAGCTTTGGTTGGGAGATTCATAAACACATAAGACGCCATTCTGCTGGCCTACATACCCTTAGCGGAAGTCCCCGTCTAGATCAGGAGGTGTAGAGGTCCAGCTTGGACCTTCTGGAGCCCAAGCCTGTAGAACAGCCGCGGTCGCCGACCAGTCCAGTCTTGAGATACTTCCGGGTCACGACAGTTTTATTGGCATCTAGCAAGACCCAAAATGGGGACGTGATGGTTCAGCTTTTATTCTGAAAGGAACCGTTGCAGCAGGTGGAACAGCAACAGATTTTATCCAGCTTGTCGTTGGTTCTTTCGGCTGAAGAGGAAAGTTACGGATTGGCCACTCCGACAACTTCTCTAGAACGCTTTGAACTGCGTTAGAGATGACGTGGGCATAGTTTTATACTTCGGATGTTTTGGTTTATGGTCGAATGAAAAGATGACAGATTTACCAAACACCACCAAAACCACGCCTCCGTCAGATCTGTCAGATTCTGATTGGATCAGTAAAGCAATGTGTCATGTGGCTTAACCTTACGTGTGATCAGTCCTAGTGGAAACATTTAAAGTTATGTTACTTATTATATTCTGTAGGATTATAATATCAAGTAATTAATATATTCATTTCACAGATTGGTTCACATTTTATTATTGACTAACATTTTGTTTGATTAGCTTATTAAAAATAGAGTTCTTTGATTAATTAAAAAGAGAGAGTCCTCTCTTCATTCTTCTCTTGGGCTGGAAAGGAAAACAGTTTAAAAGCAGATGCATGAGACCTTGAACAATATCTCATGCAGACTAGTCCTTGCTGAGGAGAGGGGGGGAATGACTTTTAGGTGGAAAACAGTCATTTCATTCCGTTACATATGGTACCAGCTAACGTTCTAGGGTACCTCTTAGCCAATAGCGATGGCAGATTTAAATTCAAATGCAGTGCAGAGTTTTTACCTGACAACGGTGCAACGCTGACAGTTTTAGGCAGAAAATTTAAATTTGAACTAAAATGCACTAAAGTGCAAAACTTCTGACTACACGTGTCTGCAGCACGATCAGACACACATTTATATAATTTAATAGAAAATAAGTTGATCTGCAAGAAATTACTCCACTCCCACTTCATGTTTGAAAAATGCAACAAAAGACTGAGAGGACGGAGCCGCCAACAAATGCACACAGACATGCACTGTGACATCATAATGTACCATCTAATGCCATTGTGTACTTCTTAGCCGACAGAGGTGGTAGATTTCAATTCAGTTGCAGTGCTGAGTTTTTACCTGACGACGGTGCAACGCTGACAGTTTTAGGCAGAATATTCAAATTTAACTAAGATGCACTAAAGTGCCGAATTATTGAGTACACGTGTCTACAGCACGATCAGACACTCGTTTATATGGTTTATCAGCAAAAAAATGTTGATTTGGAGTGACTTGCTCTTTAAAGTGTCCTATACAAGGAATCCCAGCAGACTGCATCGAGTCACTGACTAGTGTCAGACGCTTTACATCAATCCTCGTACTAAGCAAGCATGCAGCGACAGTGGAGAAGAAAACATCTGCATTTGGTTTTGACAAGAATGTTGATGAACTCTGTACAGAAACCGTGGCTGTTAGGAGTAGATTTTCAGAAATCGTAACTGATTTCCGTGTTTTCAGGGCGATTTCTGAGGATGAGCTTGAGAACAGAAGAGGTGGTTTGTCGGATGAAGAGGTGTTTGAGCCGCACTCACACAAGAGGTTGGTGTTAAACACAACAGTCAGAATAACACAACCGCCAGGTGAAAATGTCTTCATTTGTAAATCTCATTTTTGCAGCTCTGGCTGCTAAACATACATAAACCCATTGAACATGGCTGCTGAGCTGTTGTATGAAGTACACCTCTCCTTCTCCCAGAGCTCGCAGACTGAACATCAAGAGAAGACAAAGCCCAAAGTCTCCAGAAGAACCCAGAGCCCGAAAGAAACCTGGACCTAAACCCGGCTGGAAGAACAAGTTCAAACCAAAAGGGTGTGTCCATGTTTGTTTTTCATTTTTTAATCTATATCGGCTAATTTGTCAGCTAAGATGAAGAGAAGTTTTGTTTTTCTCTCTTTAGAGAAGAGCTTCCCAACATCTATAAGTGTCCGTATCAGGGCTGTACGGCCGTCTACAGAGCTCCAGACGGCCTAAAGGTCCGTTCTTACCGTTCTGCTGTTATGAAGCCCCGCTATAAAAACAGTCTGATTCAGAACTGTGACTTTGTTTACTATGTAAACAAACAAGAGGCTGTGCTAGTGTTTATAACCTGAATCAGTGTGGTGTTCTTGCTCTTTTATAGAAGCACATAAAGGAGCATCACGAGGACATGAGGGAACGACCTTGCCCCCATCCCGGCTGCAACAAGGTTTTTCTGATCGACCGCTACCTGCAGCGACACGTCAAGCTCATCCACACAGGTGTGGCCTGCAGAGGGCGACTTTCCTTTGTGGTATTTCAGGGAATAGCCTCGTCTTTGGTGACACTGGTACACGAGTTAAAATCAAGACACAAACTTTATTATTTAGACTTTTTATTCTCTGTTTTCAGAGGAGAGGAACTACATTTGTGATCAGTGTGGTCAAACGTTCAAACAGAGGAAACACCTGTCGGTTCACCAGATGAGGCACTCAGGAGCTAAACCACTCCAGTAAGTCCTAACGCTGTGACCGTGGTATTCAGTAGCTCTTCTACTCAATTCTGCAGTTTAAAAGTTCACCAAATTATTTGTAATGATTTAAATTTACATGTTATTTAAGAAGCCATAAGATTCTATATGAAATCCACCTCATGGATCTGTGGGTACTGTTTAACCAGAAGATTGGAACTTTTTATTGCAGGGATTAGGTAACACTTCGTATTCATTCAGAGACAACAGAAGAGAGATTCGAGTTTTTAAAGTTTAAAGATTTATTACTAAACAAATTAAAACTAGACTAACTTTAACACTAAATGTATGGTGTAACTAAGGTGAATGAGACAGAGAATGGTGTGATGTGGAATGTTGTTCAGAACCAGCAAATCCGGAGAAACGATTAGTTCTGATGGGAGTGAAGGTGATGTCTTCGTGCTAAGCTTTGGTTAGGAGATTCATAAACATATGAGACGCCATTTTTGTCGGCCTACATACCCTTAGCGGAAGTCCCCATCTAGATCAGGAGGTGTAGAGGTCCAGCTTGACCTTTATGGCGCCAAAGCCTGTAGAAGCAGCCGCAGCAGCCGACCACTCGTCTTGAGATACTTCCGGGTCACGACAGTTTGTTAGCAGCTAGCGAGACCCAAACCTGGTTCGTGATGGTTCAGCTTTTATTCTGAAAGGAACCGTTGCAGCAGGTGGAACAGCAACAGATTTTATCCAGCTTGTCGTTGGTTCTTTTGGCTGAAGAGGAAAGTTACGGATTGGCCACTCCAACAACTTCTCTAGAACGCTTTGAACTGCGTTAGAGATGGCGTGGGCATAGTTTTATACTTCGGATGTTTTCATTTACCGTCGAATGAAATGATGACAGATTTACCAAACACCACCAAAACCACGCCTCCGTCAGATCTGGTAGATTCTGATTGGATCAGTAAAGTAATGTGTGATGTGGCTTAACCTTACGTGAGATCAGTCCTAGTGGAAACATTTAAAGTCATATTACTTATTATATTCTGTAGGATTATAATAAAGTAATTAATATTTTGATTTCACAGATTGGTCACATCTTATTATTGACTAACACTTTGTTTGATTAACTTTATTAAAATATAGTTCTTTGGTTTATTAATAGGAGAGAGTCCTTTCTTCATTCTTCTGTTGAGCTGAAAAGAAGCAGTTTATAACAAATGCATGAGACCTTGAGGCAACATCTCATGCAGACTAGTTCTGTGTCAGAGGAGAGGGGAAAATGACTTTTGGTGGAAAACAGTCATTTCATACCGTTACATATTGATAAAATAATCTTTATTTTTGGGTCAAACTTTTGGCAAAACGTCATGCAGAAGAGGACTTTCAGACACGTGGAAATAATTGATTCTAATTTTTTTATCTGTTGTAAATAGATTTTATTCCTATTAGTAACCCACTGTGCAGAGACCCAGTTGTGACGTCCTACAGACGCGGTCTGGACCGACGGACTCAACAGACATGATCTGCACTAGCCTGGCTAGATCTGCACGTCCATGCCACGTTGACCGTTTGCAGGGAACAATCGGCCAAAAATACGAAACATTTCAACACATAATTTACAGAATTTTTCTTCTGGTTTTTGATTTTCTTAGAAATAAATGAATTGGTAATTTTATATCCATATGGTAGGACCAGTTAAGCTGTGTTTGATGTATTTGATCGTTAAAACATTCAAATCATCACAACTGAAGTAATTTTTTTGACTGTAATTTTATTTTGAAGAATTTTTCTGATTTCTACCTTTGAGATGTGAGGTGTGTGGATTCCAGTGTCGCCAGAGGGCGTCGCTAAAATACCACATGACCAAGCACAAGGCAGAGGCGGACCTGGAGTTTGAGTGCCTGATGTGCAGGAAGCGGTTCGAGAAAGCCCACAACCTGAATGTCCACATGTCCATGGTCCACCCCCTGACTCAGGTCGAGGCCTCGAGTGGCAGCAGCCCCCAGCTGCAGCAGCACGCCGAGCTGCAGACCATCAGTCGGACTGGAGAGGTGGTCCAGCAAGACCAGGACAGATGACAGCTGGGGGTCCAGGTCTGCTGAAAGGAACTGAAACAGTGAGCAGGGACGTATCTGGACCTGCTACACAGTGGTTGACTAAAACATCTGAGGCCTTTTTGTTACTTCAGTTTAACAACAAGACCCATTGATGGACTTTTATCTGTTATTTACGATGCTCTCCTGTAAATAAAACAGGACTTTCAGGATTGTTATGGTCAAACAAGCACTTCCTAAGCAGAAATACAACCCAGGCGCGGGCAGCTCTTAATCTTTTGTCTTCCAGAACGCGACACAGAAGCAGATCCAGAAGAACACGAGTAAATTAGCCTATTATAGCATATTTCTGCTTTGTGTAGCTGCCTCTTTGCACATTTTAAAACTGCTTTAACATCCAATGCATTAAATATTTTTACTGGTGCAAAAAGAAAGGATTAAAATTGGCTCATTTATTGTCTGACCTGTCGAAAGACGATGAAACAACTTATTTTACGTCCTTCGTTTCTAAGCAAAAACTGCAACTTGAGATTTAAGAATCTGCTGCTTTTTCTTTCTTTTCTACGTAATAAATAGTTTTATAGTTTTGGACTGCTGGTCAGACAAAAAACACAACCGTTGAATGTTAACAGAAGCTTTTACTGTTCTGTGATGTTTGTAAGTGTTCACCGCCTTGTTGCTGCGTTACTGTGTAGCTCACATGGATTCACCTGTTCATGTTGCCTCACACCTTCAGGCACCTGCACATGGAATCTCCCAGATGATGCAGTAATTCACTGTTTAAGTTATTACTACTCAGCATTGCAGCGTTGGAACGGCTTACGATGTACACGTGTGTTAAAGTGTGTGTTGTGTAAATAAAATGTAAGTTTTGTCTTTTTACAAAGCAAAAAAAAAAGAGTGTCCTTTTATTAGAAGGTTTTTGGGAGGGAAAGCTCAGCAGGTCAGAGAAAGTCCATCTCGGGGCTGAGGCTGTGAGGGTCAAGGGTCACTGAAAGAGCCGCTGCCAGCTCTGGGTCCAGATCTGCACACAGAGACTCCAGCTGAAACGATGAGACGGGATGAAGGTAAGCCAGACAGGTGTGTACGCTGGATGAACGTTGCTGGGAGACGGTTACCTGTCTGAGCTGGTTGGAGGAGAGCACAGTCGGGGACGCCTGAGAGATCACGCCCAAGAGGAACTTCTTGGTGTGACTCAGCATCTCGGGGGACTCCAACTGAAAATACAAGTTTTAAACAGTTTGTGTTGTTTCCATCGGTTTGTAGGAAAGAGCTGTGAACTCAATAACCTGCTCCTCAGGCGCGTCTCCTCCCAGGAAAAGCTGCAGTGCACAGACGTAGCAGGCGATGGCCGTGTGCAGGAAACCTGGACAACAAACCAACTTCTGAAGCAGACGGACACTTTGGTTCAGCAGCAAACTGGAAAAACAAAAAATGTCCATTATAAATAAAAATAATGTCCTAATCTACCCCCATTTGTTGCTCGTTCATCATCCACTTCAGTTGGTTTCTTTACCGTGTTGATGGTTTAAACTATTTCTGACTGTAAACCTTACCTGCAGAAAGCCCAGGGCATCAGCCGTGCACGCTCGTCTGATTGCATCAGCGTTACCGCCCGATACGGACTTTGCTCTGGAGTTGAAAGGAAGGCTGATTCAAACAGAAGAAACACCCGATCGACTCACACAGCTTTAATCTAACGGCACCGTTTGTTTTGAAGACGAGGAGCCAGTCAGAGGAGTTCTGCAGCGCCGTCAGGAGTTCTGTGCAGACATCTTTTGCTTTTTTAAGATTCTCTTCCTGCAGAAATAATCAGGAAAACAAAATTATATCAGTTACTTCACGCAAAGCAACTCTTAGGTCACCTCTTTTAAAATCCTTAATGATCGCCAGTGTCCTGACCCGTTATGGTTGGAAGAAACCCTTCAGCACATCTAAACCCTCCCAAAAACATGGATTTTTATTCTTCCTACACCAGAACACGGGTCTGTTACCTGAGCATACGTGAGTGCACACAGGTAGTCTCTCACACACAGGAAGAGCAGAAAAACAAGCACCTGAAAGAAGGAATGAGATTTATTCTGAACCACAACACGAAGCTTAAGAGAGACTAAATGTTTTTCACTAAACAGGTGAAAGAGTTTAAGCATTCATTTAAAATAAATCAGATTCAGCTCAATAAGTTCATTTCTGTTCATCTTAAAAGTTCACATTTCAGACAGACTCCTTGTGATGGTTGCCTGTTTTTGTGCTATTTGACACAAACAGAAGGAAAATTAGGATTGCAGCGCCACCTGTTGGAGTTTTGCACTTTTTTCCGGTTGCAGTGAGGTCAGAGCAGCACCGATGCTCCGGCCGGTTACCTCGCCAGCTTGGCGGGCGCGATGAAGGCCGGCTGCTAGCTGGAGGGCTGCTGCTGACGGCATCTCTTGACCTTTCTCCACACTGCAGACACTGTGACAGAACATTTGATCCGTTATCAAAATAATTTCCCAAATAGACTTCGTATAAAGAAAACAATATACGAATCTCGTCTTTGTGACTGATTTATCAGGTGATCACGTGAAACACATGGGACGAGAGGGTGTTTTACATCAAGATGTTGCTTTGGGGTCCCGTGGATGTCACCTCAAATTTAGGTTTTACGTAGCTGATGGTGCCGAGAACGAGCGCCTAGAAAAGCAACTCCTGATTTCATTTCATCACAATGAAAAATATCAGAAATACAATAAAACTCTGTTTTTCATGAACTTAAGCATGGATCATTTGTGATTGGTTCGTTTAAAAGTGTTCTCCCCTAACACTCGCTACCACCAGGTGTGCCTGCTTTTACCTGCAGGCCCAGCGCTGACCGTCTGTGAGGAGCTGCAACTGCTCCGGAGGAGGTTCTCCATCACGCAGACGACCCCACAAGGAAAACAGCGGTGATGACAGCTGCTGCCACCAGTGCTGCGCGCGCACACACACACACACACACACACACGCACGCACGCACGCACACACACACACACACACACACACACACGAGCAGTGTTGACAGTCATTTTCTGGGTGAATAATAATTAAGTTACTCAAGACTTTTTGTTTGCAGCTTGGATAAAATTCAATGTTTCATATTTTTTATTGAAAAATAGAAAATTGGGCAGGATTCAATGTTTTAAATCAAGCTCAATATTTAATCGTTTCCCTGCAAATCACACACCCGGCTATAAAATCATCAGTAAAATTAGTTTTTTCCGGGCACGTCCAACCGGGAGGAGACCTACAGGAAGACCCAGGACACCCTGGAGGTCTCTCCACTGCCGGGGGAACACCTTAGGATTCCCCCGGAGGAGCTGGCCCAAGTGGCTGGAGAGAGGGAAGTCTGGGCCTCCCTGCTTAGGCTGCTGACCCCGCGACCCGACCCCAAATAAGCGACCGTCAATGGATGGATGGATAAAATGTGTTTATTCATGCTTTAAACTTTGCACATAAATATAACCGACCAAAAGTCTAAAATAAAATTCTGAAAAATAAATTAGGATGTGATTTTACTGGATGATTCAATGTTTCTATGCACAACGGTGATACAGGACTTCAACGTTTTGAGAAACTATTTTTTACCAGACAAACATTTTAACCTCCTAGGGCCCTGTGTCCACATATGTGGAGGTTAAAATGTTGTCCTCTTCACCTTAGACCTATTTGTTATTATTTATAGACACATGATATTCACTTTAAAATGTTTTTAATTTTTTTATAGGAAATTTGACAATTTTTAAATTTAATTTAAATATTTAATTTAATTATTTAATTTAATTCAATTATTTAATTCAATTATTTAAATTAATTTAATTATTCAATTAAATGTAATTGTTTAATTTAATTTAAATATTTATTTTTAATAATTTAAATATTTAATTTAATTTAATTTAAATATTTGTCATTTTGTTTCTGTTAATGAGAGTAGACTACTCTGTAATAGTTTGATGTACATTTTCTTTTAAATCACATCAAATACAGGTTCAGGTCTCAGGAGGTTAAAGTTATAGATTTAATTAGTTTGAAGTGCAAATCACCTCTAAAGATCATCAAGGCACCACAAATGTTTCTGTGCTAAATTTCCAGAAAATACAAAAAAGTCTGGCAAAAATTCTGTTTTTGTAAATAACAACTTGTTTTAAAAACTATCAAACAAGCAGACGTTTGAGGAGATGAGACTTAAAACAACGTAGAACAAAAGAAATCGAGTGTGGCGGACGCAAGAAGACTGGTCTTACCGCTGCAGAGACCACAAGTAGAGGGCAGCAGCCGCTCATCTGGGACCAGCATCTGTTCACTTCTTCAGCTGGACGTCCACATCGCACGCTGGCACACAACAAACCCTAAACAACAGCAAAAAGCACCAAACAGGCTCAGACACGTTCACATGCTAGTCTTTTGTGTTTAGGAGGGAAATTCTCACTTTTAAAAAGTGTCCCGTTACGCAGCAGGGCAGCACGCTGGCTGGAAAACACACGTTCCTCTGATGGGGAATTAAGCGAACAGATATTAAAGTTTATTATTTCCTTCAAACTGCCGATCATTGTTGAGACAGGAAGGTGATAACCAGCTTACCTGGTGCTCGTTGACATGTTCTATCAGCTTGCTGCAGTCCAAAGTCGTCTTCCCTCCTTCAGCTTTTACTTTGAAGAGCAACACAGCTGGGAGAGCGAGCAGCACCCTGAGACAAACACAGCGAGGGTGGTTTTAGAGGCTTTACACGGACTAGATAAGAAATCTCACAGCTTATCCTGCAGGTGTGTGTGCACCTGTTCCACGTGTGCAGGCTGAGCTCGGTGCTGATGCCAACAGAAGCTGAAGTCCTGCTGTGGGAGCATCTTTGAGACAAAGTCTCAAACAGGAAGTCACACAGATCAGAGCTGTGTCCACGGCCGCCTGGGAGGCTGGTTACTTCCATTTCATAAACAAACTCCTGCAGAAACACACATGAAGCCATATCTGGTACATTACTGAGAATAAATACAAACATCCTCCAAAGGAAAACCTTTATGACGGTATTAACGCAACGCTACAAAAAAAAGGTGCACACACCTGTAATCTGGACAGGATGTCTGGCGAACAGGTGTCTGCTCCTGTTTGCTCCAGGTTTAAGCTAGAGTCAACATCAAATGTGTAATCCCTTAATCCTCAGGGTTTCTCTCATGTTCAGAAACTGTTCATGAACAAATGAATGCTTAACACCACCTTAAGTGCTGGTCCAGGACCGCGTTGAGCAGATGAGAGCAGAGCCTCCTCATGTCTCCTCCACAGCCTCCCTGCTCCTCAGGCAGAGTCAGATAAAGCTCCAAACAGACCCACTGCTGATGCTCCTGACTACACAGAGAATATTGGAGTTTTTTATCGCCGCCAACCTGAAACAACAGCCTGAAAGGTGATTGATCCACTCAGCTATCAGCTGCTGCAGATTTGTTTCGGGTCTTACCGTTCCGAATCAGACAGGATGTCTTCACTTCTTCGCACACTGAGCTCTTTATCCAACCATTCTGAAAAACACAACTGAACAAACATGATAATTGATGTGTTTGATTAACATTATCTACAAAACCAACCGCACACACACGCACGCACACACGCACACACACACACACACACACACACGCACGCACACACGCACACACACACACACACACACACACACACACACACACACACACACACAGTTAATAGGCTCCCCTCCACATGCATGTAAGACTACACCTGCAGAGATGGAACATGAAACCTCAGCCATGAAATTCTCCAGTTCCAGACTTTCTAAATGCTGGCGTTAACTGTGCTGCCTCTTCTTCTGCCTTTTTTTTTTTTTTTTGCATAGCCATCTGCAACAGGCCTCCTTCAAAACTGTTGCAGATGAAAACATTTATGGACACATTACCGTATTCTCCGGACTATAAGTCGCACTTTTTTCAGTTTGGCTGGCCCTGCGACTTATATACCAAAGTGGCTTGTATACCAAAATGACTTGTATACCAAAGTGACTTATATACCAAAATGACCTGTATACCAGTGACTTATATACCAAAGTGGTTTGTATACCAAAATGACTTGTATACCAAAGTGACTTATATACCAAAGTGACTTATATACCAAGTGACTTGTATACCAAGTGACTTATATACCAAGTGACTTGTATACCAAAATGACCTGTATACCAAAGTGACTTATATACCAAAGTGGTTTGTATACCAAAATGACTTGTATACCAAAATGACTTGTATACCAGAGTGACTTATATACCAAAATGACCTGTATACCAAAGTGACTTATATACCAAGTGACTTGTATACCAAAATGACTTGTATACCAAGTGACTTATATACCAAGTGACTTGTATACCAAAATGACCTGTATACCAAAATGACCTGTATACCAAAGTGACTTATATACAAAAGTGGTTTGTATACCAAAATGACTTGTATACCAAAGTGACTTATATACCAAAATGACTTGTATACCAAAGTGACTTATATACCAAGTGACTTGTATACCAAAATGACCTGTATACCAAAGTGACTTATTAACCAAAATGACTTGTATACCAAAATGACCTATATACCAAAGTGGTTTGTATACCAAAATGACTTGTATACCAAAGTGACTTATATAACAAAATGACTTGTATACCAAAGTGACTTATATACCAAAATGACTTGTATACCAAAGTGACTTATATACCAAGTGACTTGTATACCAAAATGACCTGTATACCAAAGTGACTTATATACCAAAATGACCTGCATACCAAAGTGACTTATATACCAAAATGACTTGCATACCAAAGTGACTTATACACCAAGTGACTTGTATACCAAAATGACCTGTATACCAAAGTGACTTATATACCAAAATGACTTGTATACCAAAGTGACTTATATACCAAAGTGGTTTGTATACCAAAATGACTTGTATACCAAAGTGACTTATATAACAAAATGACTTGTATACCAAAGTGACTTATATACCAAAATGACTTGTATACCAAAGTGACTTATATACCAAAGTGGTTTGTATACCAAAATGACTTGTATACCAAAGTGACTTATATAACAAAATGACTTGTATACCAAAGTGACTTATATACCAAAGTGACTTATATACCAAATTATGTATACCGCGCTGCTGCGGGCTGGCTCCGGCCCAGGAATGAGCTCACCCTGCCCCGCAATCACCTGCTGGAGACTGCTGCGCCCTGGTTGTTTATTCTGTTATTGTTACCCGTACTTGTCTTGCAATGTGAAATGCTTGGTCTCAGATTTTGTAAGAAAAATAATAAAATTTCCCCCCAGAATGTGACTTATATATGTTTTTTTCTTCTTCATCATACATTTTATGGCTGGTGCGACTTATACTCCGGAAAATACTGTGATTAACCACCATTTCATCATAACTGAGCTAGCAGGTGACCTGATACTGCGGTATCTGCTTTAGCTGTTGGAGGGCAGCGTGCCTCCACAGGTGCAGAGCGGTTTTCCTCCATGTGTGGTTCTCATCTGTGACGCTGCTCCACAGACGACACGGACCCTCCTCCTCGGGATCAGCTGAAGTCCTCCTGGATTCAGGCAACAGCCTTGGAACGAGATATAAAAGCTAAAAAAGGCACAGAATATTAGATTTTTAGTAGTTTAAAAATGAAATGCAGAAAATATTGTATGCATAAATAAAAAAACGACTCATTTTCATGGGGGTATAAAAGTAAACAGTGTGGAAACCTTGTGGGGTCGAACAGCTGACAGACTTGAGATACTGATATTTAAGGTGTCCCGAACAGAAACAGAAAAGTTTCCTCCTTAAAGAGGAGCTGGAGCTGAACGTGGAACCAGAGTAAAAAGACAGAACTGCTTATTGAACCAGACACCTTTTTAAAGAGGCTGCTGGGAACGTATTGCTGCTGTTGCTGTAGAGGTAGCGAGCCTCCTTTGTGGATCCCATAACACACAGCTGCTACACACAACCTGCACAGAAAGAAGAAAACTCACACTCAGTCTTCCAGCCCAGAACGGCTAAAGGAGTCCAAACCTCAGTGGGCCGGGGCTGATTTCACTTTATTTTGGTGCTGGAAGCTTGAGCTGGACATGATCCAGAATTTCATGACAATATTTGTAAATTCAAAAATCTTTAGTGTGAGAATTTCACTTTTATTCAGACCGGTGTTTAAGAAGTCAAAACGACATTTACCTCGCAGAGAAGAGCATGTTCGAACGCGTGTTGCACAAAACTGCTGAGCTGAGAGCTTCTGCAGGAGATACCGGCTGGGGATAAACGGGCGGTTCCAGCTGGACCAGAGGGCTGTGGGACGTGGCGGCATGAAGGTGGACCATAAATACCGCCAAGCCGAGTACGTGTGCAGCACTTAGAGAGGATCCCTTTAGATAAAAGAGGTTTGTGTTAAAATATTCCAGGTGTCACAAACGGAAAGGAAGGTGATTCAGGTAAGTTGGAAGATGGACTTATTCACCTGGTTGTGGAATAAATCCCAGAGCCGATGTAGGAGCTTAGAGAGGAGCTGAGTGTTGCCAAGCAACACACCGATGAATCTAGAGGCCCAGAAACTTTGCCTGAAATAAACCGGCAACAAACGCTGACTTGGAAGTGAATTATCCCAAAGATACTTAAGACGTGTCACAAAAATCTCTCACTTCAGCAGTGAATGGGTTAAACTATGAGGTAAATATTCTGGCAGAGTAAAATAAACAGCATCAAAAACTAAAACAAGCAGCTTTCCCCCTCACTAAGCAGAGGAGGAGGATGAATTACTACGTTGTGTTTGGTCAAATAAACGATTTAGAGGAAAAAACAAATTTAAATATTAAAAACATTAAATTTGAGGTCTGTAACGGTGTTAGACAAGGAAGTATTCTGTCTCCTCTCCTTTTTACCGTCTATGTGGACGATCTGTCGAAGCGGCTTAATGACTGCAGAGCTGGATGTGTGCTTGGTGGGACCATAATACCCCGCCTTCACAGTGCCGGCTTTCAGCAGTTACCGACGTCTGCTCTCACCATGGCTCAGAGTTTGACATCACTTGGCAAGCTGGTTTTTCCAGATTTCCTTTTATCCGCTGCTGTTCTAAATGAATGTGCTGTCACTAAATATTTGGGACATCACATATCTGCTGACCTGACGGACGATGTGGACATTTACAGACAGTGCCGTCTACTGTACACGCAGATTTGGAATGTGTTCTGTACCTGAGAAAGCTGCACTGTTTAAAGCATACGGTACCCCTATGCACACGGCCCGCCCGTGGAAGCGTTATAAGCAGAGCGGCATGAGAAAACTCACCGTTGCGTATAAGGATGGGTTAAGGACAATGCTCAGAATGCCGAGATGGTGCCGTGCAAGCACCACGTTTGTTAGTGTGGGTGTACCTACAAGCCCTGCAGTGAGGCGGAGTCTCGTGTACAGTCGTACGTGTACGTGTATACATGTCGATGGTGTGGATTAAGGCACTCTGAACAGTATAATCCTGTCCCAGACAAACCCCACACGGAGTTCTGTCGTGTTTTATTCTAACACGTGGAATTACTGGCGTCGTAAACTTTATATGAGCCACGTATTTTTACCCGTTTTACTTATTTATCTTTTTATTATCTGTTTTGGACCTTCTTGTGTCTTTAATAAAGTGATTGATTGATTGATTGATTGAATATAGATGGAAGTGTGGGGCTAAAATGGCTCTAAACAAGCTAAAATCATTTTATTTTTTCTAACTTGTAAAGTAAAAATTAAGGCAGAAATGTATCCCCGTTAAAAAAACTAAAACATTTTATTCTCATTCAGGTCAACATGATGCACTATAATGAAAATGAATCTCTTTTATACACCTGGATGTCTTTCATCAGCGCTTTCACCTCTACGATCTTTCTTTTTTAGTCAGTTTTATATTTATTGTGGGCTTTAAAACATTCATTTTTATTAGGTTTGTAGTTTCTTATTTGAGTTGAGTTCGGTGCTTGTTTTAATCAGGTTTAGGCTGATAAAACACACTCCAGCAACGGTGTCGACTCACTTATCAGGAGGATTTGAACGTGAAGCGATTAACAGACACTGACAGAAATTTTGCAGGATCCCGTTGACGACCTGCGGATGTGAAGGAGAGATTTAGCCTATGAGCAGGTGCTGAAATGCGTGAGTAAAAACACATTTAACAGAAATGTACTTTTTCATGAAGCTCATTCAACACAAGAGCATTTGTGTCGAGCGTGACGAGCGTTCGTCCAGTCGGCTCGTCGGGACAACCGGGGAAGATGACGCTCAGGGTGTGTGAGATCCTGGACAGCTGGGCCGAGATCTCTGAGGAAACGTCACGCGTGCAGAAACACAGCTGACTTATTAACAGCTTTTATTTTTGCATAAAACGGTGCAAACGTGTGACAGAGTACCCTAAGCTCCGCCCACCTCCATCGTTTCCACCTACAACCACCTCGGTGACCTCCTGCAGCTGAATCTTCAAGATGTCCAGAGGATCGTCGTTGGTGCTCGGACGCTCGGCTCTCTCTGAAAACACCACAAACATCTGGATTTTCAGCAGCAGATTTTAAAAACAAGACTGTAAAAGGAACACCTCCAGAAATATTTCAAATCACCAGGGAATTTTCTAAAACTGATCAGATTTCTTCTCTAATTTCTCTTTGCTAAATTTAAATGAGTGACTGATGTTGCTGAAGCAGCATCGGTTTAGTCGCTTTTGGTGAATGAAATGTAAGATAGTTTTAATCTGATGACACTTTACAGAATTTAAACCTTTTGTAGAATAAGATTCTTTAATCAGCTGACTCAAATCTGTTTTTAATACATTACAGACCATATTAAATTATAAATAAAGGCCTATAATCTGCATTATTCTTGTACTTGTACTGGGGCGACGGTAGCACGGGAGTTAAGTGCTCGCCCCGTAATCGGAAGGTTGCAGGTTCGACCCCCGCTCAGTCTGTCGTTGTGTCCTTGAGCAAGACACTTAACCCACCCTGCCTGCTGGTGGTGGTCGGAGGGACCGGTGGCGCCTGTGCTCGGCAGCCTCGCCTCTGTCAGTGCGCCCCAGGACAGCTGTGGCTACATCATAGCTCATCACCACCAGTGTGTGAATGGGTGAATGACTGATTGTGTTGTAAAGCGCCTTGGGGGGTTCCAGGACTCTAGAAGGTGCTATATTTTTTTTCCCCGGAACTGCGCTGCTCTGGGTGGCTGCATGTTGGAGTAGCTCTGTTGACTAGATGTAAGTTTTGCCTTTTCTTGGACATTTTTTCTTCTAGTTTCTCAAGAAAAACTGTATTTTTTTGGACACTTTACTTTTCTGTTTCTGGTGCTGTGAAGCTTGGAGGATTTTTACTGCTATTTTTTAGCTTTTTTCACTTTTTGAGCATTTGTTATGATACGTAACCATGACAACGAGCTGGTTTACAATCAGGAGCAGCTGATTAACATTGGAAAGGCTGAAATATTACCTCAACTGAAGCCACAAATCCCAAATGAGCTAAAACACAAGAAGCGTGGGTGCAGAGCGGGAGCAAAACGGAGACAGAGAGAGAGGAAATTCAAACCATCTCTTCCATCGATCATAATGGGCGATGTGAGATCGCTGGCCAACAAGATGGAGGAACTCCAAGCCCTTTCGAGGACTCAGCCAGAGTGTCGGCAGTTTCAGAACCGCTGGAGGAGATAATGCAAAGAAGGATTCTCCAGAGAATCAAGAAAATGATGGACAACCCTGAGCGTTCTCTTCACAAGACTGTCCGACAACGGAAGAGTGTCTTCAGTCAGAGGCTTCTTCAGTTTGGCTGCAACACTGACCGCTACTGGAGATCCTTCCTGCCAACAGCCATTGTAATATACAACAACTCTTTGAAGACTTTATTATTATTATTATTCTGAGCTACTACAGCAATCAGTTTCCCTCTGGGATTAATAAAGTATTTTTGAATTGAATTGAATATATCAAATACAGGCCATTTGCTTTATGCTGCACCGTCATAAAATCTAAATCTTTGTACATTCATCAACAAAACGACCAAGAACCAAAATAAATCTAATCTTTGTAGAAAAACGGATGATTTGAAAACATTTGTGTTTTTTAAAAAGAACACTCACTGTTTTGCTGCCTTTGACTCTGGCAGGACTCCACGTAAGATGAATACTGAGCAGAAGGGATTTTGTCTGCTCTGCACACAGAAAACACAGATTATCAGTTCAACACCTAATTAATAAAACAATCATGAAATCAAAGACATCTACTGATCATAAGTCACTTTTTCAGAGCTTCGATGAAACTCATCCGAGCGTCGGGCTTCACTGGGAGCTGCAGACAACAGAAGGAATTATTCATGTGATGCGTCTAAAAAAAAAGCTTCATGTCTGGAAATGAGCAGAACTTGTGACAAGTTAGAATAAATAAATGAAACGCTCACCACTCTGGCTTTCAGCAGAGCAGGAAGAAATCGTGTCAAAAAATACGGCCTCCTGAAAATACTGGGAAGACAGCAGCGAGTGGGTTTAATGTGGCGGTTCGTCCACCTTTAAACGGGTTTTCATGCATCTTTACTGACTCTTCACTGAGATTATTTTATCCATCATATGTAAAGCTCCATTTTCTTGTACTGATTCTCGTTTGTCATTTAAGACTTTTCATATTTTGTGCAACTTTATTACTGCAAAGGTCTTTTTTTCCCCTGCACCTCCCGATTAGACTTTGTTTTTCTGAAAAAGAGCTTTTCTGTAGGTGTTATTTAGTCGTTTTCAGGGGTTTTATTGTGTTTGGTCACCTGGCCTCCATAACCGTGGCAGAGATCCTTCCTGTGCTCTCAAACAGCGACACGGCCTTCTCCACATCCTGTGCAGACTGACTCTGAGGCTGCAGAAACACAAACCATCAGGAACTAAATGGTTTTAGTTTTGCAAATCGATCAAAACATAATCAGGAAACACTGACGGTTTTCTGTAAGCACATCATTTAGTTTTTAAAGGCTTATATTTATTTATATTTTAAACACACAGATAAACTTGGCTCACAAGTGTCGTTGTTAGCTCCGCTGATCCACCAGAAACATCTTCATAGAGACCCATTTCCTCCACCGACTCCTGCACATCAACACAAAATAGAAAGGCATAAACACTCAGCTTCATCGTGAAACGTTCTAATGAACAGCTGCTTTCACCTTCAGGTCAGCCAGTCTGGTTTTAGCCAAAGAGACGTACTCCATGAGCAGGCTGCGGTGCTTCGCAGGAACGTAAGGAGGATGCAGGATGTGAATCTAGTGCATGAAAACAAAGTCAGGTGTGGAACACCAGAGCTGAGTTCCAGATTGTGTAAACAATAATGTGTGAAGTAACACGTAAAAACACTTTTTCAAACACTTAAAAGTCTGATCAGGGACAAGAACTGCAGGCATAGCCACTGGCTAGACATCCCGTAAGTGTATGAAGCTGTTTGGTGTCATTAGATATATTTTAAAAACATGTGAATAAAAACAGATTCATTCAAAAGTAAAAATGTTCAAACTGCATCATATGAATGCTGGAGAAATACGTTTTAAAGCTGCAGAATAAGAATTTAAAGAGCAAGTCACCCCCTACCAGAGTCTTACTCCACTCCCACTTCCTGTTTGAAAAATGCAACAAATGCTGTTGCCTAGCAGACCGAGAGGGCGGAGCCGCTAACAAATACACACACACAGGCTCACAACGACATTGTGACATCATATGGTACCAGCTAACGTTCTAGGGTACCTCTCAGCCAATAGCGATGGCAGATTTAAATTCAAATTCTTTTACCATCCTTTTACTATAGTTTTTAATACTAATTCAGTATGCTTATGGATATGTGTGTGTGTGTGTGTGTGTGTGTGTGTGTGTGTGTGTGTGTGTGTGTGTGTGTGCGCGTGCGTGTGTGGGTATGTATAATGTATATAGGTGTGTGTGTAAATGAACATGTGTGTGGGTAAACATGTTCTTATGTGTTTTTAGGTATTTTTATTCTGATTTATTGTGGTTGTTGTCTGTTTTAGAGAGCGAACATCTACCGAAGACAAATTCCTTGTAAATGTACTTTTACTTGGCCAATAAATCTGAAATCTGAATCTGATCTGAATCTGAAATGCAGTGCAGAGTTTTTACCTGACAACGGTACAACACTGACAGTTTTAGGCAGAAAATCAAAATTTGAACTAAAAAGCACTAAAGTGCTAAACTATTGACTACACGTGTCTGCAGCACGATTAGACACGCGTTTATATAGTTTATCAGAAAAAAAGTAGATTTGGGGGTGACTTGCTCTTTAACAATTAAGTTAAACAAGTTCTCTGAATATTTTTAAGCATCTGATTGTGCAAATAAACTTTTTAAAAAAGATAATCATAGAAACTGCATCAAAGAGAGAAATCTTTAGATTAGATTTGATCGACGAATGAAAAACATTTGGGAGAAACAATAAAAACCATGAAAAATTCATCCTAAAGAGGGTTAAAATGATAGTTGCCACACATCAGCTATGCCTGCAGCTGAAAAATATCTGAAAGATCTTCTAAATGTTCAGAAAAAAAGGTAACAAACATGAGTGAAACATTTGACTAGAACTGGACGGGTCAGAAATGAACCTTGAGGTACTGTGGAGGCTCAAAGGGAACCAAGTCAGACAGGAACTTCAGCAGGAACACCAGAGACTTCTTGCTGTTCGACTGATAGCTGCTGCTACCACCAAAAGACATCTGACAGGCAGAAAAAATAAATAATCCAGTCAGAGTTCAAGTATTTCCACACATCTAGCTGCTCCAGCGGGCTGGCGTGAAACCTTGAACCAGTCGCTGTAGGACGGGAAGATGGCGGAACCCTCAAGGGCGCCCTGTCGCGCCAACAGGAAGGCGGTGATCATGCTCTCCAGGTCGTAACCTTCAAATGCAGAGTTCAGCAGTCTGGACAACAACTCTGGGAGAAACACAGAATCGACGTTTCCTCTCCGCTTTAAGGCTTTGCTCTGATTTGCATCAATAAACCATGTTTACCTTTGACACTGGACTGGGAAGACTGGTAGTAGACCAGCAGAGTGGAGAGGAAGCACAGGACGTGCTTCCAGTTCACCTCGTGGGTCTCCAGAACCTGCTGCAGATGACTCAGCAGCTGCTCTACGCTGAAGATCACAGCCAGCTTTTACAAAAGAAACCAAAAAAAAAAAATGGTGTTTTTGTAAAAAATGACCCAAGAAAGATGGAAGAAATGCAGCATTAATGATTAAGGGGGCAAGCAGCACAAATCAAGCTTAAAGGCCAAATCACATAATGGAGAAAGCAGTAAAAACACTCAGAACGTTCTTTGTGAAGTCGCTGATTTACGAGACGATCACCTGTAAACTACTGATGAGTCATTTTGATGCACGTTTACGTAAAAACTATTTAAAACGCTTATGCACTTTTAAAGCCACATTTGTTGTGTGACGGGGTGAGTACTCCCTCTTCTCCACAACATCTTTGTAAGACTGTCATTCCAGGAGAGGGCACTCACCAGCTGCGGGGCATTACCGATCAGCTGCAGCTGCAGATCCTCTAATCAACCGCAGCAGAGCTCTATTTAAGAGGAGAGGGAACCACTTCACATCGCTGGATGATTAACTACTCACGGTAGAATCTTGCCACTCAGTTCTAGGTTTTGCTTGGTCTATGCTCAGACATTCGTGTTGTCGCAGTTTTGGATTTATCTGTTTTTTTTTGTGCTTGGATTTTGGTGTTTGGACTCAAGTTTATTTCATCTTCAGGATACTTGGTATCGCTGAACCACTGATGGATGTACCTACCTGGAAGTCACCATAACCCGCCTGGATTACACACTCAAGGTTCACCTCTCCTCCTTCTCCACTTGCCCTCTGCCGCCATCATCTGGCTCCCTCTCCTGGACGCACCCCGTCACACCGTCTGCCCTCCCTGCTGGCTTTTGGACTCTTGCCGACTACTTCGCACTTGGATATCTCCAGGACACTTTTAGTTAGGTTTAATAAATCATTGTTTGAACTTTCTGCCTTTGTCCTGTGATGGTTCTTCATGTCGTGGGTTAAACACCTTCCCAGGAACATGACAACATTATTTAATACATATTTGTGGTAATAACAAAGTTTGAAGGTACAAAGTAAAGTTAATGATATAAATAAATTTTACCTTCCGGAAAAGTGAAGTCAGTGAGTGGCTGGCTTTAGCAAAGGTCCACTCACTCTGTAAGGCGACGGCGTCAGACACTGAGGACAAACACCAAGATTTATTCCACCATATTAAAGACGTCAGACCAACGGTCGGCAGCAGGGATGGGAATCTCAGAGCAACTCACGATTTGATTCGATTCCGATTCTCGGGGTGCCGATTCGATTCCGAATCGATTCTCAATTTAAATCGATTCACAATCAGTATTAAAGAGTGTCAGCTCCAGGATGAACTACTTTGTTGTACAAGTCAGTTAAAGCTATGGGACATTTTTATTTGACTTTAAACTGGTCATGCTCCAAAAATGCAGATTTACAAGGAAAACTAAAGTGATTCTAAAACTGTAAGCAGAAACAATCTTTTGACCAAAAGGCAGCATTTATTTTTGCTTACCTTGTAAAATATAACACATCTGTAGTTACCTAACAGTAGCTTTGAAAGTAATACGGGCAAATACTTTTCAAGTATGTGTAGAAACAAGTTACATGAGTAATCCTGAGTACTCGTTTATCAACTTAGAAAATAAATATGAGAATATCTCAGATTTCTGAGTATGGAAAAAATGACATTCAAGTGGCCTCTTATCAGCAGATTCAAACATAAATCATCTCAATTTATGGGACCACAAAAGTAATCGGAGTACTGACTCTCCTAACGAAGATCAAAAAAGTGCGTCACAAACCTGTAACGTGCCAAATATTTGAGTTCTTGGAATCGATTCTGAACCTTTGTGAATCGACTCTGAATCTTTATAAATAAGAATCCCGATTCAGACTTGAATCGATTATTTTCAGCACCTCTAGTAGGCAGCCCTGGTCCTAGACATCAGTCCTGCTTGTTCTCCAACTATCTTTGTTGTTCCTGCTGTTGTTACCTGGATCAGTTGTGCATGCATCACGCTCATGCATGGCTGGAAAACATGCAGGACTGCAGCTCTCTCGGACCAGGGCTGCCTACCTCTGTGTCAGATCAGTGCTGTCTTGGTGCTCCTACAGTAGAAACCCAGAAAGATCCTTCTAGACCTTCTCATGAAACAGTCATACAAGCTTAATTAAACTTCGTTTTCAGGATAAAGCGTGTGAATGATTGTGCCAGACTGGTGTTTACCTGTGAGTTGGGGGTTGTGGGTGAGAGTTTGTGTGAGGGAGTGAGTGAAGAAACGCTGGAGTGCTTCTGGTGACACGGAAACGCCACAAAGGGAAGCATCAAATGTCTGAATCCTACAGGAAACACACACCAGAACACAGATGTTTCCTAATGCTGAGGAGGATGGTGGGCGTTTATAATCAGAACGGTGAAAACAACAGAAACAACATCTGAAAACAATCAGAGCAATAATTAGGGGCTGTGAACAGCGATCTTAGCTAAGTGCTCTCAGCTAACGTGGAAACCGCTGCAACTCCAAACACCAAAACACGTCATTAACTGAATTCCTGCAGAAAAAATCTGGGTCTAAATCTCAAAAAGGCCAAAAGAAGGTAAAGAAAACATTTAACAAACAGAACCATCGCTGAGCTCCTGCTCCACAAGACTGCTTCGCCCCACATTCATCCACGGTGTCCAGAAGCCCTGAAAAAGAAGGAAGCTCAGGATTTAAAGGGAATCCAGATGGCCACGGGTACAGACACGTGGGCCGAGAACAAGAACTCACAGAAGAGCACGTCATCCAACACAGAGCAGCAGAGCACGGAGATCTTCCTGTCTGCCGCCGCTACAGCTCGGTTTTGCTCAAACGCTGTTGCTACCAAGACTCCAACCACGGCTGAAACACACAAGAGCTTTTCTCAGAGACGAGAAGTGTTTACAACCAGAAACGGAACGCACCAACCGGATCTGAGTGGAATCTGACCGTCAGAGCAAAACCAGAGCTTGTAGAAAAACAAACATATGGATCGGGTTTTTTTTATTATGTAAAACGAATCAAACTGATAATTACTTATAGTGAAAATGTGTTTATAATGTTGAACGGTGCAGCAGGTTTTAGGATTTATCCCCCCTTTGGAAAAGATTATTCCCTTTACACTTTGTTAAAGAGCAAGTCACCCCCTACCAGAGTCTTACTCCACTCCCACTTCCTGTTTGAAAAATGCAACAAATGCTGTTGCCTAGCAGACCGAGAGGGCGGAGCCGCTAACAAATATACACAGGCTCACACCTGCATTGTGACATCATATGGTACCAGCTAACGTTCTAGGGTACCTCTCAGCCAATAGCGATGGCAGATTTAAATTCTAATGCAGTGCAGAGTTTTTACCTGACGACGGCACAACACTGACAGTTTTAGGCAGAATATTAAAATTTTAACTAAAATGCACTAAAGTGCAAAACTACTGACTACACGTGTCTGCAGCACGATTAGACACATTTATATAGTTTATCAGAAAAATAAGTTTATTTGAGGGTGACTTGCTCTTTAAGTGTTTAACGATGATGAAGACTAACCCCGGTTTCACACTGCAAGCATCAGCGGAGCGGCTCACTCACGAACTTCAAAGCGGTCCTTTTCTCATCGGGAGAGTCTTGGCCGCGGCACGGCTTCCTCGCTGCGCCTCACTGCACCCGCGAGAATCTCAAATCCCTCGAGACTTCCGACACCTTCCTCATCGAGAGATCACAACCCCCGCGAGGAATCACACCGTTGCACTTCTCGAAAGAAACCGGTGGTAAACAAAGCCGTTCGGTCACACGTACAGACGTAAGTTATTTATAACATCGCAACGTTGCATTTTATTTTGAAAATAACCGGGGATTTTACACTGAAACCATGTGGTTTCCTGTCTCGCACTAAGTGAACTGTGGAAACTGACGTGTCCCTGATGCGGCTCGCGGAAAAAATACAACTCGATCCTATCTTAAGCGGCGCGGCGCGGCATGCCGCTTCTGGGACGTGCCTGAAAATTGCTGCATCACGGCTGGTTTGAAACACTCCATAGACTAGAACTGGATTGTATTTGAAGCGGTGCCGCTTCGCTGCCGTTCCGTTCCGCTGACGCTTGAAGGCGGGGTAAGGAAACTAAACCAACTTTAGAGATTTCAGCTGGTTGTTTGATCCGAAGATGGCTGCATTCATCACAAAGCTTTGATAAAAGTGTTTTACTTGTTAAAACTCTCCGTTGAACTTGTTTGGTTTCTTCTTCTCCCAGCGGAGGCGTCCAGCCACAGAGAGCCTTTAACCGAGGAACCAGCCACGATCGCACACCTTCATCACTGAAAAGCATCAGAAGAGGAGTGATGAGTGCACGGTAAAGTGTTTGGGTTTGTTTTATGCGTTTATATTATGAGTAGGTACTGAACACAGGCTATCTTTAGTGAAACGACACAATAAAAAATCTATTTCTGTCACATTCTCTTTCCTTCCTTGAATAGAAGAGTTTTTTCCGTTGGTGAGGGTGAATTTTCACCAGGGTGAGGCTCTGGCTGAGAAACAGCAGCCGGGAGGAAGTCAGGATCTGACACTTTTGCACGTTTTGCAGAAAGTCTCAACTGTTTTGTGTGAAAACGGCTCAGAAACGGGTTAAACCAGGAAAACTGTTTCGGTCAAAGATGCTTTGGTACCAAACTCTCCATCACGAGATTCCTAAATAAAGTCTGCATTTCACATCCGAGTGCTTTTGCTTTTGAGATTCCCAGAAATAATGGAGTAAAGAATAAAATCTTACCTCTCTACCATGTACTTCAGAGTGAGGATGTTGTAACGGTGAAGATAATAAACCACCTCCAGTTTGGGAAGCTTCTAAGTTCAATAAAAACGGCACATTCAGCATTTTACTTTCATTTTCCAAAATGTATTCAGAGCTGCATTATTATATAGTCCCACCGCGACGATGTCAAGGGTGAGGAAATGATGAGCAGGTTGTTGTTTAAATTAGGGCGGCACAATATATCGTAAATATATCGTTATCGCGATATCAGCATGCACACTATGCATATCGCAAAGAACAGATAAACATCGCTGAAATGTTTGCTACACATGATGCGTTCTGTCAATCAAACCAAGTATCATGTTTTTTTTAACAAATCAAATAGAGCTCTTCATTCATTTGGCCAATCGGGTGGGTCCTCATAGGTCAGAGTCCCGCCCCCGAGGCGAACGGCACATCATTTAGATCAGGGGTGTCCAATCCTGGTCCTGGAGGGCCGGTATCCTGCATGTTTTAGTTTGAACTCTGTTTCAACACACCTGATTTCAATCAGCAGCTGATTAACAGGCTTCTGCAGAGCCTGATGAGCTGCTGCACAGGTGTTTCAACCACTGAATCAAGCCTGTTGGAGCAGAAAAACCACAAAACCTGCTGGATACCGGCCCTCCAGGACCAGGATTGGACACCCCTGATTTAGATGGTTAGCAAACACCTGAGCTAGCTTTGTTCTGCTCTTTTGCCGATTCTGCTTTTCCCGGGATCCACTGATCGCCTTTTCTTGTTTATTTTCTTTTTCCCTTTCCTCACATCTTTAGCTTTTCTCATTGTTTCTTTGATTTTTGTTCCTGAGTTAAGTTTTTATTTATCGCAAGTAATATCGTCGTCGCAATACTAATCATTGTTATCGAATATCGCAGGTTTTTCTAATATCAATCAATCAATCAATCAATCAAAATTATTTATGAAGCGCTTTTCATGCAAATGCAGCTAAAGCGCTTTACAGTATTAAAAACAACCAGACAGCTGTCGGTTTCCCACCCCTCCCACACAGATTCACATAAGAGATCCCCTTTGTTTCTCCCTCCTCCCACCCTCAATCCCGTCTCAAGCAGATGCAAACTCCCGCACGCGCACACGCACACACACACACACAGAAAGGGCTGCTGGCTGAGTGCAGATGTAGTAGGTACAAAGAAGACGAAAACGCCATCAAAGGAGCCAACTGCACCGGGAGCACCAGGATTATCAGCAATAGCCTTGGCAAGAGTAATATCGTGCAGCCCTAGTTTAAATGAACCCTGAATAACAATAATGTGATGGTACATTTTACAACAATAGTTTCTAGTTGTTCATTTATATTATTCTTCTACTTTTTGACTCATTTTTATGATGCATGACCATCTGAGTATGCACACCTGATCCCTCCTGAACTCCTGCCAGAGCAGTTTGGGGCAGAGGATCCCCTGAGAAAGCAGCTCCCTGCTGGACTCCAACAGAAAACCCACCTGAACCTGCAGATGACGACAACAGAACCTTTAGTGCCGCAGAGAATTCATATTTGCCTTCTTGTCTGGACAAAACAGGTTATGTTAACATAAGGAGCTGTTGTTAACTCGAGAAAAAGAATTCCTGTTTACATTTAGCTTCCTGTAGGTGTAACTTAATCAGTAGTTCCAGTTTTGTCTTCAGTAGTGAGAAATGAGAACGTGGGTCTGTGAAGAAAATCTAAAATATGAGAAGAGACGTAACAAACTGCAGAGGCTTCAGTCAGTAAACACTAGTGTGGATTTATTTAAAGGGACATTATGGAAGTTTGACAGCCAAAACATGTATAGAAATAATAAATGTCTTCTTCATCCATTCTCCTGCAATGCCCTGGTCCTGTAGAATGAGCCCTGGCATTTTTACTGTGATTGTCTGTTTTTCTGTAAAATCACAGAAAAAGAGAGATGCTCGGGTCGAGCAGGCTGCTTCATGCGCGTTCACGCTCAGGCATCGCCCGTAGCATTTGCTATCCGTAGCTTTAGCAGCAGAGAGAGAGGCAGTGCCACTTTGTCGCTGTTCCTAACGCCTAGTGACAAAGCTAGCTACATTTCTGAGGACCCTTAGCTACTTTCTGTAGAACTTTCTTCTAGATATTTCCTGCTAATTAGCAACAAAATAGCCATTTTCACTCCGAACCGTTCTTTGAACGTTGTTTCAGCTGTCATCAAGGATATACATGTTACAGATACAAAAGATGTCACTGGTGCTTTAGCTCATCCAGTAAGATGTCTGACTCGCATGCAGAAGACCTGGGTTTGATTCTGGATGTGAACATAGTTCATTTAGAGTTTATTTTTTACATTAATGGTATATTTTTTTACAGTAAGATGCCCAGATTTTCATTTGAGACTCGCCGAACGGCATTGAATTCACAGATAAAAAAGATGTGGGTTCAACTTTCATTTTGGAACAATTTTTCAAGCAAGGGAAGGGAATGATCTGAGCATGCAGGAGGACTGACCCATCATAAACCTTTGTCGGCTGTGCTGAAGAGAAAGGTACAGAACCAAATTATTTAATTAATTAGCTGCGTGTTCTCCTGTCCTCTGTCCTCCGGGCCACACACACACACACACACACACACACACACACACACACACACACACACACACACACACACACACACACACACACTCACACACTCACACACACACACACACACGGGACTGTCTCAGCTGTTACTTTTGTTAAGGAGTGTGCACGTACAGCATGCGCGCCTTGTGCACGAGCCTACTACTGAAGCTGCCGTTACGCTTTTGGCCTGAGGGGGCGATCACGAGCATAAAAATTCAAAACTCCGTAAAGTCCCTTTAAGTCATAACAGATACAACAGACTGAAACCAAAGTCAGCTTTGTTTATTTTCTCAGGAGGATATCTGCAAGAAACAAAAATAACTGATTCTTATTTTACTTTGTTCATAAGAGACAATCTTGCGCATTCTCTTGATGTTTGCATCACTTTTCTGATTATAGCGTCAAATTCATCTTTTGACAGATACTCACTCTCTGAGAGATTGTGAGCATCTCTCTGTCCTCGTCCTCTTCCTCCTTTTTCTCTTCGGTGATCTCCATCAGTCTTTCCAACACTGATTTTACAGACAGCACCGTCACAGGGACACCCAGCAGTTTGGCTTGACACCGGAGCTCACTCCCTGTTCGCACACAAAAGACACCAAATTTAACTTTTTTCAAAGAGAATTTTATTTAGCTCCAACTTCAAAACATAAAATTCTTCTTTGTGGTATCAAATAAAAAAGTGATGTGAATGAATTGAGCAGCTGGTTTAGACATTAGCTTGTGACACTCAGGCGTTTCGGGAGATTCTCATAAATCACTTAATGCAAGGTTACAAGTGCTCGGTGATAAATAAGCCCGATTGATTTCAGCTATTTGAAAAAACAGAAACAAACACCATTCAATAATCTCACAGAGAGCAAAACAATAAATATGATAATCAGTGAAGATGAAAAATATTTTATGAAGTTATTATGTTTAAACATCTGTTTCTGAAAATCTATCAGTTAATCGCTTCCACGTCGGTTTTACAGAAATGTGCAAATTTAGAGAGAATCTGTTTGTATGGCGGGTTGTTGCACGAGGCCCAGCATGACAAGCAGCAGATGTGTGTGTGAGTCAACATTTAAACGCACGACGTGCACATTTCTGAGGGTTTGTATCAAACACTTACCAAGCAGTGACCCAGCAACAACAGAGGAGATACTGCCAGACTCGTCCCGTTTCGCTTCTTCATTTTGAGAACTTAAAATATTGCACTGATTTGGCTTCTGTGGAAAAATAAAAATAACATTTCTAGTCAGTTGGATGTCGATGAATCTGGAGGAAGCAGACAAGAGAAATTACTCTCAACTTCTTTTAAAGAGCAAGTCACCCCCCAAATCAACTTTTTTTCTGATAAACTATATAAATGCGTGTCTAATCGTGCTGCAGACACGTGTAGTCAACAGTTTAGTTAAAATGTAAATTTTCTGCCTAAAACTGTCAGTGTTGTGCCGTTGTCAGGTAAAAACTCTGCACTGCATTTGAATTTAAATCTGCCATCGCTATTGGCTAAGAGGTACCCTAGAACGTTAGCTGGTACCATATGATGTCACAATGTCGTTGTGAGCCTGTGTGTGTGTATTTGTTAGCGGCTCCGCCCTCTCGGTCTGCTAGGCAACAGCATTTGTTGCATTTTTCAAACAGGAAGTGGGAGTGGAGTAATACTCTGGTAGGGGTGACTTGCTCTTTAAACATTTGTGAAACTGGTGTTAACCACTTTGTTGAATCCTCTATCAAGACTATAGCTCAGTGGTGTCCAATCCTGGTCCTCCAGAGCCATTATCCATCATGTTTCAGCTGATTACTCACTCCAAAACACCTGACTCCATGGTTGAATCACCTGTTCAGCAGGTCATCAGGCTCTGCAGAAGCCTGTTAGTCACCCACTGATTAAAATTAGGTGTGTCTAAAATATGCAAAGACTAGAATTAGACACCATGGCTGCAGTTTGTGTTAAAACTGCTATAAAAGATGTTGCAACAAAGCGCAGGAGTTTATCCTCCATCACTTACCCCCAACTCCCTGAACAGACTGCAGATGTTCTGGTTCTGCTCCAGCAGCTGGATTGCTGCCTCCTGCAGCCTCTGACGGTCTTCTTGCTTTGGCCTCTTTATTACACGACCAGCTGAGACAAAATCCACCAGAAATTTAATTAGAGAAAAAATCTTAAAGGTTAACTAAACAAAATGATGCAAAAAAAAACTGTGGAGCTGCAAAATAAGTTATACATGTTAAAACGTGGGCGGCCTAGTTAGAAAATTATATACAGACAGAAGGCCCAGACTGTCTTTATATTACCAAACATGTTTATTCATGTAGAACTGTTGTGATCCAAGTTAATATGCAAAACTCCCTCACACACACACACACACACACACACACACACACACACACACACACACACACACACACACACACACACACACACACACACACACACACACACACACACACACACACACACACACGAATGGATGAAAACATTATAAATTCCAGTTGTAATGAATCACAATGACTTTTACGACTAGGAAACTCATTTGCCATGCTACATTTAGAGTGAATATTTTGATTTCTAAGTGAGCTGACATTTTAAACGAACCGTTAACTCACCGAGGAGGCTGGACAGAGTCCTCTTCCGGGACACGGACTCACACGTCGCACTCAGTGACATTTTATTTTCGCTGTCCGAACAAAAACACCCTCAAAGAAACGAATAACTCAAAACTTAAACACTAAGTGTGATACATTATAGATATTATTGACAGATTTGTGTGTTCAAGCGGCAGCAACAATGTTTTGATTCCTCTTGTCCTCCATGTTTTTCCTCCTCGCGCTTTCCTCTCTCATTGGTCCGTACTGCAGCCAACCAGGAAAAACCATTTGTCTCCAAATTGTAGGACAAGAAAAAACTATACCGGAGTTTCCTCAAGTCTTCTGTGCTGGTTTCATTGAAAACAATAATGAGTACACATTTTCTTTCTCATTGTAAATATACGTTAGCTCACAGACTTAATTATATAGTACAATTTATTTTACGTTATTTGGTCTGTACTGTGGAACAAATCGTTGAAAACATTTCAGAAAAGGGTTTGAGGGTTTTCTCATTTTTGTTATTAATTTTTGGGTGGATGTAGACTGGTTAAAGTCACAATAAGTGCTCCTTTTAACTAACTTCAAAAATGTCTGAACTGCAAACATTAAGTTTCGTTCTGTTTCGGCCAATGACTACTCACAATGACTGTTTTTGTCTGTTAAGCCAATTAAATATATTTTTTTCAACAAATAAAAAAACTTCACAAAGAATTAATTTCAAGCTTACAACAAATGTTATGTAAAATGCTGTCATTGTGTGGTACAAGGACTCAGTAGGAGAGAAAAGCAGCCAAAGTTCAAAATAAAGCATCAAAAAAACATACTGAACATTTATTGGGATTTCAATTAATCTGGCTCTTTGGTGCCATGTATTAAATAATTGGGTTTGGATTGTTGCGCTGTAGGAATGAACTTTTTTCTTTTTATGTGTACATTTAATCACCCCCTATCTTTACTTTATTTGTAATATGAAGCTACAATTGTAAAGGAAAACCGGTAAGTTAAGATCAAGGTCAATTTTATTTATAGAGCGCATTTACAGCAGCAAAGCTACACCCAAAGCGCTGTACAAGGTAAAACAAATCAAGGTACAACAGATCAACAATAAAAACCTAAAATAAGATGAGCCCACAACATTCACAATCTATAACATAAACTGTTGAAAACTATCAAGATGCTCAAGTCAGCCTGCATTAAAAGCCAAATCAAAAAAATGCGTCTTAAGAAGGGATTTAAAATGCTCTAGACTCTGTGTGGTCCTGATGTTGAGAGGTAGCTTGTTCCACAGTTTGGGCCCAACCACAGAGAACGCTCTGTTGCCGCGAGTCTTGTGGCGGGTTTTTGGAACTGTTAAAAGAGCTTGGGAGCTGGACCTCATGGTTCACACACTTGCTGGTGTTTTTCCACAAAAATTAAACTTATTTGATCAGCAAAATGTTTTGCATGTTTATCTCTTATTTTTAAAACATACCAAAGCCCATACATTACTCTTGTGTGCTTCAGGCATTTAAAATGAGCCCTGTACAAACCTATTGGGGAGAAATACAGGTCCTTCTAAAAATGAATTAGCATATTGTGATGTAGTTCATTATTGTCTGTAATGTACTGATAAACATTAGACTTTCATATATATTAGATTCATTACACACAACTGAAGTAGTTCAAGCCTTTTATTGTTTCTAATATTGATGATTTTGGCGTACAGCTCATGAAAACCCAAAATTCCTATCTAAGAAATTATGTCTGTGAAGGTTCTCAGTCATCCAGGTCATTGTAGTCTTACCCCGGGTTTCCACAGGAGCCGTCAGCAGCACGTTACTGCAGCAGCACGTCCTGCTCGTGTAAACTGCTGCTTGGCCCTTCCCACGAGACGCGAAGCAGCAGGGGAGCAGCTGTCACCGACCGAGCACGAAGTCACACGAGTGACTTCGTCAGTAAACACAACAACAAGCAGGAGAAAACTACAACATGGCTCCAAAAGATTTGTGTTTTATGTTCTGTCTGTTTTATAATCGTCAATACGGACCTGAAAAACAAAGGAGACCGCTAGCTAGGTGATAACTTCTCACGGGGCCGCAGTTAGTAACTTCTATTAAAAGTAAAGCAACCGGAAGGCAGTACGTTTCTTTATTCTGAAAATCTCGGGAGCTTCTCTCCATTTCCACGTCCGATTTCCTGTCTTTCCTTCCCCCAAAATGTCGAAATTGACCCGTTTCAGAGGCGTCGCACATAGAAAATAGAACCGGCGCGTAAAGGCCGCGACATGCTGCTCTTGAGACGCGGCTGACTCGCGCTGCTGACGGCTCCAGTGGAAAAGGTTCTGTTGACCACAGCGGTTCCTATCAGCAGCTATGACGTGCTGCTGCAGTAACGTGCTGCTGACGGCTCCCGTGGAAAGCCGGGGTCAGGAGCTTTGAAAGAAAAGCGTCTGGACTTCTTTGAGTTGCTTGAAGACGTTTCACCTCTCATCGAGAGGCTTCTTCAGGTCTAAGGTCAAATGGTGGAGAGTCCCAGATTCAAACCCAGTGGGAGTTTCCCCCCGAAGAGGGAACAAAAGACCCCTGATGATCTTGTACATAAACCCTTCTACCCTCTCCAATCTTAGAAGAGGTTTACAAGTTTGTGGAGAAGGCTCAGCGGGCCCAACACTCCATAGGAAAAGAAAGACAACGCAGGAAATTCCACACCCTGCTTTCAAAAACACTCACTCCTCAGTCTGAATCTACACAACTCAGAGAAGAACTTACACCGGAGGACAGTCGAAGAAAATGGGTGAAGAACTTTTCAGACCGGAACCTCACTGAACCTGAAATGAATGTATTAGCCAAAGGACTCAATTTTGCCATTGCTCCGCAACAGTTGCCCATAGTGGACCTCATCACAGCCACTGAAACTGCCATACGGATCAACAAATTATCTCATACAGAAGCAGTACAGATCAGGATGAAAGTCTCAGCCACCCTCTCCAGTGCCAAAGTCCCTCCGCCTAACCTCACGCTACAAGAAAAGAAGGCAGTCGCATCACTGAGCAAAGACCACACCATCACTATATTGCCAGCTGATAAGGGAAGGTGCACCGTGGTCCTAAACACAACGGATTACCACGCAAAGTTCACTACACTCCTCAGTAACAACAACACCTACGAAGCCTTAAAGCAAGACCCCACAAGCAGCTACAAAAAGAAAGTTATAGCTTACCTTCAAGGCCTTGAAAGGGACAAAACCATCAACCGCCTGACATATCACCGCCTTTATCCAGGAGATGCCATACCCTGCATCTACGGACTTCCCAAGATCCACAAGGAAGGTATCCCTCTCAGACCCATTGGCAGTAGCATAAATTCAGTCACCTACGACATCGCAAAACACCTTGCTACCATCCTTGCACCTCTGGTGGGGAACACCCCACACCACATCAAGAACTCCACCTACTTCACTGACAAGGTCCAGAAACTTACCCTGGATCCAGATGAAACCATGGTGTCCTTTGACGTAGTCTCCCTCTTCACTTGCATACCCACTACAGAGGCAGTGGAGACTGTCAGAAAACGACTACAAGAAGACAGCACCTTGGAGGACAGGACCAACTTCACACCCGATCAGATTTGCACACTGTTAGACCTCTGCCTCACCACTACATATTTCAAATACAACGAAGGTTTCTACAGACAGAAACATGGCTGCGCCATGGGTTCCCCCGTGTCACCTATTGTAGCCAACCTTTACATGAAGGAAGTGGAAAGAAAGGCTCTTGGCTCTTTTAAAGGGGTAGCACCCAGCCACTGGTACAGATATGTGGATGACACCTGGGTCAAAATCAAAACACAAGAAGTGGAATCCTTCACTACGCACATCAACGCCGTAGACAAAAACATCAAGTTCACCAGGGAAAGCATAAAGGACAACTGCTTGCCTTTCCTGGACTGCGCTGTGCACTTTGAAGAAAATGGCAACCTCAACATTGAAGTGTACCGGAAGCCCACACACACGGACCAGTACCTCCTCTTCGACTCACATCACCCTCTGGAACACAAACTTGGAGTAATCAAGACCTTACACCACCGGGCAGAACATGTTCCCTCTAAGCCGGAAGGGAAAAAGAAGGAACACACACATATAAAGGAATCACTTAAAACATGTGGCTATCCTAATTGGGCGTTTATAAAGTCAGCAAAGATGCACAGAAAAGAAGACCAGACACCAGCGAGGGAGGATAAGAAAGACAGATGCAACAACCTTGTCATCCCCTATGTAGCCGGCGTATCAGAGAAACTCAGGAGGGTTTTCTCCAAACACAACATACCAGTGTACTTCAGGCCCAGCAACACACTCAGACACAAACTGGTTCACCCGAAAGACAAAACTCCTAAACACAAACTGAACAATGTGGTGTATGCTGTACAGTGCAGCGAGGAATGCCCAGAACTCTACATCGGAGAAACCAAACAGCCACTTCACAAGCGCATGGCACAACATAGAAGAGCCACCTCCACGGGACAGGACTCAGCAGTTCATTTGCATCTAAAGGACAAAGGTCACTCTTTCGAGGATGCCAACGTTCACATTTTGGACAGAGAGGACAGATGGTTTGAAAGAGGAGTAAAGGAAGCCATTTATGTCCACTGTAAGCAACCATCTTTGAACAGAGGCGGTGGTTTACGACACCAACTGTCTGCCATCTATAATCCAGTTTTGAGATCCCTTCCCAGATGCCTCAACGCCCACGCATATCCTGGGCCATCTGACCTCAGGAATTCACATGATAGGGTGGGGCCAGGCTTCACAATGAGCTTACCCGAAACTCTGGCTGAATAGGACCCACACCCACCCTCACACCTTGGCTCATGTGTTTATGTAGAAGATCATCAGGGGGTCTTTTGTTCCCTCTTCGGGGGGAAACTCCCACTGGGCTTGAATCTGGGAGTCTCCACCATTTGACCTTAGAACTGAAGAAGTCTCTCGGATGAGAGGTGAAACGTCTTCAAGCAACTCAAAGAAGTCCAGACGCTTTTCTTTCAAAGCTCCTTAGACTATCTAAGAAATTAGCGTATTTCATCTGACCAATAAAAGAAAAGTGTTTTTAATACAAAATAAGTCAACCTTCAAATAATTATGTTCAGTTATGCACTCAGTACTTGGTCGGGAATCCTTTTGCAGAAATGACTGCTTCAGTGCGGCGTGGCATGGAGGCAATCAGCCTGTGGCACTGCTGAGGTGTTATGGAGGCCCAGGATGCTTCGATAGCGGCCTTAAGCTCATCCAGAGTGTTGGGTCTTGCGTCTCTCAACTTTCTCTTCACAATATCCCCCAGATTCTCTACGGGGTTCAGGTCAGGAGAGTTGGCAGGCCAGTTGAGTACAGTAATACCATGGTCAGTGAACCATTTACCAGTGGTTGTGGCAAGATGAGCAGGTGCCAGGTCATGCTGAAAAATGAAATCTTCATCTCCATAAAGCTTTTCAGCAGATGGAAGCATGAAGTCCTCCAACATCTCCTGATAGCTAGCTGCATTGACCCTGCCCTTGATAAAACACAGTGGACCAACACCAGCAGCTGACATGGCGCCCCAGACCATCACTGACTGTGGGTACTTGACACTGGACTTCAGGCATGTTGGCATTTCCCTCTGCCCAGTCTTCCTCCAGACTCTGGCACCTTGATTTCCGAATGACATGAAAATTTGCTTTCATCTGAAAAAAGTACTTTGGACCACTGAGCAACAGTCCAGTGCTGCTTCTCTGTAGCCCAGGTCAGGCGCTTCTGCCGCTGTTTCTGGTTCAAAAGTGGCTTGACCTGGGGAATGCGGCACCTGTAGCCCTTTTCCTGCACACGCCTGTACACGGTGGCTCTGGATGTTTCTGCTCCAGACTCAGTCCACTGCTTCCGCAGGTTCCCCAAGGTCTGAAATCGGTCCTTCTCCACAATCTTCCTCAGGGTCCGGTCACCTCTTCTCGTTGTGCAGCGTTGTCTGCCACACTTTTTCCTTCCCACAGACTTCCCACTGAGGTGCCTTGATACAGCACTCTGGGAACAGCCTATTCGTTCAGGAATGTCTTTCTGTGTCTTATCCTCTTGCTTGAGGGTGTCAATGATGGCCTTCTGGACAGCAGTTAGGTCGACAGTCTTACCCATGATTGCGGTTTTGAGTAATGAACCAGGCTGGGAGTTTTTGAAAGCCTCAGGAATCTTTTGCAGGTGTTGAGTTAATTAGTTGATTCAGATGATTAGGTTAATAGCTCGTTTAGAGAACCTTTTCATGATATGCTAATTTTTTCAGATAGGAATTTGGGTTTTCATGAGCTGTACGCCAAAATCATCAATATTAGAAACAATAAAAGACTTGAACTACTTCAGTTGTGTGTAATGAATCTAATATATATATCAAGGTTTAATGTTTATCAGTACATTACAGACAATAATGAACTTTATTAAGATATGCAAATTTTTTGAGGACCTGTAAAGTTACTCAAGCCAAACTTCAGAATAGTAACCTACTTCCCTTCCCTTGAAGGCTGCATGAGAACATCGTCGACCGCTCCCTGTTTTATAATTGCATTCCACACTAGTCATTATGCACTGCTTGCCTAAATTACGACTATGTTTTCATACTGAGGAACCATGATTGTGCTGCATCAGGGCTCATTGTGTGGTGAATTTCTTCAGCGCACAGCGAGCCACCACATGTTTCCCAGACTTCCCGGCTCTGGTGCAGCTGTGCAGGCAGCAGGGAAGCCGTCTCATGGGAGCTGCATAAGGGAACTCATGAAAACTTAATGCAATCTTTCCTTGTGAATTTATAAGAGCCATTTATTGCGCTTCTCATGAGAAGGGCAGGGATTTAAACAGGAAGGGTGATGTCCAGAGATTCCTGCAGCAGCAGATCGTGTCAAATCTGTGATGAACAATACACACCTACACCAGGGGGCACATGGGCGCGCACACACACACACACACACACACACACACACACACACACACACACACACACACACACACACACTTTTATATCAATTCTGAATGCACCACAGTAACTGGGGTTTGTTTGAGAAAAACCAGAAAAGCTTTGATCTAAATCTAATTTTACATTTTACCTTTAGTGGCCAATAGAAATATACAAAATCTTTGTTTTTCCTTTGTAATGAAGGAAAGTTGAATGTGTGTAGTTTTGTAGGTCACAAACAGGTATGCAGTTGGAAATGTTGATCTTTATCTTACAGCCACCGTGTGTTTTTACAAATGAACCCTGAGAGCTGGACTTCCCCTGCTCTGTGAGTTTCAGCACAAACTGAAAGCTGAATGTTTCACAGCTGTGTTACATTCCTAAGAGCTCGGTTAATATTATTGGACCAAAGCACACCTGAACTTTTTCCACTACTTAACTGAACCAGCCTCATACATGGTGTGAGGCTATAAATGGGAAATGATCGTTAAAAGAAAGGTTTTGCTTTCTTTTTCTCTGGAGCAACGACAGAAGGAAGTTGAGGAATTCAAACCATGTGATTCTGCAACAGAGCTGATAAAATGCTGGACCTTGTTCTCTGATGCAACAAGTTAATGAATCAAAAACAAACTCAACTTTTTACAAGCAAAAAAACAGGGAAAAAATCCATTCTGAAGTTTATTTTTTATTTAGTCTTCCTTGCGTTTCACGTTTTATCTGTTCGTGTGAGGCTCCAGCAACGCTTCTGATGTGATTGAGGAAACTTAAGATCATTTTGTTTAACTTGACGACGACTTCTGACTCCAGATGAGTTTCTGTTTCAGGGAAGGAGTTAAGCTATGAGGCACACGGCACCCAACCTTCACCAAAAACCACACGTTGGTTTCGTGATAAATGCTGCTCCGTCACGGTTCCTCTAGAATAAACGGCCTTGATGCCTCCGAGCAGCACCGACCCACACACAAAATCACTCCACAAACAAAGGCCTGTGAGACGAGGATTTTTATTTACTTTGCTTTCTTTTCAGATATTCAAGTACATGGATGTATAGATCCAGGACACACAATCAGTGGCAAATACTTTCGAAAACCATCATGTTCCTTTTACTCATGATTCTGAAACCCTTTCCATTAATCCACAATATCCCCTCAGGCTAAGACACATAGAACTCTTGTAAACATGGTACAATATCAGTCTTTGATTTTTGGATTACAAAAAGTAATCTGGTAGAAAAATATCTTTTTTTAAATGTTTTTTTCCCCTTAAGAATACTTACATGAAGTACCTCACAGTATAATCTGATCTGTAAAACTGTAACATCAACACAAAAACTTCTCAAGAGGGATAAAAGGCCTTTGGTTTTTATGAAAATGTACCAAAACGACAACAAAATAACCACAAAAAGAGTCCATTTACTGTCCCGTGTACAACAGTGACAAATGGATTAGAAATTGTTGGGTGCCTTGTAGCCAGCCCTGTGGGACACCAAATATCCATAAAATTCAAAAAGTTCATTCTTTGTAAAAAGTTCGAAACAAAACTGCAGCTACAATCAGGCGTCACTCCTGAGGACAGCAAAGCCACACGATTTTCTGATGGACAAAGTATCCTAGAACAATGAGGAGCATCTCCGAGGTGCTGCTGAGGGCCACCAGGAAGGGTGCCTGGGATGCAAAGTCCGCCTCCACCCGTTGGAAGGACAGCTGCATGACGGCGAGAGCCAGCAGGCTGTTCTGGACGCCCACCTCGATGCTGACAGTTTTCCTCTGCAGTGGAGCTAAACCTGCCATCTTAGCCAGGACAGCCCCAACCACAAGGCCCAGCAAAGGCACCGTCACGCCGATTGCCACAATCTGGGGCTTGACGTTGGCCAGGATGGATGCACCCATTTGGTAGGCCATGAAGATGCCTCCTACCATGAGCACAAAGCTGAAGGGTCTTATGAGCACCAACAAGACACGAGTGAGGGCAGGCAGGCGGAGCTTGATGAGCATGCCCAGGGAGATGGGGATGGCGATAAAGAGCAGGGTTCCCAGGATCTTCACAAATGGCACGTGCAGGGCAGCATGCACGCCCAGCAGCCAACCGTACAGAGCTGAGGACAGAGGCATGGCTGCAGTGGCCACCACCGTGGAGACCAGTGTCATAGAGATAGCCAAGGTGACGTCCCCTCCGAGCAGCAGGCTGTACAAGTAACCTCCCCCACCACCTGGGGCAGAGCAGGTGATGACCAGACCCAGAGAAAGTGCTTTGGGCAGTGAGGTCAAACACGACACGCAGTAGGCATACAATGGCATCACCAGGAACTGACCCACCACCCCCAGGAGCAGGGGCACAGGGCTCCTCACCAGCCCCCGCAGCACCTCCACCTCCACCTTGCACCCAAAGGCACATTTGTTGATGAAGATGAGGGGCAGCAAGGCAAACAGGACTGGGTTCTCAGTGAAATGAGACAAGCCCCCAGACTGGATGAGCCGGGTGGCCGGGTCATCTTCACCAGGCGCCACTCTGATGGAATAATCCGTCCTCTCCTCGATCAAAACGGGCATGGAGTCCTGGTCCAGGTGTAGCAACTGGATCTGCAGCTGAGCCATGCCGGGGAACCCGGAGCGGATGCGGATTATGAAGCTCTTGACTGGTCCGGCGTGGCCGCTGTCCGTCACGTTGAGAATGGACAGGACCTCTGGGTCCAGAGAGCGGACCTTCACCGTCTCCTTCCAGCTCTGGCGACCCTTCCTGCTGTTCGCGGAGCTCTGGTAGTGGCTGGAGATCACAATCACGCCATCCGTGTTCTCAGGAAACTCGAATTCCTGTGATGAGCCATCCCCGATGTTAATATACCTGCTCCGGTCAGCCGTCCGGTCGGTGACGGTGCTGCTGTCCACAGTCACGTTTCCGGTGGCCCACGACCGGTTTGCTCCACAGGTAATAAGGAAAAGACAAAAGAAAAGAAAAAGCGTCCTCATTGTATTGACGGACAGGGAGCGGAGGGGCGCCGCAGAGACACGCTTCACGCCGGCCAGGGCCCTCCTCAGACGGTTACACCTCCGCCCTGTTACACCAACGCAGCGAACTTCTCATTATTTCATCCAGAATAAACGGTCCGCGTCGTCAGTCGTCTCCTCGTCTCGTCTGGTTCCCGTTTTCTTGCTGCCTTCATACCGGAACCTAAACATCACCCCGCCCTGTCCTGCCGGAGCCGAGCGCAGCTCCACAGCGGCAACCCCGGCCGTCAGACTCAAACAGGTCCTTGTTGTTTCTACTCGGTTAAAATGTCCGCCACGACGAACCGGAGCCTCAACCGCGGGTTTCGTTATTATTTCCACCTCGGCTGATAAACACTGACAGCATCGTAGCTGCGCTGCCGCTGCTTTGCAGCTCAGTGATGTTACAGTGAAGTTGGTTTCAATAACACTCAAACTTCCGGTCACGACACGCGAAAAATAAAAGCCTTTTGTTTAATTTATCCATTAATTTATTTCATTTTTCATTGTACAGTGTACATTTTTTAAAGAATAAAACTAGCTAGCAGCAATGAGGTGGGCTTGTCAAATTAATGTATAGTTGAAGGGGGAATGTTGTTATTTTGAAGTATTTTTTTAAAAGATTAAAAGACTTTCAGAAGCAAAATATCTTAAAATTCCCTGAGTCAAACTTGTGCATTTATGCTTCCTAAGTGAAATGAGGATGTTGAAATTACACAGTTAAAGGATCAGAACAAAACATGTCCACAGTAAGAAAATAGTTTCAGTGACCATATCATTGTAGTTTATTAAGTAAGCATTACTTTAAATGTTATATATTAAGTACACCCAAGGACACGAACATGTATTTTTAACTTATCTGAAAAGACTTAGCAAAGAAGAAAGTAGCTATAACTTTTGATTTGGTGACAGATTTATGTAAAAAAAAACTTCCTGTGCTGGTGATGAATCATTTTAATAATTAAATTTAATAATAATTTATAAATCTGAAAGTTTGTTTGATCTAACTTTATTTAAAATATACTATTAGTAAATAACAAAACATTTAATGATGGCCTCTGATAATTAATTTTTCATGCTTTTATTACTGAAGGAAAAACTTCTTTACTTCCTGCCTTTCTCTGGGTAACCATGACTACCTTGACGTAGGCTGTCAATAATCCAATCGGAGCGGCTCACGGCGTCAGCACGTCCGCAGGGGCGGTCACATGGCAGAGGGAACACCAAGATTTGTTTACTCTGGGGGTGCGGGGATGGGAGGATGGGGGGGGGGGGTCAGCCAGGATTACCCTTCAAAGTCAAACACAGGAGCGTTTGTGTTTAATCTACTGAGAAAACACAAACAAAAGGATTAAAAACATAATAATAAAGCAATAACCAAACAGAGAATGTATATACAGGCTGTTATACACATTATTTATACTCATGATAGATGCATCAGGAAGAAGCAAAGAGAGGTTAAATATTAAACTATTCTATTGAATTTAAGGTTCCTTCTGAGAATTTGGTCACTTAGCTTATAAAATCTGAATATTTCCAAAAATACCCTTTTTGTTTAGGATATGAGCATTTATTTATACATTTAAAATTAGATCCATTTATCATTTTAAATACCTAATGTATTTATCTTCATGGTATTTTTCAGCTCCACTGCAGTTTTCTTTTAAACTCGACATTTCTTAGTTTTTAGAGAACAGGTTATCTTTAAACTTTAGAGTTCCCGTTACTTTTTTCCCCATTTGCTTCACGCAAATACAGAAATTGCGCTGCTCTCACTTAATCCTCAGTGTCACTCTCAGTTTCTGTTTCATGACCTTTAATCCCCAGAGACTCGTGACATGGATCCGTTATGTTCCTCACTCCCTGAGCAGTTTCCGGTTACAAACCCACTGCCAAGCAGAGCTGTTGCTTGTTTGTTGTACACAAACAGAACGCACTGCTAGGAAACCCAGCACTCGTCTCAGGACTGCACCATCGAGGAGGAAATTCCCTTTTGTCAGCAAAATCCTGCCAGCATTCCCTTTTTACACTAACCTGCTCCTGCTGGAAGTCCCTCTGTTATAAAAGCCTTTTTTTATTTCATAACATCCGTTTTATTCCCCAGCAGTGGGCGAAGGAGGTCACTGCCGACTTATCCTGCACGCTGTGGTAAACCCATTCTGGGACAGCCTGTTCGTCATCCATTGTTTTCATGAGTCGTGTGTCCTCCTTCTGTCACCACGACTAACTCAAAGCTTCCAGAAAAATAGATGGCAGGCAGGCGGGAGGGGGTTCCTCTGTGGAAACACTCAGCATTTACGCCAAGACAACCTGCTGACTGTGAAAACTCCAGCCTCTTGACATTTCACACAGGAACAGCCAGCTTGTGTGTCTGCCAGGCATGCACGCCACGGGTGGTCTTATTATTTACACATGGAAAGATAATTCACCTGACTCGTTTCACAAACAGGAGGGGGGAAACTGACTGCTCCTGACTCTGCTAGCGTTTTCATTTAAACAGGATGCCGTTTCCTCTCCACACCATGTGAATATTCATCAGCCAAATGTTATGATCTGTGTTGCAAATGGGATCGCAAGCAGCCACGATGATTACTCTGAATGAATCATCCTGAAATGCCAAATTAGCACCGAGTCAGATCCTCCTGGAAGCCATAAACAGCTAGAATTTAAGAAAGCATGCCTGCAGATGGATTCTGAAACACTCGACTTATCAACGTTAAAAGACCGACTGTCAACCAGAAATGTGCTGAAACAATGACTCAGCTGAAAACATAGCAACACAGAGGGACAATTATGGAAACAGATTGTTCTGCATGTGCAAAAAAACAAAAAACAGAATATTTTATCAATGCATAAAATATTTAAATACATTTAGTGTGGTTATGACTTTCCATTCTGAAAAAGAAAAAAAAACTGCGTTAAATTCAAACAATTTCAAAACCCAGAAAACATAAAAATCCAAGGATTTCCAAGGATTTCAAGCACCCAACAACTAAAGCTTTACTTCTAATTACATGAAAATGTAAGTTTTCATTTAAATGAGCATCAAATTCAACTGTCACACCTCTAAAACGACACCTCTTGTCAAACCAAATGTTTAACGATAGACTTGTTGGATTTTGGGTTAAAGAGCAAGTCACCCCCTACCAGAGTATTACTCCACTCCCACTTCCTGTTTGAAAAATGCAACAAATGCTGTTGCCTAGCAGACCGAGAGGGCGGAGCTGCTAACAAATACACACACACACACACACACAACATTGTGACATCATATGGTACCAGCTAACGTTCTAGGGTACCTCTTAGCCAATAGCAATGGCAGATTTAGATTCAACTGCAGTGCAGAGTTTTTACCTGACGACGGCACAACACTGACAGTTTTAGGCAGAAAATTAAAGAGCAAGTCACCCCCTAAAAGAAACTTACTTCACTCCCTCTTCATATTTGAAAAATGCAACAAATGCCGTTGCCTAGCAGACCAAGAGGGCGGAGCCGCTAACAAATACACACAGGCTCACAACGGCATTGTGACATCACAATGTACCAGTTTACATCATAGCATACCTCTTAGCCAATAGCGGTGGCAGATTTAAATTCAAAAACAGTGCAGAGTTTTTACCTGACGACAGCACAACACTGACCGTTAGGCTGAATATTTAAATTTTAGCTAAGATGCACTGAAGTACCTAACTATTGACGACACGTGTCTACAGCACAATTAGACACACATTTATGTAGTTTATCAGCAAACAAAAGTTGATTTGGGGGTGACTTGCTCTTTAAAATTTTAACTAAAATGCACTAAAGTGTAAAACTGTTGACAACACGTGTCTGCAGCACAATTAGACACACATTTATGTAGTTTATCAGCAAAAAAAAGTTGATTTGGGGGTGACTTGCTCTTTAAAATTTTAACTAAAATGCACTAAAGTGTAAAACTGTTGACAACACGTGTCTGCAGCACGATTAGATACACATTTATATAGTTTATCAGAAAAAAAAAGTTGATTTGGGGGTGACTTGCTCTTTAAGTGCAATACTGACAAAAATAAACAAACCAACAGCTGCATCATCATGTGACATGCAAACCTCTTACATCAAGCAGAAGACAATATCAGATGGGGCAAAATTTTATTTTATCAAGATAAATATACAAAACAAAAGTGCTGAAAATTTGGCAGACAAAGAATAAAAATAAACCTCTCAGTGTATTAAAATGGATGAATAGCTGAAATCTTAATTTATAGACTGAAGCTGCTTCATCAGAGGTGGAGATTTAGCTTTTTCCTGCCGTCTTTTATCTAATTATCGTCTAGAGTCAAACGGAAACGCCGAAACCCATCAAACCGTTATCGAACGGCTCAACTTTTAGCTTTCCGCTTTCAGAGACGAAAATAAAGCAGTCGAATGTTAATTCAAACACATCTATTCGCTGATCTAACTGTCTGCTTTCATGCACACCATCAACTCACCTACAGCTCCAGGATTAGACCACTTCAGCCAGAACCTGGCATGTGCAGGAAATCCCTGCTATGATAGGACTTCTGGGGACGACGGCTGGCATTTAAGACAGGAAAGTGTCCAAAAATGTCTGAATGAGGCTTAAATCGATCACCCGTAACCACACAAGGTCTAAAACGAATAAAATGTCCTCTTGTGACAACTAAAGGCAAATGAAGCCTTAGCTCATTCGACAGGAAGTTGGCAGAACGGGACAAAAGCTAGGCAGGTTTGACTTAAAGAAACTAAACTAATCCTGTAGGCACTGGTGGATGAAGCGTAATGCAAGCACCTGCATCCCAAATAAGGCGTTCAAAGTATAAAGTATGAGTAGAAGCAAGAAAAACAAGGTATAAAACAAACAAAACAACAACAAAAGAAGCAAACACTATTGTATGGATTGTCATTTCTTGCTTACAGACTTCATAAGATTCGGATAAATGTGACGAGGAAGTGTTAGTGTTACCAAATCCCCTTTTTCTGTTAATTTTGTTTTCTTCATTCAAAACTCGTCCAATTTAGCTTTAGACTTAAAACAGAGATCCAGAAAACATAAAAGCAAACATGCAGAAATCACGTGTGAGCCAGAAATGCCACTACCGTATAAACAGTATCAATAAAACTTTTCAATATGGGTTTTCTGTAAAATGTGGGGTTTTTTGTACAAAGTTTACACCCAAAAACCATTGGAGAGGGGAAAAAAGGAGAAAGTGAGTTTGAGAACAATCGAAACAGGAGGATGAAGTCGAGAGGGGCTGGAGCCCTCTCAGAGGCTATTTCTAGCTGCTGTGTGTATTTATTTATAGGCCAGAGGGAGTAGGAAATCAATAGACTCATTAAGTCCTTCCAGTAGGAACAGTTCAGTGGAAACACAAATAGTTCCTGTCGCAGCCAAGCTTACAAACTCATTTGCTTCCATGCAGCTGTCAGTCTGTCGTCTCCTCTGCGGCCGAGGTTAGTTTCGCAGAGCTGCCAGCCTGCAGGAAGAGATGGGAGAGTGTGTGTGTCTGCCTGATAGAGGAAGGTTCAGAGTAGGGCTGGGCGATACGGCCTAAAATCAATATCATGATATATTGAGGATTTCATCTCAATAAGTGGATGACAACTACGGGTATGCGCAGAAACAAAAGTTGTCCACTAGATGGGGCTGTTACATGTGTTACGTGACATGACTCAAGGTGCTGCAGCTTCTTAAAGGGACATGAATGTGTCCAACCTACACACATCTTTTCATTTTTTAATTATCAAATTTACCGACATGGGAAAAATGATCGATAAAAGTCAGAAATTTTGATAACAATAAATTTTCCGAGTTATTGCCCAGCCCTAGTTCAGAGGTACAACACGTTTGTGTCAGAGCTGCTGTTTTACCACCGCTGCACAGAGAAAGCACATGTACATGAATCCAGACGCACTCGGAGAAGCATTTCTTTTCTTTGCAGCTGTTGTGCTCCCTCCGAGCTCCTGCTTATAAAATAATTTAGGAGAGCCTTCCTGATGAATTAGTTTATCAGGGTATCTGCAGGTTTAAGGGAGCCAAATGTAAGACTTTTAAGACCTTTTTTAAGGCCACTTTGACCAAATTTAAGCTATTTTTAAAATTAAATTTAAGCTATAATTTCCAGCTATTGCCTGGAACCGGTGTTAACCACGTCGTGAATGTGGGATTAGCCATCCAGTTACCATTAAACTTGCACTTCCACATGGCGCAAGCTCCCACTAGCTTAACCAGCTAATGTGCCAGGGATTTTCCTGCATTCTAATTTGCGTGGCAGCCGCCTCCAGCTAATTTTGTGCCGCCCCAGCCTGATTTCACTCTGCCCCCAGCTATATGGATGTTATTTTAACAGCAGATGCAGCGTTGCGCCACTAGGGCGCTGTATCAGCAGCGGTGCACCGAAAAGCACCCAAACCGCAGCAGACAAAGATCAAAACTTGCTTTTCTTGCTGGTTGGTATAGGCGTTGGTATATTAATGTCGATGGTTGGTACATATCTGTGGTTGGTGCTACTGACGTCCTGATTTTCCCCCAGGCTCTTCCATATCAGAGCAGGGCTGTAACGGTCTGTGCGTGTCTGTCTATTTTTAAACGTAGCACTGGTGCAACATCTTTGAATTACTATTTTCCCCAGAACTTTATTGAACAAAAGTAAGTTACATGTAAGAAAAATGCTTTTTACTGGCACACAGTGTGGTCATCTGGATGAAGGGGAGGAAAATAAAGGAACCAGCAAAGGCAGAACCGGTCCAAAGTTTGGGATCAAAAGTGCAGCTACACACAGATTGGCTAATGCTAAAGCTAACGGGTAGCAGTCTCACGATCAACTGGCGCACAGAAAAATATATGATGATCGTCAAACTAAGAAAGACTAAACTCTACAAGCGGATGAAAAGTCCCCACCATCCTGTTTATTCTGCATCCTGCAGCGCTACGGATCAGAACCGCTGCAGATACGAGTCACATGACTGCTACAAGTCTGCTCCACACATAGGAGCAAGCCGTTGTAGTATATAATCACAAACGCTTCTTTCTTTGAACATAATTTGAACTGGATTATTGCCAACCCATACATAACAGACATGCCACCATTACATTGTTAGCAGCAGAAATAACATGTTATTACCATTTCCAGCACAAATGCATGTTAATGAAATACATTATATTTTACTGGATATATTTATGTGTTATTTAGACTAAGATGAGTGTTATTAAAACAAACCTAAAATGTTACTGAAATGTAGGTCAAATATTTAAAAATATTTTAACTATAAATATCAGATGGAAAAAGGGACTAAACACCAATCTAAGGCATATTATTAAGCCTTTCATAATAAGAGTCTGTTATTTCAGACTGACAATTTTGTTTTATTTCATATTTTTTTAGCAGCAAACCAGTTTTGTTTCACTTGAAATGTTGTCAAATGGAATATTCTATTAATCAACAGAAGCTTAGATTAGAACACTTAACGAAAACATATTTGACCTTTAAAAAAGGTGAGGCAGTTGAATGCACAGAGAATGCACGTGCTGGCGCACGGTCAGGATGGTACCACCTCTGCTTCAATTTGAGCCAGAAAAAACCCTGAATGTGCTCATCTAAAAATAGCCCCCTTTCATTACAGACTGAATGTGTACAGTTCCGCTTACGCCAATATCGTACACAAAAAACGCCAACTAGAAATTCATGAAATTTTTATAGAAATAAAATAATCTTGTTTATTGGGTCTCTGGTAATTTAAGACCTTTGGAAACTGTATTTAAGGATTATTTGTCATTTTTAAGGATTTTTAAGGCCTTAAATTAGGAAAAGCTAACTTAAGACTTTTTAAGGACCCGCGGATACCCTGTTTATACTGGCCTTTCTCTGACATTTTCATATTAAAATACCTGCTCTAATTTCATAAATATTCAGCACAAATTGAAAATTTCCTACCACAAGATACTGAGTATGACGACTCAGAGAACAGGGCTTTCAAAGTCTGACTTATGCATAAGCGATCAAGCTAATGCGCTAACAAATAAATGAACCACAAACACGGTACAGATGTAAAACACAAAGTAGAAACCTTAATAGTGAAGCTTGCGTCTTTATGACCCTTGATGAGGTTTAAAAATGTATCTCACCTAAAAATGAATCTATAAAACTGAAAACAAACAAAAGTGATGTTCACGTTTTACGGCATTCCTGTCTTATCCACTCCTCTTCTAACTAAAATGTGTTGTAATATACAAATAGAGATGAGTTGTTTTACCGTCGAGACAGCTGGTCCTCCTTCTCCTGGCTCCGTGAGGTCTCTCCACCCAGTGAGGTAGCCCCAGCAGGAAGCTGGTTGAGTTGGTCCATCACCTCTAGACCGCTCTCTTCTGCTATTTGGTGGATCAGGTCATCCACCTGCTCCTGAGGTGTGGTCAGAGTCATTGCTGAGCTCATCGAGTCCTCCATCACCTGATGCAGAACAGGACAAGAGAGAAGTCAGGCTGGAAATCACTACTACCACAGATTTAAAAAAAGAGCTGTGGAGAAAATAAGAGACTAGTATAAGATGATTTGTACAATAAGGCCACTCACAGAGGTATGGACATCAAGATTCTGAACTTGGCTTTCAAACTTATCCATGACTGCAGAGACCTTCTGGAGATCCATGGATCCTAGAGCTTTGTCCAGAGCCTTGGTCACCTGACCCATGCTTTTAGTCACCTGGTGGAATAAATGCGAAACAGGTCAATTCTATCTCAGAGGAAATAATCCTTATGGTGAATATAAATAACTTCCATCTTCTTCAGAGCTTTTGATTGGCTGTGATGCCATGTTAAAGGCACTTATAAATAAAAGTGGTACGGTATTTTCTGCATTTTAAAACTATAGAAACTTCTCTTTTCAGGGTAACTTACTCCCTTCATGGTGACAGCAGTCTGGACTTTCGAGGCCACTGCATCGACTCGGGACGCCATGCGCAGCCAATTGAGACCTTCGTTCTTTTTGCGGATTGCATTCTCTGCATAGACTCTGGCAACGTCTACATTTTTCTGTTGCAAAGCCTGTTGATGAGACAAATGTTTTAACAATTTTCTTTGTAGGATAATCGTGCAACATGCACATCTGACACACTGATAAATGTTCAGCGAGACATTTCAAATCTACAATAACTTAGAAAATCTAAGCAATAAAAAAGACTCTTGGCTCATCAGATCGACAGGAGGATTGGTTCGGCGTCTGCAGTGATGCGGACGCTGAGCCGATCTGTCGTGGTGAAGAGGGAGCTGAGCCAGAAAGCCAGGCTCTCGATTTACCGGTCGATCTACGTCCCAATCCTCACCTATGGTCATGAGCTTTGGGTAATGACCGAAAGAACGAGATCGCGGATACAAGCGGCCAAAATGAGTTTCCTCCGTAGGGTGGCCGGGCTCAGCCTTAGAGATAGGGTGAGGAGCTCGGACATTGGAGCTCGGACATTCGGGAGGGACTCGGAGTAGAACCGCTGCTCCTCCGGATCGAAAGGAGTCAGTTGAGGTGGTTTGGGCATCTGGCCAGGATGCCTCCTGGACGCCTCCCCGGGGAGGTGTTTCGGGCATGTCCTGCCGGCAGGAGGCCCCCGGGTCGACCCAGGACACGTTGGAGAGGTTACATCTCCAATCTGGTCCGGGAACGCCTTGGGGTCCTGCCGGAGGAGCTGGTGGAGGTGGCCGGGAAGAGGACGGTCTGGAGCTCCCTAATTGGGATGCTGCCCCCGCGAACCGGACCCGGATAAGCGGAGGAAGACGACGACGACGACTCATCAGAACGTTTCTCTTGTTTTGATGACAAAGATAATGACTCAGACATGTCATGACCTCATAATGGAAAAAATAATGAGCATCACGTTTGTGATCTTCCAACCAAACACGTCACTGGGAGCTGACTAATGTTTAGAAGACAAAAATTAGTTTGCCACTGAGACAGTGGACACAAGAACGCCGACCTAACCACTTCTTGTTCAGAGACAAAGCTGTGCTGCCACCTGCTGACCACCCGCGGTGTCATATGACAGGTGAAACGAGTACAGATCTAATCAAAAGTTTAAATTGCAAAGACTTATAACTGAACAAAAAGAGAAAAAATATGTAAATTTTATTATTCAAGGTAAAATTGTTTGACTTATGAGGCAATTTACCAGCCATCCTTTCTGTTTGTACCTGAACAAATACATGTTTTGCACTGCACTGCCGTCACACAATTAGCATAAACCAAAGGGTGTCCAAAAGAATCCAGATGCATTTTCCTGCTAAAAGCCTCTCGGCTGCCTCCAACGAGGAAGGATGGTTTTTGGATTGCAGCCAGATGAGCCAGGAACAGGAGGAGAATGACTGGGATAATGAAAGTAAACCATGCTAAATATTTAGACACATGGAGGAAACATGCCAAACAGGCTCACCAGATGCATATCATTAGAGACAGTATCACACTGTATCCAGCATCATCTGAGAAAATTCCAGATAAACAATAGAAAGGCTTCTCTCCGTATCGCTCAGAAAACAATGATGGGGGAACAAACTGAATGTGATGAACAACAAAGCTAACACAGACAATTTTGCAAGACTTCGGGCATCACTGTGTGCCTAAAGATTATTTTAATTCTGTTTTCTCACCTTTTTAACCTTTGCCTGCTCTTTTTCAGACTCCTTCTCTGCCTTCTTGGCCAATCTCTCAAGTTGCTTGGAAGTAAACTGTAATCCATAAAAAAAAATAAAAATAAAAAGTAGAATTTATAACCAAAAAACTTCAGCTGTACTACTGACGCAGATTAGGCATCTTTTCAAGAACATACCTTTAGCTGAAAAAGTGTCTCTGTGGAAAACAAGATATTTAGATTAGGGGATCATTTGATGCCAGCAACAGAAGTTGTCTTATTTCTCAATGCTTTTGAGGAGTAGAGCCTTTTTAAAACGGTCACATATCCTAGAGTAAACGTTTCAAGTGTATCTATGTAGATCATAACAGTGAAGTATTCAGGAAATGTCTGTTCAATCAAACCTGATCAGGTCATAAACGGAAACACCACAGGGCAGCGCAACGACGAGCTAAATCATAGCAAAGATGCTATCCGACAATCAGTCTAAAAGGTTTGTTGAACGTCTGGCAAAAAATAACAATAAACTAAGAATTAAGGAGTTTGCCAGTTTAGAGCCAATCCGCCTAAGCTCACACCCAAGCTAAAATGCTAACGTTAGCTACCGATGATGACTTGGTAATAATACATTTTTTTAAATAGACAGATTTTATCCGGCCTAGAGATTTTAGTTGTTTAAATTGACGTACCATCCATCTCGACCCAAATATGATGCCTGCCAGCCACGGACAGAGTATTTATCGACCCTGAAGAGGCTTCGTCTCCGGTTGTTTGGACTAAAATGTGTTTATTCCGGGTTTAACACTTGTCACGTGACCATAACGCTTCAACTTCTTCTTCTTCTTCTGTACCTCAATTTTCTGTGGGTGACTCTACTACCACCCACTGGTTACTTTATAAGGCGCTGGAGTCAAGTCCTTCTCGTGGGCTGTAGAAAAAAACGGAAGTGATTTTTAGTTTCATGTGTTTTGGTGACAAGTTCTTGAAATAAACGCCAGTTCTAAGTGGTAGTTTGAATAAAAGCACAAAAAAGAGGACATGAAAAATATAACTGAGATGCTTTAACCCGCAGGCGTTGCAGATTTGCAACGTTAATAATAATAATAATAATGCATTGAACTTATATAGCGCTTTTCTAGACACCCAAAGACGCTTTCACACACTGCTAGTGATGGTAAGCTACTTAAAGCCACAGCCGCCCTGGGGAGGTCTGACAGAGGCGAGGCTGCCATTTGGCGCCGTCGGCCCCTCTGACCACCACCAACACAGGCAAGTTGAGTGGTGTCTTGCTCAAAGACATAACATCCTGGCGGGAGCTGGAATCGAACCCATGACCCTCCGATCATGAGGCAACCCGCTCTACCACCTGAGCTACTGCTGTTAAAACCTACCTACCTGGTTACTTTACACACGTAGGCTATTTCATGAGCATTTTTAAACTCAGAAGTACCCCTGAAGGACTTAGTTGTTCGTCCTTTTATCAAAACTTATTTTGAGCCTGAGAGGGTTAAATGGCTACTGCAGGATGGATCAGACATCTGAAAACCAGGGCGGAAGGGGATGAGATGCGTGTAGATGAACCTCTAATGGTGTTACTTTATTTACATGTTTGTGTTTTATTTATGCTGAATATTCATTCAAATGTTTGCTACATGTGGGTAGTTTTCAATGCAAATGTAACATATTTGAAAATATTCTCATTATTATTCCATATCTCTCATCCTCTCATGTATGCACGTTGACTAAAAGTGAAAAATCATCCATGGGTTTTGTGTAAAATATGACAAGAAGGTTTTGCTCCAGAATCTTTAAGTTTTCTTTTCAGATTATTCAGGAAATGTGCTCTAAACAAGCCACATACCTGCAGGTGTTGACTTTTATACTATTGCTAATAATGTTTTCCATCTCATTTTTGCTACCTCCCACAGCCTTCTGGCATCAAATTCAAATAATTAAAATCACATTTATGCTATTTACAGTTCTGAGTGCAGTTTAAATATTTTGCACTTTATTTTGACTAGCTTTCCACCATTCTTGGAAACATGGTTGTGTTCCTTGTATTCACACGTTAATAAGACCTGCCCTTTAAATCCAGGATCTTTACAGTTGCCGTAAGCTGCTGCAGAGGATTACTGCATCTCTCCCAGACAGGGACATGGACAGAGATGGGAACAGGAGGAACCGGCATGAACGCAGGCTCTAAACATGTCGCATCATGAACTGAGCAACGTGTAAACATCATGTTTTTGGAGATGCATGAACTTTACCACAGCTGACTGGAGCTCGATGGGGTCTGGAGCAAGTCAGAGGCCAGATTCAGGTAAATACACTACAGCTGAAATAAAATCTGCCACAAACAGGAAGTGTTTTGAGGAAATATACGACCAATTATCTACTTTTTAGATTAGTTTTTCAAGGTTTGATGCAGCAATGATGTCATATTTTCACAGAAAATGAAGAATTGCTTCATAAAAATTATGCAAACCTTGATATTTTAACTTGAAATACAAATGTAGTGACGTAAACGCTTAAATAATAGCAGCACCCACGTTACATTTAGATAAACAACAGATCTTGTCATTGAGGCGTTTTCCCCCTGACAGGGCTATTAGATATGTTATCCTGTAAAAAGGAAGAGGGCAACCCCTGTAAGCCAACTAGTAGCTAATCATCGCTAATCATTGTTCTTCCTGGTAATACTCACATGATGCAGCCCTAACAAGTCTTAACGCAGCTTGGAAACCAGTGCAATCCAATTAAACTCTGGCTAATGCACATCATGCCAAACAAACACTGTGAACTTATGCACACACACACAAACACACACTGATTAAAGCCAGCAGGTAGAGTTTAGATCAACGTCAGCAGCAGTTTAAACCGAGGCTACTATCAGTCAACTATTAACCTTGAAAGTCAAAATCATGACTTTGCAGTTCAAAACTGTTTGTGAAGTCTCAATTATGTCATTATTTGTCAAAGCTACTTCTGTGAAAGTAATAACGATAACTTTTATGTCACCATTATTTCTGTATTACAAAATTATAACTGAAAGTCACTGTTGCATCGTAAATATGACTTTAAACTCGTAGTTTTTACTTTGCATGTCACAATTATGTCTGTGAACGCCACAGTTATGACTTTCAGCTTTAAATTATGACCAAGAAAGTCCTAATTATGACTGAAAAGCATGACTACATCGTAGCGTTTACTGACTTTGCATTTAATAAATATGACTTTGTGCATAACAAGTGTGAATTTTAGAGACAAAATTAGTATAGAAGAATAAAATAGAACAGAAACTCTTTTATTGTCCCTCAGGTAAATTTTGGTAAATTTTGTGACTAAAATTCACAACAGGTGCAAGAAAAAAAAGAGTAAATTTCAAGAGTAAACAACAGGAAAACATAATGTAAAAATACTTAAAGAGCAAGTCACCCCCAAATACTTTTTTTTTGCTGATAAACTAAATAAACGAGTGTCTAATCGTGCTGCAGACACGTGTCGTCAATAATTTGGCACTTCAGTGCATCTTAGTTGAAATTTAAATTTTCTGCCTAAAACTGGCAGTGTTGTGCCGTTGTCAGGTAAAAACTCTGCACTGTATTTTAATTTAAATCTGCAACCGCTATTGGCTAAGAGGTATGCTATGATGTAAACTGGTACATCTTTTTAAAGAGCAAGTCACCCCCTGCCAGATTCTTACTCAACTCCCACTTCCTGTTTGAAAAATGCAACAAATGCTGTTGCCTAGCAGACCGAAAGGGTGGAGCCACTAACAAATACACACACTCACGGCATTGTGACATCATAATGTACCATCTGACATCATAGTTAGCCAATAGCAATGGCAGATTTAAATTCAAATGCAGTGCTGAGTTTTTGCCTGACGACGGTGCATCGCTGACAGTTTTAGGAAGATTATTTAAATTTTAACTAAGATTAACTTAAGTGCCAAATTATTGACTGAACGTGTCTACGGAGCAATTAGACACTCATTTATGTAGTTTATCAACAAAAAAAGTTGTTTTGAAGGTGACTTGCTCTTTAAACAATTCTAAATACTCAGACTCAAAATTTAAAATATTGAAGAAATGAAAAATACTAAGTGGAAAAGGCTGGCAGGGAATGAGAACATGAATGGAAAATAATGAGATAATTTAAAGGTTTTGCATTGAATAATCTGATTACCTGGACATTTTTGTTATAGATCATTATTAGAAAGCAATACTGACCGTTTTATTCTTTAGTTTTCTTTTTGCACCTGAATGAATGAAATGAAATTAGCTGAAACATACTAATAAGAAAATATTTCATTTCTAAATATGATTTGAATCTGTAATTTTCTGATATACCTGCAATTATATTATAATACAAAATTCAGAATCATTAATCAAATGTTAAGTTTGGTGATGAAGAATAGGTATATTTTCAAAATATCACTCAAATTGGTCTAGTTAAACTTTGTTCTGAAGCATTTTTGTTCTTTTCTTTTCTAATCACGGCAACAATAGTGAATAAAGATGCATCTTGTGCTGTTTGTGGGTTTTTATGTGCTTCTCAGTTTCAGAGAACCACCACCTCTCAGCTCAGCCAAACACTGAGACAGATCCAAACAACTCCTCTGACCGACCACCTGCCATCATCGTCACCGCTCCATCAAGAGATGACATCTACGCCTCGCCATCCACCATCACCATAGCTGATGCTGTAAAAGAGCGAAGGCCGGGTTCTGCACCGTTTGTAGTGGGAAAGAAAATGGTTACCAGCCAGTAACTTCACCTGCTGCATAAAGTAAAGAAAAGAAAAACAAAAACATGTTTAAAACAAAACATTTTACTGATGGCGTGAAAAGTTAAAGCTCGTGGAAAATGAGGACTTAAAAAATTTACAAAGACCAATTACTTGACTTATTTTGTCAGCTTATTTACTAGTAATGACAATAGATCATTTTAATTACTATCAAATTATACATGGCATAGTATACATCGAGTATAGGGCCTAAATTAAAGGTGCAGTATCTAAGCATATAGTGAGATTTTTACAGTGAGAGAATCCCAAAAGAGTGTAATGTTTCTGTAATTTTGGAAGGAAGGTTATACAGAAACATATTCATATCCAGCTGGCTGCAGGGACTGTCAACTCGTCTCCTTTCAAAACAAAGGAAGGAGGGACGTAAATACTGTTAACCATCAGTGAGTGTGGGGGTGCCGTGTCTCCTGCAGCTCCAGTTGTTTAAAGTGGTTGCAGTAACCAAATTTTACCACAGGATGTCATTTTTTTACTTCATTTCTACATAATGCACCTTTAATACGTCATTTTTACTTCATTTTTACATAATGCATCTTTAATGTGTCAGAGATTAGTTTATATGTGGAATACATTTTTAAAAAGAAAAATGTGCTTGAGTCGAGCAAGGAAATTTAAAAGATGTAGCAGTTATTTAAAGTAAATAATTGAACATTATGGAGTTTGACTCAGAGCTGTTTGGATTTAAAGTAAAATTTGTGATGGTAAAATAAATGTAGAACGAGTACAGCGACTATTTTTTTGCATACTTGCTACTGGCTGCCTGTTAATTCCACTTAGCATGATTCAACTCCACAAACGTATTCCATGTTTTTTCTTCATTCTTTATTACAGTTTCCCAAGACAACATGGGTTTAAGCTGCGGAAGCGCCACCGAAAGGAAGGCTGTGTGTTTAAAAGGCGTCAAACTCCGGAAAAGTCTTTTGTTGTCCTCGGTGGCTTCCAAGCAAACCACAATGGCGCCTAGCTAGGTTTTTTAGCTTCTTTTTTCATTTTGAGAAATAAAACTACTAAAAAAGAAAAACATGGACGCTGTCGGAGAGGATGAACCGGACACGATAAAGCTGAGATCTATTAAAAACAATATAACTTTCACAGTGCCTCAAAGTGACAGGGTAAGTTAACGAGTACCTGAAATGAACGCAACATTTCATTGTCGCTTCTGGTGTTTTAACAATACGTCTCATTTAACACAATACTTCGTAGACTAGTCATGAGTTAGCACTGTTTTTTAAAGATGTCGTAGGTTTGGCTAAAATTCGGCATATAATTTAAATCGGTCAAAATATATTATGTTTGCTAAAAAAGGGAAACTTCGTTTCGTATTTAGTTGTGAGAACCACAGTTATTACCAATCCAAGAGCAGTTCACAACAATTATTGTATCTGTTCAAGACTTACGTCACGTTTATGGTCAAATGATGCATGAAACATTAACATATTATACAGCTCAGGCTTTACAAATGCTTAGTTTCTTACATAAAAAATATATTTAATGCATTTATAGTTAGAATAATACACATTATTGCACATGCAGACGTATTTTACTGATCTATTATCCTTTGGATGGCTTAATATTATGATTTTGCACACACACACACACACACACACACACACACACACACACACACACACACACACACACACACACACACACACACACACACACACACACACACACTTATCCTTAAAATATAATTTAAACATTTGTTTTTGACCACTTAAAGCCTGAATTGTCTATAAGCAAGAATAAAGTGTGTTTTTGTGTTTTTAGTTTGGGAGCTGCAGAAGTGTCAGAGAATTTGAGAAATTCAATCGAATAGGAGAAGGAACATATGGCATTGTGTGTGAGTGTACTTCGCCACTTTATAATAACATTTTATTTAGTTATAGGAAATACTCTGGAAATGAACAGTTTCTTCTTTTGGTTTAGACCGAGCCCGTGACACTAAGTCAGATGAGATTGTTGCGCTGAAGAAAGTTCGCATGGACAAAGAAAAAGATGGTGAGACTCTGGGACTGGATTTGGATTTATTTAGATCTTAAAGAGCAAGTCACCCCCTACCAGAGTATTACTCCACTCCCACTTCCTGTTTGAAAAATGCTACAAATGCTGTTACCTAGCAGACCGAGAGGGTGGAGCCGCTAACAAATACACACACACGCACACACACAGGCTCACAAAGACATTGTGACATCATATGGTACCAGCTAATGTCATAGTGTACATCTTAGCCAATAGCGATGGCAGATTTAAATTCAAATGCAGTGCAGAGTTTTTACCTGACAACGGCACAACACTGACTGTTTTGGGCAGAAAATTAAAATTTTACCTAAAATACACTAAAGTGCGAAACTGTTGACTACACATGTCTGCAGCTCGATTAGACACACATTTTTATAGTTGATCAGGAAAAAAGTTGATATGATAAAAGAAAGCTCTGTTTAGAAATCTAAAAGTAAAATTGGATTAGCCAGTCAGGTTTCAGCATGATGTTTTTCTGTCACGATGTGATGCTCTCGCTCGTATGCACGTGTCAAATCTGTTAATTTGTGTTGTTTCCTATCAGGGATTCCCATCAGCAGCCTCAGAGAAATGACACTGCTGCTGAGGCTGAGACATCCCAACATTGTGGAGCTGAAGGAAGTGGTTGTGGGCAGCCATCTGGAGAGGTAACACACACACACACACACACACACACACACACACACACACACACACACACACACACACAACCATACTCATGTTCTGGTTGATAAAAGTCGTGCAGAAAACTGTGACACACGTGAATCTCCGTCTGTGTTTCCTGTTTGTTTCTCCTCCATCGCTGTAGTTTGTTTTTGGTGATGAGTTACTGTGAACAGGATCTCGCCAGCCTGCTGGAGAACATGCAGACACCGTTCTCTGAGGCTCAGGTGGGTCAAACGTTTATACAAGTCCTGTCACAAACGGGCACATTTATTTCAAGAGATCTCAAGTATTTATAGTTTTTATTTCGGTTTGCCATCCCACATGTGTAAATAAAAAAATAGTATTTTGTATTTATTTTTTGAAGTCCTAAAGTTAGGAATGAATAAAATCATTATATACAGTTACGGTCGGTGGTCTCCCAAGACTTCAGTACTTTGGACTCATAATTTCTCTTTTCCAGGTCAAATGCATCATCCTTCAGCTTCTCAGAGGTTTGGAATATCTTCATCACAACTTCATAATTCACAGGTTGGTCCCAGACCGAACCAGACAACCAACACACGTTTATGTCATCATTTCATTTACAGAAAATTTAAAGTTTTGTTTTCTGAAACTAAAAATCAAAGTGTAAGTTTGGTAGAAATCAGCGTAGCGCTGATAACTCAGGATTTATTACTTTTAATCAGCTGTCGTATCCTTTTAGGTTTTAAGATTTATGTAGCATCATCTACTGCTCGGTTAAACACACTCAGGAACATCTCTATTTATTTCTGCTACCTAAAGACGGTTAGATGCTGTCTGTGTACTCAGGGGAGCGACACCATCGTGCTTCCAATCACTGAGCTTGCAGCAAACAGGGGTCAGAGCAGCCTGATCGTTATCCTCTTCAATCTTGTTATCAGGGACCTGAAGGTGTCTAATCTGCTGATGACAGACAAAGGCTGCGTTAAGATCGGTGAGTCCTCTCCGGTAGTGTCACTGCCACCACAGCTTCTGCTGTAATCTCATTGTATTTGTTCCGACACGCATCCCGAACCCTACACTGATGATCTTCGGTAAAGATCAATGCCAACATAACTGAAACGTATTCATCTTTATGACCGATCAGGTTTCTGCTGAAAACATCTCAGTTCCTGTGAAATCTGGACTTCTGGTTTCTGGTGTTTGAGGGATCTGATCTCTGTTCTCTTTCCTGCAGCTGATTTCGGGTTGGCCAGGATGTACGGGATCCCGCAGCAGCCCATGACCCCCAGAGTGGTCACGCTGTGGTTAGTGATACGTCTGTGCAGACTAGTGCATCTGCTTACGCCCCGTTATGGTCTCCACTGATTCAGGGAGGCTGTTTATGTAAATTCTGTTGGTCAAACTGATTTTAAAGTGACTCATCATGAGGTGAAGAGCTGAGTCAGATGACAAACACAAGCTGCAGATGCTCTGGAGTCTTCAATTATGCAAGACTTATTCTGTAAATTCTCATTTTAATCGTATTTAAAATGCATGATTGAAAAATTATCAAAACTAACATAAACTTTACATCCAGTTGTGAGTAGGCATGCACCGATACCGATACCAGTATCGAAATCGGTGCAGATACCGTTACGATACCGATACCAGTATCGGAATCGGTGCAGATACCGATACGATACTGGTATCGGTATCGGTAAAATTGAACTGACCTGAATTGGAATGTTTATTATATGAAGTGCCTTGAGGTGACTCTAGTCGTGATTTGGCGCTATATAAATAAAATTGAATTGAATTGAATTAAAAGTTAACCGATACCAGGAACCGATGCCAATGCAGTTGCTTGAAAATGGCTTCACTGTAACTTGTCATTTCTGTTCACCTAATATTTTAGTTTTGTGATGATTTCCATTCATATATTTTACTTTTTATCGACCTCAGTCTTTTCCTGTTGAAAGCAGAGAAGAAAATAAAATCTGTATTCCAAATCATAACATTTTTTGTGTGGTAGAAGTATCGGTAATCGGTAAATAATCAGATCCAAGTATCGGTATCGTATCGGTTTGGGAAAAAAGTGGTATTGTTGCATCCCAAGTTGTGAACGACTTATTTTTCTCCATAAATAACACTTCTTGGAGAAAAACTGTCTTTTTACTTTAAATTTGGACAAAAATTCAGGTTTCAGGAGCAATAATCTGCTCATAGAGGTAATTACATCAGAATAAGCCTCTATTATAACTTATTCGGAGTGTGCAGCTGCAATAAATGCATTTATCTATACATTTAATAACAATAAAGCAGATAAGTGAGGACATGACGTTATTTGCTCCCTGCTTGTTTTTATTCGATAAAGGTTAAAATTGTTCAGTAAATGTGACTCGAACATTTCGATGATTAGGAACGAGTCTGACTTAAACATTTCTATTTTCAGTGGCTTCTTCTTAAAATAGAGGAAATAATCAGAATCTCCGGCCTGACTTTTCTGGCTCGTGCTCTTCAGCTGACGCTGGTGGTGCTTCTGCCACCTCAGTGGAAACTCTGTTTTAATCCAACGTAATCCACCTCATTCGTCTCTATTAGCGTTGCTCTCTGTCCTCTCCTTCGTGCAGGTACAGAGCTCCGGAGCTCCTCCTGGGGACAAAGACACAAACAACAGCTCTGGACATGTGGTGAGAAGGATAGCTAAAAGATTTACAGAATGTTGTCATAATATCTAAAAATAACAGCACCAAAACCACAAGCATGGCGCTAAAGTTTCAACTTTAAACTTATTTCAACTGATATCTGATTCTAACGGGTCACTCTTGAGTGTTTCGTGCAGGCTGGACATGAAATAGTCTCCTACACCGATCTCCTGCAGTAGCTTCTGATAGAAAACAGACGGTGAAACTCTAGGATTAGAAAATCCTGACAGATCTACGTCACCCTGTCACTGACATTCATGGACTCACCCGTCTGGACTCACGACGGGGGAGGCTGTTGTTGGTTTAGCGTCCGGGAAACAGCAGAGGACGTCTCGGCAAGTAGAAGCTAGTCGTTAGATCCACCACACAGCAGAACTCCTCCAGACTTGTGTTATTTGTGAAGATGAAACATCAGCGTTACAGAGCAAATGGAGTTAGTGATAGAGTTATGTTGCTGTTAGCCAATCAGAGGAGAGATGTCCAACTATCAGGAAGTAAAGTCCTGCCGTGTTCTGCCACTCTCTCCAGCTGACTTCTCTGTGCCGATACTGAAGGTTCTGGGCTTTTATTCCACTCCTAATACGACTCGCAAGGCAGTTATTCCCACTAGAGACCTCTGCAAATGTACTGATTAAACGGGTGTTCCACACCTTTAACGTGAACTCATTCGCTGCCAGCGTTTCTCACCATTTTTACTGTTTTTTTTAAGAGTGACAGAACGGAGACTCACCTCACCAAAGCGGAGACTCACCTCTTACATCAGGAAGAATCCGCGCGTTTCGAGCGTTATCCGTTCTTTCATACTCCGTTGTTGAATTGTGATCAGCTTTTCCGGTTCGCGCCTCACTTTTTTTTTTACAGCAGCGGCCCAAAACGATCTCCTAACACATGGATGTTCTGCTTCCTGATCACGTGACGAGTGACGTACGCGGATGAATATCGGCTTCAGAGCTGAGATGCTTGTTCTCACGGTGCGGGGGCTCGTCCGACGCCCACGCAGTAAAAACATGCAAATGACGACTTTAGTCGTCATTGGCAGTGAACGAGTTAATAAAAGGATGGAGCAGGAACATGAAGCGGGGTGTTTCTGTCGCAGGGCCGTGGGCTGCATCCTGGCTGAGCTGCTGGCCCACAAACCTCTGCTTCCTGGAACCTCTGAGATCCAGCAGGTGGACCTGATCGTGCAGCTGCTGGGAACTCCCAATGAGAACATCTGGCCGGTGAGGCACCCTCCGATAACAATAATTAGTACATTTTTGTTCGTCATATTACTGTTATTTTATTTGTGCGCCGCTGCAGGGTTTCTCTAAGCTTCCCCTCGTCGGTCAGTACAGTCTGAGGAAGCAGCCGTACAACAACCTGAAGAACAAGTTCACCTGGCTGTCTGATGCTGGACACCGACTGCTCAACCTGCTCTTCATGTTCAACCCACAGCGCAGGTACAGATGAGCCGTTTCACGTTCAAATAATACTACGTTGGCTTCAAATGTATTCTTACCCAAACCGAACGAGTCGGTTGTTCTACAGGTCAGAAAAACTGTCCAAAGGACTCGCAGTGACCCCATTTGTTCTCTTTTCTTGAACCAGGGCGACAGCCAAAGATTGCTTAGAGAGCTCCTACTTCAAAGAGAAACCTCTGCGTGAGTTTTGAGGATTAAACACGATTTTCTCATAAAAATGAATCATTAACCCCCCCTTCTCTCTCCAGCTTGTGAACCGGAGCTGATGCCAACGTTCCCGCACCATCGCAACAAACGAGCTGCTCCTGCAGCCGAGCGCCACGCCAAGAGAAGCAAAGTTTGATCTCAAGACGAATAACGATCACGTACCCTCTCGTGTCGTATTTTCTCGCCTCTGAGGGAATTCCAGTTGGATGAGTCGAGCCAAACTCACTTGAACAAGTTGGGACTTTGTACAAAGAAGTAACGTTTATTCATTCAATCCTCTTATTGTTTTTCTTTTATGTCTTCTGCTGTCTAGCCTTTGTTGCTCTGTGTGTTAGCAGAGCGAGTTGGGCTCACCAAGAGGAAAAGTCTGGAAAAAATGACGTAAATTTGTTTGGAAGGTGCTTGAATTTAATTCTGGTTAAACTGTAAGAATCCTGAAGCTGAGCGGTTTTCCATGCAGAAGAAATATGATCAGAAAAGGCGACAAATGGAGACTTTATGTAAAATGAGTTCTGATTTAGTCAGTCGTAACTACCCAGTAGTCAAACGCCACTCGTTTTAGGTCTGTTTGTTCAAAATTGCAAGTGCAAACATGGGTATCATTTTTAAATAACTTACTGAAGGTCTGTCATATCACCCACCACCTTTCATTTTGCTAACAAACTGCTAATTTAGCTCAGTGCGTAAAATAAAGTGACTTATAGCCATATTTGTGTCAGCTTAAAGAGCAAGTCACCCCCAAATCAACTATTTTTTCCTGATAAACTATATAAACGTGTGTCTAATTGTGCTGCAGACACGTGTCGTCAATAGTTTTGCACTTTAGTGCATTTTAGTTAAAATTTTAATTTTCTGCCTAAAACTGTCAGTGTTGTGCCGTTGTCGGGTAAAAACTCTGCACCGCATTAGAATTTAAATCTGCCATCGCTATTGGCTAAAGCCTGATTCATGCTCCTCCGTCAGCTCCAACAGGGACAGACACGCACGGATTGACAGAAGCGTTTTGCTCTCATCTCAGTCTCCTGGAGAGTGTTGCAAAGCAATTCCCCGCCAGGACAGCAGAGGGCGCAGCGCTGTTCTGTGGTATCGTGTCAAGTATCGGTCCAAGATAGTGTGTTTATATTGTGTTTTTTGTATTTAAAGAGCAAGTCAACCCCTACCAGATTCTAACTCCACTCCCACTTCCTGTTTGAAAAATACAACAAATGCTGTTGCCTGGCAGACCGAGAGGGCGGAGCTGCTAACAAATACACACACACACAGGCTCACGACAACGTTGTGACATCATAATGTACCAGTTTACATCATAGCATACCTCTTAGCCAATAGCGGTGGCAGATTTAAATTAGAATAAAGTGCAGAGTTTTTACCTGACAACGGCACAACACTGCCAGTTTTAGGCAGAATATTTAAATTTTAACTAAGATGCACTGAAGTGCCAAATTATTGACGACACGTGTCTGCAGCACGATTAGACACACATTTATTTAGTTTATCAGTAAAAAAAAGTTTATTTGGGGGTGACTTGCTCTTTAAGAGACTTTTTAACACAGACAAATTTGTCTCTCATCCTCCTCCACCTCTAAACCCACGTTTCCTGTCATTTCCGTCCACAAATAAAACGCTCGCTGCGTATCTTTTCACTCCTCCAGTCACGGGGGAATTAAACGTTCATGTTTTTAGTTTTTTTGCGAGGTATTCTTCAAGCTGCTCTGTCTGCCGCTAGTTATCCTCGGCTCTCTTTATGTTTTTGAGGGCGCAATGGCGGCGGTGTAGACGCCAGCGGTGCCCTGACCAATCACAAGCTTGCGTTGTCCGTCTCGACTGACGGATGTTTAGAAAAGAGAGCTAGTCTCTGTCCGTCCTTGCGGAGCTTTCCAGCAGGCCCGCAAGGACGCTGCGTGTCTCCGCACTGATGCAGACGGAGAAGCATGAATCAGGCTTAAGAGGTACCCTAGGACGTTAGCTGGTACCATATGATGTCACAATGTCGTTGTGAGCCTGTTTGTGTGTGTTTGTTGGCGGCTCCGCCCTCTCGGTCTGCTAGGCAACAGCATTTTTCAAACAGGAAGTGGGAGTGGAGTAATACTCTGGTGGGGGGTGACTTGCTCTTTAAATCTGGTTGACTAAAAACATTTTGGTAGATTTGCATCCGGTGATTCTTCCTGTAAGCGTCCATAAAATCTGTTTTCTGATTGTGTTTGCCGCCTGCATTAATATAAACATCAGTGTCCCCCGTGTTCATTTGAAATGTCAAGTTTTTATTAATTCAGGTTAAATTAGTAATGATTACACGGCCAGCAGCAGGTTAGATCCCCAGACGGGGACTTTAACGACTAATCCCCCACTGATCCGATGCTCCTTCGCAAACACGCAGCCGCACTACCGTAGCAGGGTCTGTAATCCTGATGTCAGTCGGTACAGAACACACACACACACGCGTAAACACCCAACAGCACACACACCAGCTGTTACAATCAGCTGGCCGAGAGTCGAACTGTAATAAAACTAAACGGTAGCATCTGAGGAGGAGTTGGTGTGTATATTTGTCTCTCAAAAGAAAAAAGCCCTAGCGCTGTAAAAAAAATGACGAATCCATCGTCAACACAACTCTACAGCACTGCTGAATGGCGTGTTTTAACCCCACTCTTACACTGACGCGTGATTTATGTTTTTATGAACGAGCAACAGGATGTGAGCTTCAGTCGGATTTTCTGGAGGTTTTTTATCCCGTTTAAGAGATGCATCGGCGAATCGGCTTCATTTTCTGAATGAAACTAAAACTAAAATCAAAAATCTAAATACAAACGTGAATATTTAACTGAATTATTTGGTATTTTAAACCATCTTTAGGACAAAATGCAGCAGCTTAACCCCCCCCCCCCCCCCCCCCCCCCCCCCCAATCCTAATGGGTGTGACCCCGCCAGGAAAGTTGACCATTGAGCAGGGGTGAGGTGGTGCTCACTCCTCACCCCTGCTCAATGGTCAACTTTCCTGGTGGGGTCACACCCATTAGGACAGTGGGGGGGGCTTAAATGAGTTTGTTTTCTGATTCTTAAGAAAAGCGGCTCAAGACTCACTTTTGAAAAGAAATGTTTACGTCTGATGAAAAGCTGTGGTACGACTTAAAGCTCCAGAATAAGCAGCTTCATTACGAACAGTTTTGCGAATTTCCTGAAAACACAGAAACCTTTTACAGAATTTAACATTTAAATAACTTTGCTTGTTAGAAAACCTAATATTTAGGTTTCTGTGAAAGAAACACAATATCTGGACTTGTGAACGTAGTCTGTGTTTTTCCCCCTCAGCCGAACATCTCTTATCTTGTTAAATACTTTAGTCTGACTTAATTTTCAGGCCTGATCCTGAAACCTAACTTAACTTGACATTAAATAACAAAACACCAGGTTCATAACATCAAACAGAAACATTAAGACACAGAAGTTGAATTAAAAACACTCGAATGCATTCACACGCTTGCATGCCTGGCGGGGACTAGCTTCTGCTCCTTCCATCGAAACGTCTCGGTCCTTCGTTGGGATCGAAAGCAAAGTGCACGACGGCAACAAAACTGTACAGTCCTTCAGTCAGACACCGAATCGGCTCAGCGAGGGGAGAACTTCAAACATTTCCTCAGGGGAAATGCAGCAGAGTCCACGTAGTGAAGATTCTGGAAGATAACAGTCAGAAAATGGTGGTGGGGTCATAGGGTCTATTGTCCAACTACAGAATCACGCTGAGATTTTCTAAGGTGGCGTTCAGGAAGCGTCCTTCTGGGATTTTCAAACCCTGGCCTAGACACAGAAGATGTCAGACCAGCTGTTTGTCGATTTCATCCATGAGAGTCAGAAAACCAGGAGCCCAGCTGAGATGAAGGCCTACAGCAGTGAAACGAGGGTGGGTGGGTGGGTGTCATTACTGGGAGCGGCTCGAGCTATCCAGCGGATGAGGCGAGAGGCGGGATTTGGTCCCTCATCCCTCCATCCCAAAGTCCTCTGTGAACTTCTTGACCTTGAGCAGGTCTTCGGTGTTGACGGTGGGACGGGTGGTGGACAGAGAGCGCAGCATGTCAGACTGGAAAGGAGAAAATTCTTTAATGATCAGATGTAGCCGACACAAAAGTGAAAACTGGCAGTAGATGAAAACGTTTCTGAACCATCCGAGGATCTCACCATTAGGGATGGGTACAGAATTCGGTACTTTTTAAGGTACCGACCGAATTCCACAGTACCGACTGAGCACCGATTCACGTCATTTCAAACGGTGCCTCGTTTCAGTACCCGTCCTTCACAACAAGAACTTGCCTAGACAGCTGCGCATGCGCAAGAGCGTTATGTCGGTCGCTGCGAGCCAGTTGTAAACAGAGCAGCATGGTGGAAAGAACGCACGCTAACGCTTGGGTCCACTTCACTAAATGTGATGGGTAACTGGGTGATGATGAAACCAGCGACAACGATCTAAGTGAGACATCCTCATCTTAATCTGCTCCGGTAGGTAAATAAAATGTTTAAGATAGCGTTAGCTTGATATGTTAGCTTCCGTTCCGCTAATGGTGCGTTCGCTTTCTCCTCGGAACTCCGAATTTCCGACTAGAAGAACATGAACACGCTCTAAAGTTTGGCTTCACTTTACTAAATGTGACGGGTGATTGGGTGAAGATGAAACCAGTGACAACGATCTAAGTGTGAGGCATCATCGTTTTAATCTGCTCCAGCAGCTAAATAAACTGTTTAAGATAAAGTTAGCTTGATATGTTAGCTTCCATTGCCACCGTTGTTATCAGCTAATGGTGCGTTCGCTTTCTCCTCGGAAATTCTAACTTCCCAGTAGGAAAAATCAAATGAAAAAAGACAGTAAAAGGAATGAAGATACACAGTAAATTTAGTTCACAGTAAAGATGTTTGCTTCAGTTTAATTATCAGCTTATAAAACTACAAGGACGATGTTAAAATACAAACAGTTGTATGTTATTTATCGTGATATTTATCAAATATGGTTATATATTGAGAAAATATATATTTAATTATAAAAGAGAATTAAAATAATAAACACTCAAAAGTATCGAAAATTGGTACCGTTAAGTACCGGTATCGATTCCTAGGTACCGGGAATTAGTACCGAATCGAATCAAATGTCAAAGGTACCCATCCCAACTCACCATGCAAACTATGGGCTCCAATAGCTTATCACTAGGTACGTCCATCCAGGTCATCTCTACGGCTGCAGGGTCGCCAGGGGAACACGGAGTCAGGAGGTCATCCACCATCACTTGGTTGTTGCTACGGGATGGACCACGAACCTATGGACACACACACACACACACACACACACACACACACACACACACACACACACATACACACACAACACACACACACACTGGGGCCTCAACTTTTCAGTCTGATAAGATTTTGCAGCAGAACCTGAAAGACTCACAGAAGTCATTTGTAGTAAAAACTAAATAAATGATTTTACGACTGCACCTTGCCGTTTCTTCTTACCTTTTTAAAGTGAGTAGCTGACTGCACCTTCCTAACCGGCTGCATGAGAGCGTCCCGGACGATGATGCTGATGTCGGCGCCCGAGTAGCCGTCTGTTTTGTGAGCGAGCTCCCGCAGGTCAGAGTCACTCAGGCTGTGTGGCGTGTTTCCCAAATGAAGTCGAAACATCTGAGCCCGGGCCGGCTCCTCCGGCAGAGGGATGTAAATCCTCTTCTCAAATCTGACACAAAACCAACCAGCTGGAACTAAATAATCCAGTAACATGAGCCAAGGAGGAAAGAACGGCGGGAATGAAGTGACCTCTGACCTTCTACGAATGGCAGCGTCAAGCACCCAGGGGATGTTAGTGGCTCCCAGCACTAAAACACCATCGTTGTTGTTACCCACACCTTACAAAAAACAGAAAGAGGAATCTTTAATGAACGATACGTTTATTTCAGCTCGTAGAGGAGAAAACTTTGTTCAAATATGTTAGATTTAATGGTTATGAGAATAATATCCATCCATAATAATACTGCCAAATTATCTGTTGTACATTTTATTCATTATAACAAAGGAAAATAATTCTCTGTTTGGCTTTTAAAAATGATCTAAAACGCAATCAAATGAAATTACTGTGTAAAAAGTGTTAAAACTACATAATTTTCTCGTGTTTATGATGAAATACATTCATGCACAGCTCCTTTTTGACTCGCCTTGCATCTGGACCAGAAACTCTGTCTTGATGCGGCGGGCAGCTTCGCTCTCGTTCTCATTCCTGGAGCCACACAGCGAGTCCACCTCGTCAATGAAGATGATCGAGGGCTTGTGTTGGCGAGCCAGGTCAAACAGATTTTTCACCAACCTGCGAGAGACCAAGAATATAGTTTAAACGTCGGAGCAACTTCAGCCTCTTTAGTACGCCAAAGTTGTTACGCGTGACAGAAAGCATCATCCAACATCGTTGCCAACTGACTTCTCACTTTCTCCCAGCCACTTGGACATGAGGTCTGAAGAGGAGACGGAGAAGAAGGTGGAGTTGTTGGCCTCTGTGGCCACAGCCTTGGCCAGGTACGACTTCCCTGTTCCAGGAGGACCAAACAGCAGGATTCCTCTCCATGGGGTCCTCTTTCCTGAGAACAAAGTCACGACTGGAATAAGTCAAAATGTTTAAAAAAAAATGTCCAAAGAGGAGCTTTAGTTTTTAAGAAAGTACTAAATTTGCTTTTATGCCTCCTATTTTGTGTTTGAGGCATTACTTTGTGCATCGGTTGTAAAGAAACCCAAACTTGTAGAGACGATCTAAACCCAGTCTGAATCAAACAGCACCTGTGAAGAGGTGGGGGAATTTAATGGGCAGGATGACCGCTTCCTTCAATGCTTCCTTTGCTCCTTCTAGTCCAGCAACATCGTTCCACCTGACATTAGGTTTCTCCATCACAATAGCACCTACAAACACACAACATGACCAAGATGACATGGCTCATCACAAAACTACTGCACTCTCATATGATTTCTCTATTTTTCATTTAAACTTCCCTTCACACTCAGTCCCTTTTATAAGAGATCCAAGTTACGAGCAGAGGTGACTGGCATTCAGTGCGACGTAACTTCTGTGTTTTGTTGAAGCATTCCACTGCCAGATGAGCATTACATTTTTTCTGTAAAATGTTTTTATTTAAATGTTCTCAGAGGAAGTATCCTTCCTTCTAAGTGCTTTACTGAGAGTGAATTTTGGGTCACATGCAGCAAAACAGATCAGATCCGAGAGGAAGAAACAGAAATGAACAAGAATAGTTTTTTCCTTCAGGCTGCAGACAGCTTTAAAAAAAGATGAAACCACTCCTACCCATAAGTTGCTCCTGCAGTTTCTTCTTCTCTGGGTTTTCACCCTCACTGTCACTGTCACTCCTGGAGCAAACAAACAACACAGAAAATATAAACAAACAAAATCTGACAACAGTTTATTATTCCATGTGTTCTAATTAAAGTGATACCATACTTGTCATTGCTCTGTGCCTCCTTGACAGGTTTCTTCCCCTGTTTGTCTTTATTCTTCAGGTAGTCCTTAAGTTTCTCTGCTCTGTCCAGGTATTGCATGCACTTGGCTCGTATACTTTCCTTTGCCTTGTCGCTGTGGGCCTCATCTGGACAACAAGATCACAGCATCAGCTAACTATGCAACCACGCCTTGGTTACAGTTAGGTGCCGGAGTCCTTCACTTACATTTGATGGCATGTAGGAAATACTCCACAGCATGCTGGTACAGGCGCAGAGCCTCTTCATAATTTTTTGCCTTGTCCTCCTCTGTGGCTTTGGTGACGAGATCAATCGCTTTCTGCAGTAGACACAGAGAAAGGGTGGATATTAGAGGATCCATCGGTGAAGATACAACAACTGAAATAAAAAGCGGCTATGAAAATGCAATTAGAAGACAAACACTAACATCTAGATATTGCAGAATGATTCTTGCGAGATCTAATAAAATAAAACATGCATAATAATGGAAACAAGCTCCTACATTACAAGTAAATAATAGATGCAGGTCTTGCCAATTGCTTATTATATTATAGCTAATTGCTTGTCTAGTCGTTCAAATCACTTTCATGCAGATAGTTTGCAACTGTAGACTACACGTTCATTTACAAGTATCCAGTGTATTGTCTTTTATTTAATACACATTATTAGCTAAAACTCAAAGGTTAGCTTAAGACCGACAAGCTGCTACTGGTTATATCCAGTTACAGACCGCTAACGTTAGCATCCTACCTGTAATGTTGACGTTGTCATTTCATCTCACTCTTCCGTTCGCCACCCAGATTTTTATTTTCTGACCCTACCCAAAGTTGGATTCAAGAAAAAAAAAATTTAACGCTTGCAACTCTATTTCTCAAAGGCACTGATTATTCGTGACATGACAATACAGAACAGTGGCTAGCGCGGTAGCAACAGCGCTAATGTTATTTTCAGCAATTTAGCTAACACAGAGACAAACGTCCGGTTACAGATTTCAAAATACTTTAATCAAGGTCCAGGTGTGTAAGCTGCACATGCAATTTTCAACAAAAAAACCACAAAATAAAATTAATACTCAAAATCTTTGCGTAGTTATATTTTTAAATTTACTTTTTACGCTTAAACAAGTTTGTTCCGAAAGCACAGGCTTTTAATTTAAAAATAAAACAAGATAACATCCGGTCAAAGGAAACCAACGTGACGTCTTCCGAATGTTTAACTTAAGTTATTGCCATCTAGCGGTAAAAGTGAGCAACTACACTTGAAACCAAAATAAAAATAGGTTAAATAAGCCTATTTCAGCAAGTTTTTAATTTAGTTCCAACGCACGTTGAAATTTTTGAACAGGGAAAATCCCACGAGGAACGAAATAAGTCACATTCAAAAAGCGGTTTTCACGTTTATACGAAATAAATAAATAAATTGCCCTTTGGTGTTACCTTGCTGTGATACTATTCTGTGCCCGTTTAATTTCAAGCTTTGCAGTATTTTGTTAAAGAAACGTAAGGACTCTAAATAAATGGTATCTTCACCAACAAGCTGTAACAGTAATGCATAAAGATCTAAAATGGACAAATTTGACATTCAAAACCTAGCTTGTATAATTTTTTTTAAAACATTCATAAAACAAGTATTAATAAATAATGAAAAACTGATGAGAGCTGAGACATTACTAAAGGCAATAAATAAATACCATAATGACTAAATTTACCACATCTATGGATTAGTCTTTTAAAACTCTATCCCTATAATCTAACCAGTAGAACCTCCAAATAAAACCCAATTAAACACAAATAATCGGTTTCCTTTTGGTCTAAATCATAAGAAAGATGACATACTGGAGCTGGTGGAGTCAAACACTGTTTCCATCATGGGAGAAGAAGTGGAGGTGGTTGAGGAATACAAATACCTTGGAGTTCACCTGGACAACAGACTGGACTGGAGAAAGAACAGCGAAGCCGTTTACAAGAAGAGACACAGCAGACTTCACTTCTTGAGGATGCTTAGGTCCTTCAGTGTCTGTAGCAAGATGCTGCAGATCTTCTACAAGTCTGTTGTTGAGAGTGTAATCTCTTCAGCCATCGTCTGTTGGGGTAGCAGCATCAGAAGCAGGGACCTGAAAAGGCTCAACAGCCTAATAAAAAAGGCTGGTTCTGTTCTGGGGACGACTGTGGAACCGCTGGAGGAGATAATGCAAAGAAGGATTCTCCAGAGAATCAAGAAAATGATGGACAACCCTGAGCGTTCTCTTCACAAGACTGTCCGACAACGGAAGAGTGTCTTCAGTCAGAGGCTTCTTCAGTCTGGCTGCAACACTGACCGCTACTGGAGATCCTTCCTGCCAACAGCCATTGTAATATACAACAACTCTTTGATGACTTGATTATTATTATTATTCTGAGCTACTACAGCAATCAGTTTCCCTCTGGGATTAATAAAGTATTTTAATTGAATTGAATACAAGCTCATGTAATAACAAGTTTTATTGGTTTATTTACATTTCAGGAAACTACATTTCTATTTTACATTGTATTCTGTATCTTGTAAGGAATCTAAAATACTTTGCATTAGACAAGTTGTTGCAGCAGCACTTTATCTTCCTGTGGATCTCAGCTTCATGATTGTGTAAGACGCAAGCTGCCACAAATAATACCTTTGGTTAAAACAAAACACTTTTTAGAAGCATTAATTGCATAGAGAGGAGAGACGACGAAGACTAAAGGTGTACACAAAAGTGGTACATGCACGCATATAAAAGGGTCTGATAGGTTAGTGCATGGAGGCGTTCAACAGAAGGTCGTGACCGTAGCTTTGTGTGAAACGTGGCAGGAACTTGAATCACACTGAGCTCATTACATGGAACAACGCGTGATATACGGGGAAGTAAAAACTACTTCTGCTTCGACATCAATCGTTGATAAAAGAAATGACTGAAAAGGACTGGAACCCTTAAAAAGGAACTAAACAATGCCGTGACTTCATTTATAAAACTCCAACAGAAAGTCTACAGCAACAAAAACGGAGGTTCAGGCAGGAATGAGCCAGTGCAGAAGGGTTATCTTGTTTTCCTGTGGCGCAGTTAGGAAACACAATAGGTCACTGTCTGAGGTCCAGGAGAGCAGAGTTTCTGCTGAAGGGTTAGACTCAAAATCGAGTCCACAAACGAGAGGACGAGCTGAAATGCAGCTGTGGCTGCAGCTAGAGACTATTTCTGCTCATTTTGGCCTGTTCTTGAGCTTTGTAACCACATCCCTCGTGCAGAGTCGATTTAATCTAAACAGACATAATATATGAGCACCAGCACATTTTAGTAATACTGCTAAAAAGCAACAAAACTCCAAACTGACTAATCAAAGTAAACATCCAATCAGGTGTTTTAAAGTTTTGATCTGCAACTCTCTGCTCTGTACGAAAATACTAGATTCATATATTTTTGCATATATTAAACTCATTCAACATAACTTTTGCACATATATATCTGAGCACACCAACGCTTGTTTGGACCGTCAGTAACGACGATTAAGATCCACAATTTTAGTTCGAACCTTTATGTGAAAGTAACAAATGACGTTTGCATTTTTAACAAAAATATATCAGACTTTAGTGTGCATGTGTGGCACTTGTTCTATTTTGTTTACAGTATCGAGACTAAGATCAAGTTGGAGGCAAATTTCTTTGGTTTGCTGAGATCAGAACGCTAAATTAAAGAGCAAGTCACCCCCAAATCAACAAATTTTTTCTGTGACAAACTATATAAATGCGTGTCTAATCGTGCTGCAGACAGGTGTAGTCAATAGTTTTGCACTTTAGTGCATTTTAGTTCAAATTATAATTTTCTGCCTAAAACTGTCAGTGTTGTGCCGTTGTCAGGTAAAAACTCTGCACTGCATTTGAATTTAAATCTGTCATCGCTATTGGCTAAGAGGTACCCTAGAACGTTAGCTGGTACCATATGATGTCACAATGTCGTTGTGAGCCTGTGTGTGTGTGTGTTTGTTAGCGGCTCCGCCCTCTCGGTCTGCTAGGCAACAGCATTTGTTGCATTTTTCAAACAGGAAGTGGGAGTGGAGTAAGACTCTGGTAGGGGGTGACTTGCTTTTTAAAGAGCAAGTCACCCCCAAATCAACTTTTTTTTGCTGATAAACTAAATAAACAAGTGTCTAATCGTGCTGCAGACACGTGTCGTCAATAATTTGGCACTTAAGTTAAAATTTAAATTTTCTGCCTAAAACTGGCAGTGTTGTGCCGTTGTCAGGTAAAAACTCTGCACTGTATTTGAATTTAAATCTGCCACCGCTATTGGCTAAGAGGTATGCTATGATGTAAACTGGTACATTATGATGTCACAATGCTGTTGTGAACCTGTGTGTGTGTTTGTTAACGGCTCCGCCCTCTCGGTCTGCCAGGCAACGGCATTTGTTGCATTTTTCAAACATGAAGTGGGAGTGGAGTTAGACTCTGGTAGGGGGTGACTTGCTCTTTAATGATAATTTTAATAATTATCTGAAATAAACTGTTAAAAAGAGTGAAATTGACCCCTTTCATTGTTTAGGTTGAACGGTTTTAACCGCAGTCAGAATTATAGCGACGAGTCACATTTTAAAGCTTTTTTTGATACATTAACAGATTGTTTTGCTTTAGGGTTAGGTCAGCCAGATTTTTGATGCTTAATCAAACGTGGAAAGAAAGTTTGTGATGATTAAAGGAAAAAAAAAATCAACAATAAGAGTGAAAATGGAGTTAAATACATTCGTGGATCGGTCACAGGATTGGTGAGCCTTTAAACCCCCGCAGAAGAGCGGAAACTCAAACCAGAAGGACACGCCGGGGTGGAAAATATGTGGAAGTGTAAAGAAGAGCGGAAAGTCGTCGTCTTGTGTTTCGTCATCAGGAAGTCACGCTATCAGGACTAACATAAAAACACAGTAATGTGGTTTAGAGTAACTATTGCTTGTGCATTTCCAAAGCTTAAAACCTTATTATGTGAAATACAAAAACATGAAACATGGATGTCTCTAACTCCGCGTAACAAGGCACAGTTGGCGATCCTGATTACGAACGGTGGTTTCGGGACGGCATGCCGATGGAGAGGAGTGAAGTTTGTAGACGGGATAATCGGAAGGCTGTTATGGAATGATAGGCAGAGTAAAAACGGAGTGTCTGTTCATCTATCTAAGAAACGAGCCTTGAGAGGGCGCAGGTGCCGCCACACCTTCAGCATCTTTTTGTTCGCCCCATCAGCTGAACACAGTGAAGGTTAGAACGCCGCTCTGTGGAATGATGCTGGAAAGTGGCCCTTCCTTTCACCTTTCAGGGGGGGGGGGGGGGGGGCAGGAAGGCACAATTTTGAGACAATCACCCAACAAGCAACTGGCGAGTTAAAGTTTAGAAGCAGCAGCGCCGCCTCGCCTCCGGCCACACTTCGGCTGTGGACCGGGAATGTGGATCAAATAAAACGTAAAAGGAAATCTGCTCGTTTCTTTTCTTCTGTAGGTGGCGCCGCCGGCCCATTCACGTCAGGAGGCCCATGCGAGCGAGCTTCGCTGACAGAAAGGAGTGGAGGACGAACACCACCGGCTTCGGACCTGAGTGGAGGTCAAACACCTGCAGGATGGAGAGAGGAGGTTAGAGAACCAAGCAGAGCGGAAAAGAAACGCGTCTAAAATAACGGAAACACACAAAGATGAAGGAAAATAAAACTGAATTTGTTCTAAACTCTTTAAATCTGATTTCTAATCTCTACTGTTTTTATTCTGAATATGTGGTGAGGATACAAAAAAAACATCTTATTTTGAAATACCTACATTTATTTCCTCTAGTTCCACATAAACAAGGGTTCACCATAATTATCAACAAAATAAGACTGTTGACGACTCTTCAAGATCCAAAAATAAGACAATTATGCCAAAAAAATAAACAACAACCAGACAATGAAACGAAGACAGAAACAAGTCATATCGCCAGTTTTCCTTCACTTTGAGGAATGCCAAACTGAACTTCGTCTTTTTTTTAAACAGTAAATTTCCTTCCATCTGATTTTGTCTTGTGTTTGAAAACTGAAAAGCTTTTAAAATACTGACATTAAGAAAGTCACGTAGGTCTTTAACTCGTTCGCTGCCAGCGTTTCTCACCGTTTTTACTGTTTTTTTAAGAGTGACAGAATGTTGCGCGCTAGGATGATGTCGACGCCAAAACAACCAAAACAAAGCGGAGACTCACCTCTTACATCAGGAAGAATCTGCGCGTTTCGAGCGTTATCCGTTCTTTCATAATTTGTTGTTGAATTGTGATCGGCAGAAGCTTTTCCGGTTCACGCCTCACTTTTTTTACAGCAGCGGCCCAAAACGATCTCCTAACACATGGATGTTCTGTTTCCCGATCACGTGACGTGTGACGTACGCGGCTCAAGAGCTGAGATGTTCGTTCTCACGGTGCGGGGGCTCGTCCGACGGCCACACAGTAAAAACGTGCATTGGCAGTGAACGAGTTAAAACTCAAATAAAACTTTCTTTATTTCTAATTTGAAAGCACAATGGATGTAGAACATTTAGGTGAGGACAAGTGAAACGCACCATTTCTCCCTCGGGACCACCAAAGTCCAGATAAAGGTTCCGTACTCCGTCGTCAGCAGACACTTTGAGCTTCTCGTAGGGGTACCTGTAGAGCACGGCACCCCCCGTCTGGTCCACGGGTTCCCTGATCACAGAGAAGCCCTTTTCATAGTGCAGCATCAGCCGAACATCCTGCCTGTTCAACGTGCAGCCTGACAGAGAAGACGAAGGAAACCAGAAAGAGACGAACGTATAAGGATCGTCTTACTCCATGATTGGTAATCTGAATATTTTATTTCTAGATTAAATAGACCAGAAGTTCCTTAAATTAGAATATTCAAATGAAGTTTGAATTTTAAAACTTAAGGTTAAAATTAAAAAAGAAAAACAAATGCATTAAATAAATATCTAAAGAGTTAAAAACAGCAAATAAATGATAAAAGCAGATAAAAACAAGAGATCGGTGACTTAAACATCCTGTTTCCAACCAACAGTTTAAATGAGAATCCAAAAGCGTTTTCATGTGAAACCCGAGTGTGGTGTGTGTGTGTGTGTGTGTGTGTAGCAGTGGGACGGGGAAGAAGGAGACATAAAAACGTCATTCCAGGACTCTTCTAGCAGCCAAGTATTGTTCTGCAGAGCAGAAACATTCCCCTCTGATGGCTCCGGCCGGGACGCAGGGCTGGGAATCAGCCGCTGCCAGCAGCTTCCTGTCGCCGTCAGAAAGAGCTCGACATTTTCTAACTGGTTCTACGGTTTTGTTTGGTAGTCAACCTTCACTCAATGTTAATCTGTAAGCATGACGACGTCGTGTAAAGAGGTGAACCCCAGTGGAGGCTCGTCCATAGGGGGCGCTAGGGTGCCGCTCCACCTGTCTCACATGAAGAGGAAGAAGAAGGGTGTGTTGTGCATAATCTGCATTTAAGTGGAGTTTATAAATGTTATTTTACACTTTGACCACGCCTGAATCGTCTTGTGATGTATTTCCTGTTCCTTTTGGGCGCAGCGATCTCTACCTCAGACCGACACTAACTGGCAAATGCGTTGTTGCTGCTGTGTGTTTTTCTCAATATGTGTATTTAGCCAGGGACGAAATTTTGATTTCAGAAGTGGGGGGGACACAGCAGGCTTGTGCGGATTTGGGGTGGGGGGTGTTATGTAAAGACCCCTTGACACGTCACGTGCCCATCTCAATAATTTTTCCATCCTCAATATACATATATATATATATATATATATATATATATATATATATATATATATATATATATATATATATATATATATATATATATATATATATATATATACGTATATATATATATATATATATATATATATATATATATATATACGTATATATATATATACATATATATATATATATATATATATACGTATATATATATATACATATACATATATATATATATATATATCAAAGTTAAAAAATGTACAACTCTATTATTATTTTTATTTATTATCATTATTGAAGTGCAGTTTTGGCTGTTGACAATGGATAAGCCATTGTATTTATTGTTTTGGGTCTTTTTTTATTGTTTTTGGTGCAACATTTTCTAACAGGGAGTGAGATTCCTTTTTTATTGAATTTTTGTTTGTTATTTTTATTCATTTAGAAGTTCTGGTTCTGGACATTTCAATGTTAAATGAAGGTTTATTTGTTGCATTTTAAAGGGTGTACTTGCATTATTATGATATATTAACATTATATTAGTGGTTATTTTGGTCTAGATAATGTTGACAATATCGTTTATCATCAACAATTTGTTGGACAAAATATCGTCCAGCAAAATGTGTTACATTCCCAGGCCTAGTCAAAAGTATAAAAATTATTTATACATAAACGGTCCCTCCTGAGATCTGGCCGTTTGTTCATTTGCTGTGTTAGAGGACATGCTGAACAAATGTTTTACACATGATCATCACCCTAACATTTGAGTGTATGAAAACATATTAAATGTTTTTTCCCTTAAAAGTGTTTAAACAGTTGTTGCATTTCAACACACAAAAAATAAATGGAAAAAATAAGATAAATCTAATGAAAAGTGTACATCTTTGACATTAAGCTTAAAAAAATCTGTTGACGATGATGATACTGTTCATTTTTCAGAGCTTTTTAATGTGAACATATACATTGCAATAGATACGTTTACAATAAAGTTAAATGATAAAAGTTTTAAAGTTACACTTCTACTACTACTAGTAATAATAATAAAAAAATAATTATAATAATACGAATAAATTGTGTCTGAGGAGTCAGTTATGTGGAGGAGATGAGTTTGTAAAAGTTAGTTTTGAGTATGTGTGTGAAGGAGGAGGTGAGTCTGAGCTTAATGCAGGGCTGTCACATGTTCCAACTTACGTTTTGACTTTGAATGAAGTCTCTTATCACTTTTCGTTTCTTGACATGCTGCCTCCTGGCTGTGCCTAACTACCAAAAACTCACAAATGAACACTTATTCAAATGTTATGTAATGGAAGCTGAGCTGAGCTCTGATATTACACAGCGTCTAGTTGACGATGTGACTCAGTACCGGTGTTCCCTAGCGGCTCCAAACTAGCAAAACAACGTGAGCACGTTCTGACTGTTTACAACTTGAGTGACAGCAGCAACAGCCAATAATACGTTAGCAAGTATCAGCAGAGCCAATAGATTAGCTTTTGGGCGGGTCTAATAGGAAACCGGTTTCCGTTTCGGTCCTAGTGCTCAACCAAATCCATTTAATGGAGCGTAACATTGTTTTCGGACGGAAAAAAGTGCAGGGGACCAAAACTGCCTTTTGAAAAAGTGGGGGGGACATGTCCCACCCGTCCCCCCCCAAAATTACGTCCCAGTATTTAGCTCATTTTCAGCCCTTTTGTTCAGGTAGAAAAACCATGTTTATACTGCGCGCACACACACACACACACACACACACACACACTCACACTCACATGCACACACACACACTCACATGCACGCATGCACACACACGCGCACACACATACACACACGCACGCACGCACACACGCGCGCACACACTCACATGCACGCATGCGCGCGCACACACACACACACACGCACACACACACACACTCACATGCACACACACACTCACATGCACGCATGCACACACACACGCGCGCGCGCACACACACACACACACGCACGCACGCACGCACACACACTCACATGCACGCATGCGCGTGCACACACACACACACACACACACACACACACACGCACGCACACTCACATGCACGCATACGCGCGCACACACACACACACACACACACACACACACACACACACTCACACGCATACACACACACACACACACACACACTCACATGCACACAAACACACACACACACTCACATGAACACATGCACACACACACACGCAAACACACACACAAAATAAAGTCTGAGTACTTTAAGCTAAAGTGTTTATTCAAAAGTCTTTGTGAGTGATTTCTATATCTGCTGCTGATGATACACATCTGCTTACCAATGGAGACTTCTTTGATGAGCTCGGCAGCAGCGTGCACACCTTGCACAAGAGCTCGTGTCCACGTGGACAGGTCCCAATGAGTCTCCACTCTGAAGATGTGGGACTCCACGCCACGCCCGGTGCCGGTCCGGGTGGCGAACACCAGGTCTGAGCTCTGGGATGGAGAACCCTGGGCGCTACCAGAATGAACCAATCTGGGGAGGGAGGGAGTGAGAGAGGGAGGGAGGGGGGGGGGTCAGTTATTTTCTAGTAATTTTATCAAATTTCTATTAAAAATTCACTGACTCGATGTAATCCTCATAATAAAGCAAGCACGTAGCGACAGTGAAGAGGAAAACTCCCTTTGAACGGGAAGAAACCTCCAAAAGAACCTGGCCATCCACCGTGACTCACTCACTCACTCGCTCGCGCGCACACACACACACACACACACACACACACACACACACACACACACACACACACACACACACACACACACACACACACACACACACACACACACACACACACACACACACACACACACACACACACACACACACACACACACGTTTCTATGACTGCAAACATTGAGATTTCTAAGAGATTATTTTTCTTAACAAAATAAACTTTATGAGAGAATATTTACCGCTGACAGAACAAACAGTAAAACATGTTTGTTTTTGTTGTGGTTGTTTAGTTTCTAATAAGTTTTGTTTGGGTGTGAATGATGATATTTCCTGTTTAGTCTTAATTTATGGTTTATGAGCTGATAGACGAGTCGAGCGTTTCCACCGTTTGTTGAAGGAATTCAAGAAAACGAGAAGCACAAAGTTGTAAATGTGAAGGAAAACTAGAGCATCACTAGCAGAGGTTTAGAGAAAAGCTGAAGTCTGTGCTTTCCTGCATGTTTCCTACATAGTTTATTATAAATAATCAACTCAAAGCTGTGAAAAAAGTATCGACCTCATCCTCAACTGGTACAGAATTACCTGTTACCTAAAAAGTCCCTCTCAAAACAACAACATAACTAAATACAAGCGTGTTTTTGGGTCCAGCACTTTTATCTTTGTATATGCTCCCCTTAGGCTCCATTTTTGACAAGTACAAAATTACTTTTCACTGTTTTGCTGATGACCTTCAGATCTATTTGCCACTTAGTGATGCCAGGTCAGTCGGCTCATTACTGGAGTGCTTAAAAAGTGTCAAACAATGGATGTGCATGAATTTTCTTAAGCTCAACAATCAAAAAACTGAAATTTTACTATTTGGCAGTCCTGATCTTTTAAACAACGCTGTTAGTCCTCTTGGTCCTTGTTCTGGTTTTCTAAAAGCCGTCGTCGTCGTCGTCTTAGTCTTAGTCTTCCTCAGCTTATCCGGGTCCGGGTCGCGGGGGCAGCATCCCAACTAGGGAGCTCCAGACTGTCCTCTCCCCGGCCACCTCCACCAGCTCCTCCGGCAGGACCCCAAGGCGTTCCTGGACCAGATTGGAGATGTAACCTCTCCAACATGTCCTGGGTCGACCCGGGGGCCTCCTGCCGGCAGGACATGCCCAAAACACCTCCCCGGGGAGGCGTCCAGGAGGCATCCTGACCAGATGCCCAAACCACCTCAACTGGCTCCTTTCGATCCGGAGGAGCAGTGGTTCTACTCCAAGTCCCTCCCGAATGTCCGAGCTCCTCACCCTATCTCTAAGGCTGAGCCCGGCCACCCTACGGAGGAAACTCATTTCGGCCGCTTGTTTCCACGATCTCGTTCTTTCGGTCATTACCCAAAGCTCATGACCATAGGTGAGGATTGGGACATAGATCGACCGGTAAATTGAGAGCCTGGCTTTCTGGCTCAGCTCCCTCTTCACCACGACAGATCGGCTCAGCGTCCGCATCACTGCAGACGCCGAACCAATCCGCCTATCGATCTCCTGATCCCTCCTACCCTCACTCGTGAACAAGACCCCGAGATACTTAAACTCCTCCACTTGAGGTAGGACCTCTCCCCGACCCGGAGTTGGCAAGCCTCCCTTTTCCGGTCGAGAACCATGGTCTCAGATTTGGAGGTGCTGATCCTCATCCCAGCTGCTTCACACTTGGCCGTGAACCTACCCAGCAAGAGCTGAAGGTCAGAGCTGGATGAAGCTAGGAGGACCACATCATCCACAAAAAGCAGAGACGAGATTCTCCTGCCACCAAACTCGACACACTCCACACCACGGCTGCACCTAGAAATTCTGTCCATAAAGGTAATGAACAGAACCGGTGACAAAGGGCAGCCCTGGCGGAGTCCAACCCTCACTGGGAACAGGTCCGACTTACTACAGGCTATGCAGACCAAACTCACGCTCCTCTGGTAAAGGGACTGAATGGCCCTTAACAAAAGGCCACCCACCCCATACTCCTGGAGCGTCCCCCACAGGGTGCCCCTGGGGACACGGTCATAAGCCTTCTCCAAATCCACAAAACACATGTGGATTGGTTGGGAAAACTCCCATGCCCCCTCCATCACCCTTGCAAGGGTATAGAGCTGGTCCACAGTTCCACGGCCAGGACGAAAACCACATTGCTCCTCCTCAATCTGAGATTCAACTATCGATCGGACCCTCCTCTCCAGTACCATGGAGTAGACCTTTCCAGGGAGGCTGAGGAGTGTGATCCCCCTATAGTTGGAACACACCCTCAGGTCACCCTTCTTAAAGATGGGGACCACTACCCCGGTCTGCCACTCCACAGGAACTGCCCCCGATGACCACGCAATGTTGCAGAGACGTGTCAACCATGACAACCCTACAACATCCATAGCCTTGAGATACCCAGGACGAACCTCATCTGTCCCCGGGGCTCCGCCGCTGTGTAGTTGTTTGACTACCTCAGCAACTTCTGCCCCCGAGATTGGACAGTCCATCCCCAGGTCTCCCGGCTCTGGTTCCTCCTCGGAATGCGTATTGGTGGGATTGAGGAGCTCCTCAAAGTATTCCTTCCACCGTCCGACTATAGCCCCAGTTGACGTCAGCAGCTCCCCATCCCCACTGTAAACAGTGTGAGCGAATTGCTGCCTTCCTCTCCTGAGGCACCGGACAGTTTGCCAGAACCTCTTTGGAGCCGATCGATAGTCTTTCTCCATGGCCTCATCAAACTCCTCCCACGCCCGAGATTTTGCCTCGGCAACTGCCACTGCTGCACCCCGCTTGGCTATCCGGTACCTGTCTGCTGCCTCCAGAGACCCACAGACCAGCCACGCCCTGTAGGCCTCCTTCTTCAGCCTGATGGCTCCCCGAACCTTTTGTCCACCAGCGGGTACGGGGGTTGCCACCACGACTGGCACCGGCCACCTTGAGACCACAGTTAGCAACAGCCGCCTCAACAATCGCAGAATGGAACAAGGCCCACTCAGAGTCGATGTCCCCCACTGCTCTCGGGATGCGGTCAAAGCTCTGTCGGAGGCGGGAGTTGAAGACCGTCTTAAAAGGTTCTTCTGCCAGGCGTTCCCAGCAGACCCTCACTATGCGTTTGGGTCTGCCAGGTCTACACGGCATCCTCCCCTGCCATATGATCCAACTCACCACCAGGTGGTGATCAGTTGACAGCTCCGCTTCTCTCTTCACTCGGGTGTCCAAAACATACGGCCGCAGGTCAGATGATACGACTACAAAGTCTATCATCGACGTGCGATCTAGGCTGCCCTGGTACCAAGTGTACCGATGGGCATCCATATGTTCGAACATGGTGTTCGTTATGGCCAAACTGTGGCTTGCACAGAAGTCCAATAACGAAACACCACTCGAGTTCAGATCAGGCGGGCCGTTCCTCCCAATCACACCCCTCCAGGTCAAGCTGTCATTGCCCACGTGAGCATTGAAGTCCCCCAGCAGGACAATGGAGTCCCCTGATGGAGCACTATCTAGCACTCGTCCTAGAGACTCCAAAAAGGGTGGGTACTCTGAACTGATATTTGGCCCATAAGCACAAACAACAGTCAGGACCCGTTCCCCGACCCGAAGGCGGAGGGAAGCTACCCTCTCATCCCCCGTGGTAAACCCCAACACACAGGCAGAGAGTCTTGGGGCTAACAAAAAGCCAACCCCAGCCCTCCCCCTCTCACCCGGAGCAACTCCAGCAAAGGAGAGTGTCCAACCCCTCACAAGGACTTGGGTTCCAGAGCCAATGCTATGTGTCGAGGTGAGTCCGACTATATCTAGCCGGTACCGCTCAACCTCTGCCACAAGCTCCTGCTCCTTCCCCGCCAGCGAGGTGACGTTCCATGTCCCAAAAACCAGTTTTCTTGTCCGGGGATCGGACCGCCAAGGCTCCCGCCTTGGTCTGCCACCCGATCCACACTGCACCCGACCCTTCATGTTCCTCCTGCGGGTGGTGGGTCCACAGTTGGATGACCCCATGTATCCGGTCCGGGTTGAGCCTGGCCGGGCCCCATGGGCGAAAGCCCGGCCACCAGTCCTCTTGGTCCTTGTTCTGGTTTTCTAAAAGCCTGTGTTAACAACCTTGATGTGTTTTTAGACGGTTCTTTTAATCTTCACAGACAGGTGAGTGCAGTGGTCCAATCAGGTTTTTATCAACATGTCACCCACCTGTTCGTGTCCTTCCGATTGGACTACTGCAGGCCCCTGTATTCTGGCCTGGACCAGTCCTCCCTACACCGACTTCAGCTGTTCCAAAATGCAGCGGCCCGCTTGCTGACTGGAACCAGCAAGCGGGATCACATAACCCCGGTTCTGGTCTCTCTCCATTGGCTTCCTGTCTCTTACAGGATCCATTTCAAAATTTTACTTTTTGTTTTTAAATCCCTTCATGGCCTGGCCCCAGTTTACATCTCTTAGCTGCCGTCTGCTTACGTCCCTGCCAGAACCATGAGGTCCAGCTCTCAAGCTCTTTTAACAGTTCCAAAAACCCGCCACAAGACTCGCGGCGACAGAGCGTTCTCTGTGGTTGGGCCCAAACTGTGGAACAAGCTACCTCTCAACATCAGGACCACACAGAGTCTAGAGCATTTTAAATCCCTTCTTAAGACGCATTTTTTTGATTTGGCTTTTAATGCAGGCTGACTTGAGCATCTTGATAGTTTTTAACAGTTTTTATCATAGATTGTGACTGTTGTGTGTTCATCTTATTTTAGTTTTTATTGTTGATCTGTTGTATCTTGATTTGTTTTACCTTGTACAGTGCTTTGGTGTAGCTTTGCTGCGGTAAATGCGCTCTATAAATAAAGTTGACCTTGACCTTCTGTTCTAGCTTAATTACACTGGAGATGCTACTCAATAAAGAAATGAAAGCACATAAAGCTTGTTGTGATTTTGGATCGGCCTCTACCTGGTGGCGAGCAGCGGGTGTGTGAGCACAGGCATGGACCAGGACTCTCGGCTCCACGGCACCGACTCAAACAGGAG